ATAATTTAATTACTTACTTTTTGTCTTACTCTTCCGTGAAATAAAGAAAGCATAATATTGATATCCCAATGTACGTCTGGTTCTTTCTTTTGCAAAAAAAAAAACCTCTCAGATGCATCAATCAACAACACAGAGTTATTATTGAAGTCGTATCAGCATTGAGAATTTTCAAATAGGAAATGGGTCCTCCGGCTGTATCAAGTCCACTTCCAAACATAACTCTACAAAAACGAAGCAATAATACTTTTTTTTTATATAAACCAGACAGAAAACAAAAAAAAAGGTGTAGATGAAGTGTATTCAAATAAAAATTGATACTATTAGAACGTAACTGATTTTTTTTTTTTTTTTTTTTTTTTTACTTTTGAAGATCTCGTTTAAAAGGGTTACACAGTGTAAACAAACCAAAAAAAAATACTTCTCGACTCTTTTTACGACTACAGGACACCATGATATTTGCATGATTAGAATCATACCTTGACAATAAATTTAATGGTGTTACCCTTCAGCGAAAGTAATGTTCATACGCATGTGTTGATATGACGCTATAACATAAACAAAAAACAAAACAGAAAATCTCACAATAAAAGAGAAGAGTAGCTACGCATTTCCGTGTCCTTCACTCTTTCTTTACCTACATCTTCTGGTATGGTGATCGGGCAATATTGCGAAATCCGTGAATGTCAGAAAGACAGGCTGTTTGTCGGTGTAGCTCTTTTATAAGGATTCCTGTTATTTGAAGGTTATGACTTGAAATAAATCTTGAATGACCCAGGTTTTCTGTCATGGTTGCAATTGTAGCATTTATGGTACTTCCTTCGACCCACTACTCTTATCGAGGTCTAGTCACATCTTCTTGAAGGGTGGTTCAAGCGCTAATGTGACTGTGCCAGTACTTAAGTACAAGTGTAGTTGCTGGGAAAAGCCTCATTGTCTTTTTAGGTAAGGGGAAATTATTTCAAGCCATGTAAACCATGCTGGAAATACATTCTTTTTTTATTATTGCACTAGAGATAATGGAGTTCCTGTAGTTTGTATTGGTTCACCGCCCTTGTCAATATTTCCTGTGGGTACGGGATATTTAGTCCTAAACCAACTGTTGGCCCATTTTGCGGGATCATCGTGCTGTGAACACAAGGGTGAAAATGTCACCCCAACATGGTGTTGGTGACAGTTGGGTCTTTAATGCTTCTCTTGTTGTGCATTGTGGGTAGGCTGCATATGGAAGATATTAGAGTCACCTGTAAATCTAGAAGTAAGCGGGTATTTCGAGGACGCACAAGAATTGTAAAAGTAAGGAAATAGAGAGTAAAACCCTTTTTGGGCCAGGATGTGCTTTCACCTTCTCTTGGTCCGACCTGCTAACCAACCCCTTGTTGGGAACTAAGATAAGTACACTTTCTTTTTTTATCTTTAAATAAAAATTTTTGTTTGCAGCCATTACTTAAGTCTTTTTTTTTTTTTTTTCTTTTTTTCGTCATGAGAGACTATAAATATGCATCTTTGGAGATATCAACTTCATACTGGCGTTGGGGACCTTCATTAATTCTGTGTTATTCCTATATCACTTTTCGTCACAGTCAACGCATTGCTCTTCCTCATTGTCCAACCCATGATTCGGTTATTAACCGTGTTTATTTAAAATTATTGGCATTTTTTTTTAAACGTGATCTCAATGACATAGACTATCCTTAGGCTTTCAAAAACTGATAGAATATTCAAGCAATCGACAGGGAGTTATGATGTGTATGGAAAAGTTTTCAAATGAGAAAGGATTTAAAATGCAAAAGCAAGAGGATGTGGTGTCCCAAATACTTATTGAGGAATAGATTTAAAAGTGACAACTAAACGCACAGAAGAAGGGTTACAAAAAAAACCCCGATCTTAAACGGTTTGTTACAGTATTATTATTAACCAGGTATAAAAATTTAGAACTAACAAGATCCCGAGTGTGAATAAATTCAAAGGTAAGATAAAGTAGCACACAAGCATCATAATGATAGTCTCTGTTGACAATGGCACAACGACAAACTTGATAAAGAGGATCAAACAACAATAAACATATGTATCAATGCAATATATATAAACAATCCAATAATATGTGTTCTATTGCTTATGGTAAGCACTAGCTTACATTTACTAATCCAAGAAATATCAGTATGAAGCATTAATCCACCGTGGTCTTTGGTTTCAATCTGCTCATAATAATTCGCCTGTTTACCGTTCACCCAAGGAAAGGTGTAATATATTTTCCCTAATATTCGGATCAAAATAATGTGTAGACTTTGGAGGTTGAAATAACATAGTCTCAAAATACCCTTACGGAAAGATACTTTGCCTTTTACTGAAAATCTTACTTCGAACAAGATGAAATTAGAAATCCATTATTTAGTTCTCCCGTTACATGTTAGATCCCTTTGCACACTTGATAGTGATAAATCTATCAATTTATAAATAAATGAGCTATATAACAGCTATTCTATTCTCTCTATGGGTAGCTAATCTATTAAAAAAACTTTTAATAATAAGTTTCTCTTTCTTATATTCTTGATTTGATAGGAAAGGGTTTTCTTTAATAGCGACAAGTAAAACGCGAAGGTCAGATTTAGGTGCAGGCGAAACGGATGTGACTTATCCCATATATATTGCCAAATGATCAAGCCCGAGAGTTTTGAGATTAGGCAAGAACCTTAAAAGTATGGCTATTTCTCGGTATTTCTTATTACAGGACATAACGTAAATTTCTCAAAACATTTAAATCTATCAAACAGCTCGCTGTAATTGTCCAGGGTGTGAAGGGAAAGATATCGGCATTTCGAACATTAATTCTAAACGCTGGATCGCTTTTATGTATCTACATTAATGCATATACCTGCCTTTCTATTTCATCAGCAAGATTACTTGCATGTAATTTAAGTTTTTCTTGTTTTTGTCAAAAATTTTCACCATGTTTTTTGTTAAGCAATGATAAAACGCATCATATGATTTGGCACCAGGTAGTATATGTATTAGCTGTGACCTTTTGAAAAAAAAAAATTTATTTACTTGATAGTTTGCAGTATATTTGTTTGAGGGCAATTATTCCATGACGATGTCTTTGGCACTGCGATTTTCGACAGATCGCAGGGGTTCGCTCCATTTCAAATTCTGGGTTTGGGTACTTGTGTAGGCATAGACAGGATCGAGAAAAGATCGAGTCATCAATTATTACTTCCAACTTCTTCCACTAAATCAGCAAAATTTGGTTTTCTTATAAAGAAATCCATTGAAATGTAAACATCGTCTGAGGTGTAGAAGTTTAAAGACTTGTAAAGGGGCCTCTTGGTGATTATGTCGTGCCATTGGCGACAAACTTAGGCACATTGCGAGTATTGGTGTAGTTCATTGACAAGGGTGAATAAACGGACGAGAACTTCATTGGTGTTTTATCCATTTTTCTTTTTGAGAAAAAATCAAGGGGGAGTGTGATTGAAACACAATGAATGTGTAGAAAATAGTTCTGGATCTCAGACAAATAGAGTCACAGAGTATGGGAATTTACTGCGTCAACATTCAGGCACTTTTTATATTGATGAAGGGGGTAGAGTGAGTTGTTTATCAAAATTTTAATCGCGCATGGAGACGGCTCTTTTCTGTATAAATGTATTAATATCCATGGAAACAAAAAACAATAATAAAAAGAGTGAAATGGATAGCATCGTGATGTAAATAATGCGTTCATCATGTTGTAGCCAATCAATGTGTAATATGATGGTAGATGAGCCAATCCCAAGGTTGACAGTGACGTTGACCCTAAAATATTCTCAGCATGTTGCACCTGTAATTGGATAGACTGACCTCGAGGTATTCTTCAAAAAATAAAATTTTTCCATCTCTTTTTTTCTTTCTTTTTTTTTCCTCCATCTGTTCTTCTCATCATCTGATAATTAACCAGGAAAATGTCGTTAGAAGGAAGAGAGATTATCATTGGCTCCAAATATAAACTTGGTCGAAAGATTGGTGCAGGTTCTTTTGGCGAAATTTATTTAGGTAAATTACAAAGAAAACATCATCTCTTTTTATTTATTAATCTTGTTTATAAAAGGAACAAATATTATGAGTGGAGAAGATATTGCAGTCAAGTTAGAAAGTATTCGTGCAGCTCATCCTCAATTAGAGTACGAAGCAAGAGTTTACAAGACGTTAGCAGGCGGTGTTGGTATTCCTTTTGTTAGATGGTATGGAAGAGAAGGGGATTTCAATGTACTCGTTATGGATTTATTGGGCCCTTCCATGGAAGATCTTTTCAATTATTGTAAGCGTCGCTTTTCGTTGAAGACCGTTTTATTACTTGCGGATCAATTGGTAAGCATATTTCTTTTGTTTTTATTTCCATCCAATCAAATTATTAAAACTTCCCTTATTTAGTTGTCACGCGTTGAATATGTTCATTCAAAGGGTAAACATTATTTTTTAAAATCTATCAAGGTATGAAACTGATGAACATATTGTTATTTTAGGTTTCATTCATCGAGATATCAAACCTGATAACTTTTTAATGGGTATCGGTAAACGTGGAAACCAAGTCAATATGATCGATTTCGGTTTAGCAAAGAGATTTAGAGACCCAAAGAGCAATGTACATATACCCTACAGAGAGAATAAGAATTTAACGGGTACTCCACGTTATGCAAGTGTCAATACTCACTTGGGAATAGGTAAAATATATATATTTTTGTCTGTATGCATAAATATTAAAAACGCGTTTCCACAGAACAATCACGGCGCGATGATCTCGAATCACTTGGGTATATCCTAGTGTATTTCTGCAGAGGTCAATTACCCTGGCAAGGAATTAGAGCAAGAACCAAGAAAGAAAAATATGATAAGATTATGGAAAAAAAGATGACTACACCTGCAGACGCATTATGTCGTGGTTTGCATCAGGAGTTCGCAATATACCTTAATTATGTCAGATCTCTTCGCTTTGACGATAAACCTGATTATTCTTACCTCCGTAAATTATTCCGAGACCTGTTTGTCCGTGAAGGATTCCAATATGACTATGTATTCGATTGGACTATTCGTAAATTGGTATGTGTACATTCTGATCTTAACTTCCCCCTCTCCTAAATTTATTTTCTATAGCAGGAAAAAAAGGCTGCTTACCAAAATCCTGAATTGAATCCTGTCCATTCATATATTCCTGGCTCTGCTCCATTTGAAGCAGGTCCTAGACGTTTAGCAACTGGCGCACCACTCCCGTCAGCAAATCTTAGAGCTCCTTATCGCTCAGAAACCAAATCACCTGAAACCTCGAAGCGTTTAGATGATGTGATGCTCCAATACCAACAACAGCAAAAAATGCTGCAACATAAACCTGCTTATTTTACCAACCAACCCACCATAACTACCAACCAAGTACAACAGCAGCAGGTACAACAACAACAAGTGCAACAACAGCAGTTGACTTCGCCTACATCGTACCAAGATCCATATGCGTCCCATTTAGGCTACACTGGCACTGGAGGAGGTAGAATGTTGGTCAGGGATAATCAGCAACAACAGCAACATCAGTTGCAACAGCAACAACAGCAGCAGCAGCAGCAACAACAACAACAGCAGCAGCAGCAACAACAGCAACAACAACAACAGTTAGGCGCTAAGTATGAAAGAAAAAGAGTTTTGGCTGATGAAGCCAACCCTATTGAACCAAGCATTGCTGATCCTCTTTTTTCTGTCAAAAGAACACATTTCCATGCTCCCACGGGTTCTTCCAGTAGTAGAGTGTAGGTTTATACAGTTTTTTTACATATACATATTCGATTATTACATCTTCTAAATATTACTAGTTTACGTAGTCAAACGAAAGCAGGCCATGGTTCTCCACATCAGCAACAACAATACTTGAATAATCCCAATACTTCATTCCATCCTGATACCACCTCGCCCTCTTATCTTCCTGATAGTAATGATAATAATAATCAAAATCAAAATACTAACAATAGTAACATGGTTTATCATAATGATATACAGGCAATGATGGATGAACGTGAGTACCCTAGACAATAAAGCAAGGTTATCTCATTAATCACTATCAACTAGAAGGCTTTCTTTAAATTATAATTATACGTTAAATCACAAATTATCAATTTGGGAATAGGTTTTTTATTATTATTATTTTTATTATTATTGTTCTTATTACAGGTTCTAATATATGGGTTACCCTATCGACCGATTTTTCATTACATTTGCAGCAAAAACTCATATATACACTCTCAACTACACCTCAAATGAACCCTTTCCCCCCTCCCAAAAAAAAAGTCATCAATCATATACAATATAACCCCTCTCTTTATCTTTTTTTTTTCCTATTACCAAACAACTTCGTCTTGCTCCCTTCTATTATACACTACATAAATATTCTAAATACAATGATGATGAAATTCTTCTACGCTTATCTGTGTGACGCGACAAATAAGTCGTCTGAATTGACCTGTCACGATAATGCTATAATTTATTATGCGCTAAAGTAGCATACATTATCGTTCTCCATTTACTCATCAATATGGTATTGAAAGAAATCTGGGTTGCCCGTCATGGGTTTCGTGAAGATTGGGTTAATGACAACCCACCTCTCCCTACCAACCTTCGTAATGACCCACCTCTTTCTGATTTTGGAAGACAGCAATCGCTTGAATTAGCTGCTTATTTAAAAGACAAATCAATTGATCGGATTTACTCTTCACCTTTTTATCGCGTTTTAGAAACCGTGTACCCGCTTGTTTTAGAATGTGATATGCCTCTCTTTATTGATAATGCCATGGCGTAGGTATATTTAATATAAAACACAAATAGCATACTAAATTATTCTTAATAGTGAATGGTATGGCTTAACGCATGGTCGCTATTTGCCTTGCGCCCCTCTCCCAGAGTTAAAGAAGCTTTTTCCTAAGCTTAATATCGAACATCATTCGTCCAGTATTCCTTTACCTACTGAGGTGGAGACTGAGCATGATTGTCATCTTCGTGTCAAGAAAGGTTTAGATATTTTGGTAGATGAGTTAGATTCGGATAAGGGGCAGCCCCAAACGATCTTATTATCTGGTCATGCTGCGTCTGCTATTTGCGCTGTACGTGCATTATTAAACGATTCCCATTTCTATGTAAATACTGGCACCTGTTCCCTATCCCGTTTGATTCGACAAGACGACAAAACATGGAAAATAATGGAAAATGGCGATTGCAGTCATCTAAGCCAAGGCGAACAAAGATCCTGGATGTTTTCTGGTGATGTTCCTGACTACGAGTTGAAATGAATATCAAATTGCCATTTTTTTGAAGAAGAAAAAAAAATCCAATAATTAAATCGTACTTCTTTATTCAACCTTTTCACCCAAAGACTTTTTAACTTCTGATCTTAATTCATACAATTGTCCCAATTGTTCATCACTCATCTTATCCAATAATCCTTCGTCCATTTTTTTACCCCAGCCTTCAATAGGGTTGTTAAAGCTTCTGACAAGAGGATCGTGAGAAGGTGCAACTGAATCTTCGGGAAGTGGTTTAGTTTGTGATTGCATCATGTCCAAGTATCTAATAATGTCACAATTTAACGTCCTGGCTTGGGTTTAACTATGCATTTATATAAAAAAAAAGGTCCTTACGATTGCCACTGAGAGACGAAACCTACGATATGTGCAGGATTTTCGATATCTTTATGTCTCTTGAACTCGGCTTTCACGTAATCATCGCCTAATGAACGCATGGCAGCTGGCAACGAGCGGTGAGAGCGTAAAATCTCTCTGTAGAGTTTAAGAGGGGCCATCAAGACCTGTGTTTGCTTTGAGAGATTAGGCATAGTTTAATTACAAGTTTGAAATTTAAAGAAAAAGTTTAGGAAGCCCTGCAAAAGAAACGCTTATTTCACACAGGCCACGCTGTCAAGGATATATGATTATCCGGTTTTGGATGCTTTCGTGTGCAAGGGGAAAATATGAGTTTTAAACGGCTGCGTTTCCATCTCTGAAACCCGAATCAAACCAGCTTTTCTAACAATGCTGCGGTTTTTATTGATGGCTTGATAAACAGTAATGGTTTTTTTCATAATTGCTGTAAATAGCTTATGTATAGAGAAAATAAAAGCAGTCCTTGCACAAAGGACCTCCCGTGTGTGGAGGTACTCCAAACATATCGGGGAAGAAAAAAAATTTTCGTTTACTGATTTTTTCGTTTTTTTTTTAATTATAAGAGTTTGTTCAAACTTGGAATTATTCAGATCTTTTTTAAACACGCCCTTAGTAACAAGGTGGGTGGCCAGACGTACGTCGTCATGTCTCCCAGCCAAAAGAGGAAGGGAGTTTGATCGTATTAAGCCGGAAAAGTATCATCATTATTTCCATGAAATGGAAGGATCAACGTTCCATCATTTGCAATCCGAGAATACATTTGAAAGACCTTTTTAAAAAGTACAACTTGTGGTGTTTACAATTATATCATTTACTCGATTTTTTTACTATTTTTTTTTTTTTTTTTTTTTGCGTACTTGTCCATTCAAACGATTTGTAGCACCCCTCGTTTGACATCTACCCAAAATTGGCTTTGGATTGAATCAACAATTACACGAGTAAATCTCCTAAAAGCCGTTTTCGACCGGGGGGTTCTCAAATACACTTGTAAGCCACTTTGTCAATAGAGAAAAGGACTAGATTTAGATTTCTGCCAATTTTAACATATGCTTTAGATGTGAAAGTACGACTCCCAACTTAACACGTTTACTACTGATTTCACCGATTTTTTTTTTCTGTGTTAGTCGTGTTTAACATCTCGATGTTGCCTTGAGGGCTAACTGTTATACTCTTCGTGGAAATAGCTAATTTCTTACCTCTGAATATTCCCAAAAAGACTTATCTTTGCTCATCTAGTAAGATTGCATTATCAAGAGATTATCAAAAGTGGCCCTTGAAATGGCGCTGTTTACATTCACAAGTCCAATCTATTCAACTACTAGTGCGAATAAACAAATGCTGAATATGTATCACTTATTTGTCTCAAATAACAATTGTCCCTGACTCCTTGATCCTTTGTTTCTTTAAAACTAGTTCACAAAAACTTGATTCGTTGACCAATTGTTAACCAAGTTGAGGATCCATTTTTTTTTTTTTTTTTTTCAAAGTAGTTTTTTGACCTTTATAAAAGATTGGAAAACGGATCTAAAGGGTAAGACTTGTGATATCACATGGCCCATCAGTGCGTAATTTTTAGTATAGTCAGTGTAACGTGCCGCCATCTGGCATAGCGAACTATGATTATTCTCTCCTTCAGATTTGTTTATTTTTTTTTTTTTTTCTGTATCAAATCTATACGTATGATCAGATAATCCGATTACAGAAATCGTAATCTACATTACAATCGCAAAAATACATGGAATTCTGCTTCATTCTATGACAATTATGCTGGACACATAGATGTTTGGAGAAATCAACAATAACACGATGCAGTATAAATAATTTATAGTTATTGGGGGAAAAAAAAAGGAATTAAAAAAATTTATTTATAAGGAAAAATATTTAACATGTTTTCAAATAATCGATAGATTATTTAGAAATGAATTTTGTACAAATGAGATATCTAGATACCACCTCTAACTAATAAGGCATCAATGATAGCAAGGATGGTCCACTTTCTGTTTTCAGCTTCAGGGAACACTAAAGAACGTTCAGAGTAGAAGACTTCGTCATCCACCTCCTCAGGCTTACGAGGAAGACAATGCATGAAGATCCAGTCGCTCTTGGCGTTACCACGCTTGGCCAAATCACTGGTAACTTGGAAACCGGCAAATTCTGCGATACGCTTCTTCTTTTCCTCTTCTTGACCCATGCTGACCCTTTTAAGACAATAACAAAAAAAAATATATTAATACACAAACTCATAAAACAACCTTGAACCAAAATCTTACCAGGTATCAGTGACAATAACATCACAATCCTTGACAGCCTCTTCGGGACTAGTTGTGAAAACGACAGTGGCACCAGTCTTTTTGGCGTCGGCTTGAGCGATATCAATGACATCTTGATCACAGACATAACCAGCGGGACAGGCAGCAGAAACACTGATACCACACTTGGGGAAAGCAACAAGAATTTCTTGGAGAATGTTGTTAGCATCACCAACCCATGCGACCTTCAACCCCTTCAAAGTTTCACGGGGATGTTGAGTATGTGCAGAGTAAACGCCAGCGGGGACATTGTTTTGCTTAGCATGATAGTATTCATGAAGAGTCATCAAATCAGCCAAGATTTGAGTAGGATGGTACTTTTCAGACAAGGCGTTAATGATGGGAACTGCGGATTCTTTAGCGAGGGTCTGTATATAAAAAAAAAAATAGAATGGATAAATATTTAAAATCTTTCTCTCGGTTAATTTTTAAATATATTCACAAAGCGCGCTAAAAAAGTGCACTTTGCAAACACATTCAAGCCTGTTTTATCATACCTCAATTTCATCATGACCACCAACACGAGCCATAATGGCATCAACCATGGAGCTGACAACATGAGTGGTATCGTATAAGGACTCGTTGACACCAAGTTGAATGTCTTGACCACCCAAGAACATAGCATTACCACCTAACCCAAAAAATGTCAAAACAAGTTCTAATCCAGAAACGAAAAAAAAAAAAAAAAAAAAAACTCTCTGATAAATTACCTAAATATCCAACAGCGGTCTCGGTAGCAACACGAGTACGGGTGGATCTCTTTGAGAAAATAAGACCAACAGTCTTACCGACTAAAGGACGTTCGGTTCTAGCCTCGGGGTAGTTGTACTTTGATTCGACCTTGAACTTGATAGCACGATCAACTAAATCAAGAAGCTGTTCGGCAGAGTAATCAGCGGTGGTGATAAAATGGTTGGGCTTAGTGGTATTAATTGTGATGGCAGACATATTGTTGTAGTCAAAATATAAAAGTGTGTTAAGGAAAAAAAAAAAAAGGTAATCCCAATGATGAAAGTCTAATATATAGGGTCTTTTTTTTTTAACGCGGAGTAAATAATAAACAATCCGATCGGCTGTTATCTTCTCAATTTCTCGAACTTTTTGGGCTGTTCAATGTTTTTTACCCCAGATTTACAGTGAAAAAAGCTGTGACTCATTATTTTGATAAATAGTTATCATCCTGAGTCACAGCGTTGGGCTCGTTGTACAAACTAAATATGCGTTCCTTTTTTTTTTTTTCTTCAGAAAAAAACAAAAAAATCTTGACATCATTGAATTTTAATTTACTCCTTTATTTATTTTTTCTACGTTTCTATACATGTAACCTTTCTGTTTATTTTCTCAATGCACATCATGGCAAACTAAACTCTACACTTTACACATCGATCTGAGATTTAAAAAAGTTTTTTTTTTTTTTTTTTTTTTTTTACACGCGAATCAAAACCACCTACTAATATAAGTGAGGAACGTATATCATTTTGCGAAAAAGAAATGATACATTGGTAATGCAGAAAACAGTAAATATCCCTGTTTTTTATTTATATGACAGGCTATCAAAACAAATCTTTGCGTTACCTAGCCCTGTGTCTTACAAGAAAAGTTTAAGCAAACATAATCAGCTTGGACAGACAATTGTGTTGGTAAAAACTTTAAGCGGGTATTTTCCCACAGTCTTTGATTGATTAATTAAATGATGTTCATAAGTTGAAAGCTCCAAAAGAAAACTGGGTTAACCATTTGGTTTTAATTCTGAGATCAAATAGTGAACCCTTCAAGAATTATAGTGGGTATCACAAGAATACCATATATATATTGCCAGGGTATCACCCACACCATTTTATATCCCCTATTATAAAAAAATGTTTATGGGTGTTAACAATAATCTCATGTAGGTATTGTTTTCGTCTCCTTGTATCCTCTATAAATTATAAGGTTTATGGTAATTTATCCATGTATGTTATGTTACCGGGTGGACTGGGGTAAAATGAGCGGAGTAGAATGGGAAACATGTAGGAGAACTGTGTACAATTTACTAACCAATAATGGAGATCATGATATCATTCACATATTCTTTATTTTAGTTTTTAAACGTCAGATTCAGGTTGTCTCATCAATGGCGTGTACATTAGAAGATACCAGTCATTATTTCAGGTTTAAACACTATAAAAGGTGGAACAATTCACTGTCAGGTCATTGCAACCGAACAGTTTACTAAGTGATTTGAATATATTTTTGCTAGATCCAAGAAGAGGACAAATGTTTCCTTATCCGTAACAATTTAATGACGGTCCAGGGTTGAATATTATACATACCACCTCTGTCTCAAATTCTATAATATACGCCAGCCCGTACACAATTGTGTTTTGAGTGTAGTTTACTATAGGCATCCGCCGCCTTTTTCATCGTTTTTTTTAAAGGGTTAACTTTTATTTGAATATATACATTTTGATGTCTAGCTATTTAATCTAAATGGAAGGGTACAAAATCTGGCTTTATCCTTTGTAATAACCTGAATGAACTTTGCTGAATTTTGTTTTAGGTTGGATTTGTATGTACCCTAATTACTGTACATATACATCAACAATACCTTGCGGTACAAATACACTTCCGCTTTAATGTTTCATATGTATACTCATGTATGTCTAGTATGTTTTTAAGACCTATCCATCTTTGATTAATTGAAATGCATGTCGAATCAATGATATAGTTTTTACACTTTAAATTCAGATAACGTTGGTGTTTTTTTAAGATGTATGATATTGGTTTTCAGACAGTTTGACAAGCTACACTACGACTTTTACCTGTAAACTCTTTAGGCCTTCTCCTCACTAGAGTGAGACAAGACACCCACATTGGAGGTGGCGTTTTATCTTTAAAAGACATTTGGCCGGCCTTGGTCATCCCAGATGGATTGAGAAATAGTAAGCACGTTCTTTGCAACCATCACATCACAATTCCGAAAAACATTGCATAGTTTTCAGATCAATATCTAATGGACGTGTGGTAATTTTTTTTTTATCATACCGCACCTCAGGTTTATTGTAAAATAATTAATAAGGCATTTTATTACAATCACCCTTTTTGAATTTCTCTCCATGTCCTCTTGAATTCCTGTTCCTGTTTGTGTCTTTGCGTAATACCGCCCACGCCATGGCATTCTTTTGAAGAAAGACGTTTTAAAATAATCGCCTCTGTGATAAGATACAAACACGTTCTTCCTTTCAGGATCATTTGTGCATGGCCTAAAATATGTATTTATCTGGTCAAGATTAAAGTCGTCGAATTTCGAAACAATACTTTTAATAGACGAAGATGACTTAGTACGACGACAGAAAAGCACGCGGCATGTATATCTATCAGTGTAAATTCCGTTCAAAAAAACCAGTTTTTCATTGGCTAAAGCCAACTCTTTTAAACTATTGAGGCTAACGATAGACAAAGGTTTGGTGTTGATAAAGACATAAAAAGTTCCTGTATAATCTTTCTTTTGTATTCACCTTCTAATCTTCAACTTGGTAAAATTAAAAATAGTCCTAAAACGCCTTTCTGCAAAGCTGACTAAAGTCCCATTTTTTTTCTTTCTCTAACTTCGAGCCCGGAAAAAAAATATCAGTAACATTCTGACTATTAGTTTAGATAGAACGCTACTTTAAAACCATGGATAACTAGGAAGCTAGCTGTAGATAGTCTGAGCAGCATAAAAACGTTTTACATCAGTTTCAATGTTTTAAAATTTCATCAGAAAATAGTTTTTGGGAATGACCAATCTATTATAATATGGTAAATGTTAAACTTAAGCATTATTTTAACTGTAAATTTAAAACTTCATACATTAGTAAAATTGCTCTTCCTGTGATATTATGTTATTGAGATTCTCTCTGTCACAGAAAGGCAATTAATAGCTAGACATGTTTCAATTTTAAGCAAGGGTAACTGTAATTAATCTAATGTACTATGATTTGATGTAGATAAACATGGATAAAAAATATATATCTATCCTTTTTTAAAAGTGTGATACATGGTAGCATGAGACGCTGGAAATTATGCTGATTAGATATTGTATTATGGGATTCTTATAAATATCATGGAATTATTTTCAGGGTAGTATTTAGTCAAATTCGTTGTAAAATGAGCCCAAAATTTGCCAGCCAAGTAAAACACGGATAAAGACACTCCAGCAACAATCCCGGCCCTGCATTATTATGCTTTGTGGGGTTCTCCCATTCCTCATTGTCTTTTACCGCTGTTCCACGGTTTCCCGCAAAAATAAGAATTTAATGTAAGATCGGGTTATTAAAAACCTTGTTCAGTGATTGAGTTTATAAAATAAAAATACGGTAGTTAGACCTCGTCTAGAACACACACACACACAGAAACATAAAGTCTATGTAAGCATTTTGCGGTGAGTGATGATTTGCTAGAGGTTCTCCCGTAAGATACCTAACTTGATGAACCGATTTTTTTGGGGGGGGGGGGTTTGTTACATTATACTATTATGTATTTTTGACAGACTGAGCATTTTGATCTAATGCTTTGCATTAACAAATGGATCGAGGGAATTCAAGTGTTACAAAGATGATAGTGCAGGTTATAGAAAATTAAATGGGTATTTTTGATAACGACAAAAGTTTTGTTGCATTAGACTTTATCGTAGTAACTGTTAACTCGATTGCACCTGTTTTTAATCCTCTGTTTAAGATCTGACTCATCACTTAATATATCTATTATTTTAGTTCTACAGTATTAATTATCATCAGATATGATGCTTATACAAGAAGTAATTTTTTGCTATTACGCTGATGCAGCATAAAGATCAATGTTTCTAATAATGTATCCCCCCCCCCCTAAAAAATCAAATACATTCAAGGCGGTGTGTCCATTTGATAATTAATTTTTACTAATGACTGGTTTTAAGCGATTCGACATTTCTTTTTATATAGACGTAACTATCATTACATCTAAAACGATTGAATTCATAAGTACTTAAATTTCTGTTGATTTTGTATGTCATGGATCTCCAAATTTAAGAGCACGATGTTTTCTCCTTAAAAATTCCTTCCATAAAAACTATATAACATGAGAGCTGAACAGATAAGCTACAGTATAATGACCTCTTTATAGGAAAGAAACAAGTAATAAAAAAGTTAAACATGTAATTTTGTCTGATTAACGGATAAACAATTTAGCGATACGAAGATCTTGACACCCAAAAAAAAAAAAAAAATCCGTACCACATTTCAAAGATATGCATCTTCCCAGACATTTTAGGGTAACATTGAAACATAGATGTTATTTATAAACAATTTGATTATATAAGCTGTTTGTTGTATGACAACGGTCGTCATATTTAGATATATACAGGTCAGGTTGTTATTCCAAGGTAAAATACAAAAAACCTTAAATGAGATGTGTATATCCTCACCATCCTAAATTCAAATAAACAGTATTAAGTGGACGCAGTACCTTTTTTTTTTTTTAAATAATGTACATGAGAGAGTATAAACTACGAATTTAGATCTACAATGGCGTAATGATTTCGTCTTTTAATTCACAATACACGTAATTAAGATTTCGTGTTAAACTCGTGCAAAGATTAATAAAAGATACACTGTTTTGTAATAAGATGTTTATCGCAACACTTGCAAACTATAAAGCTCAAATGTACCATTTTTAGAGATAAATTAAAAGAACCAAAAAAAAAAAAAAATCGTCTTAGCAAAAACTCTCCCTCAATTGACTATGCTCTCCCTTCCAGATGATTTGTAGGTAAAGTCATCTTTTTAGGAGGATAAAACGTCATCTACCTTACGAGATATCATCTTTCTGGCATGTTCGATGAAATTTGTTTCGCAGAAAAGGACTTTTAAAAACTTGACTATTTGAATACTACACTAAAAAAAAAAAGGACGTTTTCTCCAATGGTATATTTTCTTCAATTACGTAACTGTTTTACCCTTCCGTGTAACTTGTAACGTTCAAGTAATTTTCATTACCACACTGGCATCATCGTCTGTCGTTTTTCTTTTTTTTAGTGTCCTTTTTTCTTTCTCCGCAGCAGTAAAAAAAAAAAAGTACTACGGAAAAAAAAAAAAAAAATGAAAATCCCAGTGATTCATGCATTTTTCTTGGATGTGTTTTTGTGTGCTGTAAAAATTGGGGAATGGGGGTAATAGATTATACGACAAAGAATGATTTACGGTGAATAGACCATATGGAGTTTGGGTGAGAAAAAAAAAAAAAGAGTGGCCTTGTTAATTCTTTCCCCACACATATTCTATTTGCTCCATGACCTAGGTTTCAAAAGAAAAAAGAATTCCCCGGAAGGGATGAAAAAACTAGCTGGGAAATTTTACAGAAAAGGGAAAATCTACGGAGAGCTAAAAGCTGGGAAGGGAAAATTAGGCCCAGTCCCAGGATCCGCGGGAAAATAGTAAAGAAGTTGGGTGCGTTAGTGCTTACAACTTAAACAAGAATATCTCTAACTTACACACACACAGACATAATATAACGGACAGTTTTTATATCACAAAGTAAGGTAAAGGCATTCAAAATGTGGGTAGAAAATTCAAACTTTTTGATGTGCTGTATTATAATTAGGTGAATTTTTTTTTTTCATTTAGTGCCACAATTTTGAAGCGGCCATTTAAACCCCAGGAAAAAAAAAAAAAGGCCTATATAAACAAGAAGTTTTGGGTTCTGTTTCTTACTTTTTTTTTTTTCTTCTCTTGATTATATTCACACACACATACTCAAATTAAAAATGTCCACTGATTACCTTACCTTGAACAGAACCGGCGACAAGATGCCCATTCGCGGTTTCGGCTGTTGGAAGATTGACACCAAGGATTGTGAGGAGACCGTCTACCAAGCTATCAAGACTGGTTACCGTCTTTTCGATGGTGCCTGTGATTATGGTAACGAAGTCGAGGTTGGTCGTGGTATTAACAAGGCCATCAACGAAGGTTTGGTCAAGAGAGAAGATCTTTTCATCGTCACCAAGCTCTGGAACACCTTCCACAGCAAGAAGCACGTCCGTGCCTTGTTCGATAGACAATTAAAGGATACCGGTCTTGAATACTTTGATCTTTATCTCATTCATTGTAAGTACATTTTAAGACGCGTCATTCGTTTGTTGGGGGGTTATTAGTATACTAACTCTTACATTCTTAACTAGTCCCCGTTCCCTTGCAATATGTTGACCCTGCTACCGTCTACCCTCCCGGTTGGTATGTCGGTGATGCCAAGTCTCTTCAATTCGAGCAATCTCCCATCCACGAATGTTGGGCTGAGTTAGAAAAGATTGTCGATGCTGGTTTGGCTCGTAACATTGGTGTTGCTAACTTCAACTGTCAAGCTATCTTGGACTTGCTTACCTATGCTAGAATTAAGCCTGCCGTTTTACAAATCGAACTCCATCCTTACTTGCCTCAAGAGCGTTTGGTCAAGTGGGTCAAGGAACAAGGTATTCAAATCACTGCTTACTCTTCTTTCGGTCCTACCTCTTATGTTGACTTGACTGAATCTGGTAAGACTTATACCTCTTTGCTCGAACACGCCAGTGTCAAGTCTGTTGCCGATAAGCACAACGTCTCCACTGGTCAAGTCTTGCTCCGTTGGGCTTTGGACCGTGAATTCGCTGTTATCCCCAAGAGTGTTAACGCTGGTAGAATGAAGGCTAACTTGGAAATCTTGGATATCAAGCTCGATGCTGAGGATAACAAGACTTTGGATTCTCTCAAGACCAACCAAAGATTCAACGATCCCATGACCTACGGTTTCGGTTTGCCTCTTTTCGATTAAGCAATACACACACATACACACACACACACACACCCCTTGTAATTTAATAAATACCGCAATTTTTTTTGTTCATCAGTCACTTTTTTTTTTTTATTTAACTAATGTTGCTCAATACCGGCTTCTAGCATGGCATGCCTGGCATGAATACCTTGGAATCGTCTACGTTTCGCATCGATCCAAAGCATGGTTTCTGCATAGGTTTTAGGTAAGATACGACGCAATTTCACTTTATCGTTTCCTGAAGCCAAGGTGAAATGGAAAACATTGGTAGTTTCACGCGTACCCTTTTCAATATTAATGACCTCTGCAATGACACGGACTTGTACTGACCGATGTGGGTATCCCTCGGATAAAACAATACCTGATCTCAAATTCAATAATGTACCCACATGCACTGGCTTTCGAAAAGTGACTTCATCCATCGACAACAAGGTAGGTGAGGAAGTCTTCATGAAGAGAGCAGTATTTGCATACGCCAATTCATAGGCACGACGCATCAAGTAACCACCAAAGATATTGTTGTGCAGGTTACGATCTTGAGGCTGCATTAAAAAATTACTTTCAATCTTTGTATCACGCATCCAAACTAGGTTAGAAGGCAATGGCTGCATTTCATCAGACGATTGAGAGTTCATAAAGGCGTCATCACCTGTACCGTTGGTGTACTGAGAATACTGCAGAAAGATGTCGTGGATATCAAGACGTTCCTCGGGCGTAGGAGGTTGACGATGTAAACCTGTCTCGGCAGCACGTCGCTTACGTTTCTTGTTGGCTTCAGCCATCTCGAATAATCTTTCTTCGGCAGGTGACGTCAGTTTTAATGGGTTAACTTTGACAGGCTTGTGCGTAGCAGGGTCAATGGCTACCATCGTGAATCGGGTGGCCAATACTGTGTTTTTGCTTAAAATACCAAGATTCTCGGGGTTCTCAATCTTGCTCTTGGGAAGACGACGTTCTCCTTCAGGCACCGTTTCCGCCTTAATAAAGACTTTTTTTTTTTGTTTTGTTTAGTTTCATTGAGCTACTTTTTTTTTTTTTTTTTTTTTTTTTTTTTTTTTTTTTTGCATTTTAATCAAGACTTACTCTCTATAGAACTGTTACCGACGTAACTTACGTGACCACTCAACTTGTAATTTTCAATACCGGCTTCGGGTAAAAACAAGTCTAATCGGTCTACACTGGCAGTGACCACCGTGATGGGAGGAGCATTAGGATCTCCATTATCGATATGTTTATAGGCAATTGCACCAGCAAGCGCATCCAAATCTAAAAGAAAAAGCAGGTGAGATGAGTCTACAATTCTAATACTATAGCCCTCTCTTTGTCACACACAATGATAAAGATACCTTCTAATAGTTTGCCTGTACGAATTTTACCATCAGAAAAGATGTATTCATCCAATAGTGCTGGATCTGATTTAAAAGGAAGATATTCCTCGATATAACTATCAAACATCTGTCATTCAAAAAAAAAAAAAAAAAAAAATGTGAGTTTCTCCCGGGGAATCAAATATCACAAACACATCAATGCAAAACTTACGGTTTTGTCAATTAATTTACGAGGTTGAGCATTGGCATTGACGATTGGTTTTTTAGATTCATGAGCCAATATTTTGTCCATCCAGAAACCATTGGGTCTGACAGTATAAACATTTTCATCATTGCCTTGTGCAAAAACTGCATAAATATAAATAAATAAATAAAAAAAATCATTTAGCATATATATATATATATAAAAAGCAAAATAAACCAACGTTACTTTCTTTTAAATTATTCAGTTTGGTTGTAGTATGAATGGTAGCAGCAGCACATGTACGTAAAGGTGTACAGAGTAAAACTCTTTTCAGTGGTTGTTGATATTTTTGACACCACATATTATAATATAAATAAAGAGAGAGGACGAAAACGGAAAGTACGTATCTGTGCGGGGTAAAGAAAAAAAAAATATATTTCATATCACAAACCCCCCCGGAATCTTTTGTTTCTTTACGGTCACAATCCCCCAAAAAAAAAACTCTCCCACGGGCATTGTGGCATACGTTTACCCGATGTTGCCTTCCCATTCTATCAGTTTTGATAAATGTATACATCACTATTTAAAAAAAAGTAACGCGTTGTATCCTTCATCTCTTTTAAATTTATTTTTATACTTCATGCCAAAGTATTACCTAGAGTGGAAAGAACGATACTTGGACTGGAATCAACAAGCTGCGTTTATGCCTGAATCCCACATGTGGTACAAAACTAGCAATTTAATTTACTACTTACATCATTTACGACATTTCATTATCAAGGAAGAAGGTAGCTTTCTGGCCTTACATCACGAACCTATCCCCGCTACCGAATTTGTCCGTTTTCCAGATGACGGAAGTTACATGTGTGAAGGGATTGGTGATTGGAACATTCATCTAGACATGATACTGCTGTGTTTAAATATATTGTTAGAGGTAAAACCAGTCGAAGAAAGCTGTTTCCAGAATTTGATTGATGTAGAGCTCAAGATGCTAGAGAAAGTGAATGTGTTATTGCAGTGTACTACGCAAGAGCGTAATTTAATGACGCGACAAAAGTTTGAAGCCATGTATAACTTGACGTGGGGGGGATATCCTGCTCTTGACTATAAATCCATGCCTGTAGTGGTGGTTTATTTTGCCGAACGTGTAGATATAGTATGTCGTACAGTTGTACGCTACAAGCATCGTTTCCTAATGTGGCACTAGGCTGTGACTTTATTTTTCACAAGGGATAAAAAATAAAAATTTTATCTATTTTTTTTTTTTTTTTTTAGCACGGGGAACCAAAAAAAAAAAGTATAAAAGGAGGAGCAAATGGCCATCAAATTTGAAGTTCTTTGTACTTCTTTCTCGTTTTCATATCGGATAAATCTTTCGCCTTTTACTAAAGATTTCCGTGGATGCGGGAAACTAAGGAAGATTACCCAAATTTTTTGTCAACCCTTTTTTTTAAATCATTTCCAATTTTCATATTGGTTTGATATTTTAAAATTCTCTCAATTTTTTTTTTCTTTGGAAAAAAAAGAAAGAGGGGGGATCTTTTATTATGAATTAAAATGAAAAAAAAAAAAATTTCTAATTAATTCACGCGTTTTTTAATTGCTCAATTTGTCTTCTCATTGTATCATTCTCTCTTTGTAACAAGAGGTTTTCACGTTGATAAGCCTGTAATTGCAGTTCAAGAGACTCCTACAAAAAAAATGTGTTAAATACATTATTTTAGCACATAACAGATGAGGGCTTTTACAACAAGGTCCTGATGAGCTTTTTCATTCGACTTTGGCACCTCAAACATATTCACTAGGTCATTGAGTAACTGTCTCTGAGAATCGTTTTGCTTCATCAACTCATCAAGTTGGTTATATATAATGGGTATTGACTTGCCTCTTGTAAGTGACGACGTGCTGCCTGAATGCGTTGAATAAGGTGACTCTTGTTGATGTTGCGTCATGAAATCTGCACCATGACACTCTTTTTTTTTAGTCCTTTACCCCCCCTAAATAAATAAATAAAAAGACTTACTGCTGTCCACCACACTTTGTCTTAGGTCACCATGGTTACTGGTGAGTTCAAATCGACCAATCTTTCTTGATTCCGATGCAGCTTCTTCACGAGCCACAGTTCTGGTTTGGCTCGAGTTCTCTCTTGATAGTACAGGCACAGGGTTAGATATATTGGAATTATTACGTGATAAAGGCAGTGCTTGATGCGGTGGTGCGGGTGGTGATTGTTGATTGAATCTAGATTTTCTATCTATGTATTAAAAGAGAGAATGCGCCCCAGTCAGTTCCTGAAAAAAAAAAAAAGCGCCAATATACTCCCCCCCCCCCCTACCCCCTTATATATACTTGCTCATATTATCTTCATGACTAATGGTACGATAGAGTAATTTACCATTGGGTTTCCCCGTTTCCTCTGAAAAGGTGACAGTGGGTGTACGTTCATGAAGACTACCGTGTCTTCCACGATTTAGATTAAACCTTCCCTTTTTATCCTAAAAAAAACAATAAGAAATAATAGAGTGAATACAGACACTTCTTTTTTGCTTTAAAAAAAAAAAAAAAAAAAATATAGGACACACACATTGGCTGCATCAGTATGAGGAAATCCAGGAGGTGCTGAACCTTGATGTTGATGCTTCATAATAAAATCATCACTGAGGGCACGCGTTTTTCTTGTGGGAGGAATAGGAGGAGGAGAATGTTCATTGGGTGTATAAGACCAAGATTCTGAGGCATGATGATGTGAAGAAGGTTTTCGAACCACCACTTGACCAAACGAGATATGTCGTTTAGGGGCTGCAATATGTTCTTCATTGAAATCCCATTCATCGTCTGTGCTCGTATGCGTGATGGTCTTTTGAGGGAATTTCTTCACCGGTCGATTTTCAATAGGTGGAATGTCCGAAATCAAGTTCTTTGCTAACCATTCTGATTTCTTGGCTTGTTTGAAAAATGCATGTTGCAATAGTTTTTCGGACGAAGGTCGTTTGGAAGGATCCTTACACATACAGGTATCAATCATCTCTTTAAATACTCGCGAAAATCGATTGGTGGTGGTTTCGCGTGATAAGGTCGGTGGGTCGTTGTTTAAGGTCATCATCAGTACTTTTAATGGTGGATGTTTTGCAAATGGTGCATGACCCGTTGCTAGTTCAATCGCAGTAATACCAAAACTCCATATATCTGCCTTATAATCATAATCTGCCTGTTCCATTACCTCCGGAGCCATCCAACAGGGCTTAGTATACGGGTTAATATACGCACACACACACTTTATAAGAAAAGGTTTTTTTTTTTTTGTTTACTTACAGTGCCGACAAAGGTCTTACGGACACCTCGTTCGCCCGTTTCCATGAGAGACGAAGAAACGCCAAAATCCGCCAAGAGTACAGATCCATCCTCATCCATTAATAAATTACCTGCCTTGACATCACGATGGATATGTCCATTCTTATGAAGATAGGCTAATCCTTCCAACGCTTGTTTTAAGATGGTCGCAATGCTTATCTCATCTAATCCATCTGGAAAACCAATCTTGATGATATCGAGACAGGAACCCACAGCCATATAAGGTGTGACAATGTAGAGTTTAGATCCATGAACAAATGAACCATACACACGTAATACATGCGGGTGTTTGGATAATGCCATTAAAGAAGTTTCTCTCTAAAAAAAAAAAAAAGTCATATAATTAATTAAAAAGGATAAAAAAAAAGGAGTAAAAAGGGAAAAGGGAGAAGGTGGTGGAGGAGATTGTTACCCTTAATTCGTCAATTTGGTTCCGTTCAAACATATCTAAATCAATGACTTTGATAGCCACTTGTTTATTATGAGGCAAATAAATCGCACTGTACACCATAGCGGATGATCCATACCCTGATTTTTGACTGTTTTTTTAGCATGAAATGCGGAGTTTTTTTTTTTCTAAAAGTGTATGTGTGTGTGTGTGGAAATACCTATAGGTTGCTTTATTTCAAAATCATCCATATTATTTGTTTGCTGCTGCTGTTGTTGTTGTTGTTGTTGCTGCTGTTGCTGTTGCTGTTGTCCGTGTGGGTCATCAAGTGATATATTAATTTTAAGACTATCTACTGTTCTTCTGGAGTCTGTAGGCTGCAGTATAGAGGTAGCAATTGTAGGACTATTTACAAGAATAGGTTTTGGTGAAATAAAACTCTCATTGCTTGCATGGTCCATGCTAAACATGATGGAGAGAAAAAGATAAAAGAAAGAGAAAGAGAAGAAAGGGAAACAAAGAAAGAGGGATTTTATATCTACATAATAATAATAGTAAAAAATAAGGGGTTCAGGCAGACATGTTTCTGAAATATGCTTTTTTTTTTTTTGCCTGCTTTTGCCCAGTAGATCTATTTTTGCATGACGTATTGAATTTTAGAGTTGTCAAATCGAGAGAGATGGCGGAGAAAAATTCCAAAAAAAAAAAAAAAAAAATCGCATTAAAACACACACGGAAGTCGAAAAAAAAAAAAATGTAATTAAAAAAAAAATAAAAATAAAATCCTTCTTCTTCTTTCTATCCCTCGTGTTTTTTTAAAACAGAGAAAAAAAAAAAAGTTTATATTTCGATGCCTCTTTCAAGACAAAAGAATGATCATACAGTGGATACAGGAGAATTACCTCGACATGGTATGTGTCTGAGTTTAGTTTTTTTTTTTTTTTTCTTTTCTTTTTTTTACTGCTTTTTTTTTATTTCATAAAACAATGTGTCTAAAAAGAGCCTTTCTCTTTAGATGGCATTCACCCATTTCAACTTCCCGCACCCAAAGATAAGAAGAGAGGCATATTTCGATTTGGAAGAAAAAAGAGTAAAGATTCATTTTTGACATGGAAAGAAACAAAGAAAGACTGAATGGGACTTTTTTTTTTTTTTTCTTAGGTCGATCTGACATTGCAGCGTCTATTTTCGGTTCTTCAACTCACGTCAATGACGATGGAGTATTTACAGGCGCACGAAAGAAATCCCGAGATGAATCAAGTGTTCATCCCGATATGCTGACAGCAACACTTCAAGAAGAAACTACCGGAGAACGTAAAACCTCTGCCAGTTCAAGTCATTCAAAGGGTAAAGAGAGAGAAAAATCGGAAGGAAATATCTGTTTTGCAGAGGATAAGGTACTTTTTTTTTTTTTTTTTTTTTACATACAAAATTATCGAATGTTGTCGAAGCAAACAAAAAAAACGTGTTGTAATATACATTCATCTGACTGTAAAAGTGTATTTATTAGGGTTTACAACGTAATCATTGTGGTCAATCAAACATAACAAGGGCAAACTAACCTAACCTAAAAAAACAAATTTTTATTTAGTCGATCAGGATTTTGGAACCATGGATGGTATTGTGAACCCAGATTATAGACAGCATAGACATCGCACCTCTGTATCACAGGTACTTTTTTTTTTCTTGCCTACACACACACAAAAAAATATAGCAATTAAAAAAATATCATTCAGAGAGGTGCTCCTACTGATACTGCATCAACAAAACATTGGCCTGCTCCCGATAGTTGGGCAGTGCAACCACCAGATGATATCACTGCTGAAGAATTACAAACACCAGCTCACTCCGCACATAACGATTATTTCCCTGTGGTCGAAAACGAGAATTGGAATGTACCCAGTAGAAACGTAAGCTAATTCTTTCTATCTTTGCGCTCTCTTTCTTTTTTTTTTTTTTTACAGTTTTTTCTTATTGTAATGCTTGTAGTACTGTATTCGTATTTTTCGTCCGGATGGCACCTTTGGCACTTTAATTGTCCCCTTGGAAACAACCACACATGATCTTATTCAACGGCTAGCCGGGAAATTCTTTTTACATGATCTCAGTAAATACAGACTCAGTTTAATTACGCATAACCACGGTAAACCCCCCCCCCCCTTTTTTTTTATTAGTAGCTCTTAAAAACTTGACAACACAGTAATTGACCTTAAACAATTTTTTTTTTTTTTATTTTTTTTTTTATATAGAACGAATACTTCAATTATACGAACACCCAATTCAAATACAAAAGACATTACTTGAACAGATTGGATATACGGAAGAGGATCATATTGAGGATGTAGGTAGAGAGGATAATTCGTACCTGTTTCGATTTCGTTTTGGACCCAACGTCACTCAAACCGTATCTGAAGAGGAAGAATTTGGAGCTTATCGACGTGTGGATCTTCAAAATAAGAATTTGGCTACCATCCCCATTTTTCTCTACAGGTATGCAGCACGTATCACCTCATTGGATCTATCACGTAACCTGATGATGGAGATCCCTGTGGATTTCGTCCAAATGTGTAAAAACATGAAACAATTATGGCTCACCAACAATGATTATAATGGCTTACCTCAGTCGATTCGATTCATTCCTAATTTGGAACACTTAAATGTGTCGGGCAATCATATCCAGGATTTGGAACCTGCACGACTCGATGAATTAGAGACATTACGTACCTTTCGAGCTTACAATAACAAGTTAACCACATTGCCACCTTCCTTTTCAAGCTTCAAACACCTCACCATCCTGTTCATCTCCAACAATTCATTTACGAAATTTCCAGCTGTCATTTGTGAGATTGAAAGTCTGGCCTATCTTGACATTAGTTTCAACAAGATTACTTGTTTCCCCGACGAAATCTGTAACCTGACACAGTTAGTAGGCCTTTTTGCCACAGCCAATCGATTGACAGGACGATTACCACCCAGCTTCTCTAAGCTTGAAAAGTTACAAGAATTAGACCTGCGACAGAACCAGATCACCGATCTCGATGAAATCTATCTCTTGCCTAAACTCGAAGTCATCTCCGTGGATTATAACGCCATCAGTGTAGTCAATTATGGATTCAAGAACTTGAGACAGTTAAAGATGTCCAAGAATCATCTCACTCAATTCACATTGAACCCGTTTCATTTGGTTCATACCGATGGACGACCACGTAACAAGCCCTGTATGTTGACAGATCTAAACCTAGCCAACTGTAAATTATCTTCCTTACCCGACGATCTCTTTGAAAGTGCGGGAGCTTTAGAACATTTGATCCTGGATAATAATACCCTGAGTGCATTACCTAGTAGTATCGGTAGTTTGTTTCGTTTATTACGTCTCTCCGTTCAGGGCAACAATCTCGAAACATTACCCTCTCAAATATCCAAACTCTCCGATCTAAAAATTCTGGATGCTCAAAAGAACAATCTCAAATCATTACCACGTGAAATATGGTTATGTGCTTCTTTACAGACACTCAATTGTTCTTCCAATTTACTCGATACCTTTCCAGAGCCTTTATCCGTACCTGTGCCTACAGCTGAACCTATGTCTAGAATGGATTCGGATACCACGGTCGTGGATTCGCCCGTACCACTGGTCGATAATGACGGTAATATTCCAGCCACGCTCTTATCCAGTGGATTTCATCCACCCCCTAATTTCAACCCTCCTTCGTTCTTTGCCAGTCCTCGTAATCACCCACCACCACTCTCTTTATCCTTACGTAACTTGCTTTTGGGAGACAATCGATTCACGGACGATGTATGGTCTCCGCTTTCCTTATTCCTCGAATTGCGTACACTCAACTTGTGTTTCAATGACCTGTACGAGATCCCACCCGAAGGTTTATGTCATCAACATTTGTACGAACTCTACTTGTCCGGTAATCATCTTGCTTCTTTACCAGCGGACGATATTGAGAAACTCAGTTATTTGCGCGTCTTGGCCGTGAATGGCAACAAACTTCAAACACTACCTGCCGAGATTGGTAAACTACGTAAGCTCCTGGTACTGGATGTGGGTAACAATGTGTTGAAATACAATATCTCAAACTGGCCGTATGACTGGAATTGGAATTGGAACCTGGGACTCAAGTACCTGAATTTATCAGGCAATAAACGGCTCGAGATCAAGAAGGCACACCCAGAGATGCATAACCCTAAAGAAAAAAATCTATCTGATTTTGGAGCATTGATAAGGTTGCGCATGTTGGGATTAATGGATGTGACCATCTTGGGTGTGTCAACACCTGAAGAATTTCATGATCGTCGTGTACGTACTTCTCCCTCTGAAGTCAATAATATGGCGTACGGTGTAGCTGATTGGTTGGGTCCCAGCGACCATCTTTCCACGTGGGATCTGGTCATGCCTCGATTCCGAAACCGAGACGATGAATGTCTCTTTGGTTTATTCGATGGACGCAAACACAGCAAGACAGGGTGTAAATTAACACGCTACTTGAACGACCATTTGACTTATAATTTCACGAACGAACTTGAGAAAAACAAGAACGATGATACCATTGTCTCTGCTTTACGAAGAACTTTTCTTTCACTTGAAAAGGAGTTTGGGTCGTTGAACACAGAAGAAAAGGAAACAGGTGCATCAGCTCTCCTGTGTTACATCTCGGGTACAAAACTCTATGTGGCCAATGTCGGTGATGCTTTAGCGGTACTGTCCAGAAATAACGGGGAAGCGCATGAAATCACCCAAAAACATATCCCCTTAAATCCAAGCGAGATCTCGCGTATTCGTGCAGCAGGAGGTTATGTCTCCAATGCAGGTCTCTTGAACGATGAACTCAATGTCTCACGTAGCTTTGGTTATTATCACTTGATCCCCGTCGTAAACGCCAATCCTTTCATCTCCACTATCACCCTAGCAGAAAATGACGAATTCGTCATCATGGCTTCCAGAGGTCTTTGGGATCGTATCTCCTACCAAACCGCGGTCGATATCGCGCGTACTGAAAAGGAAGATTTAATGATTGCTGCACAAAAATTACGAGATTTCGCCATCACGTATGGAGCCGATGATAATATCATGGTCATGATTATTGCTGTGGGGGATTTGTTTGATAAACGAGATAAACGTTTTCGACGTGGTTTAGCAGGTAATCGATCTGCGGGAGGTAGTGCAGATACCATTATGGATGAAAATCTTGGTATCGCTAAAAACAAGCGTCGTCTCAAAGATGAATTCCCTAGTGATTCTACTTTGGCTAGATTGGATCGTGAAGTACCCCCACCGACCAACCAGGTGGCATTGGTGTTTACAGATATCAAGAGTTCGACCTTGTTATGGGATACACAACCGGAAGATATGCGATCAGCCATCAAGATTCATGATGCGGTGATGCGTCGTACATTGCGAAGTATCGGTGGGTATGAAGTCAAGACGGAAGGGGATGCGTTTATGGTGTGCTTTCAAGATACCATCTCTGCTTTACTTTGGTGCTTTACAGTCCAACTGCAACTCTTAGAGGCAGATTGGCCTGCTGGTATTTTAGAGACTGAAGAAGGAAGAGAAATAGAAAAGGATCATACAACCATCTACCGAGGACTGTCTGTACGTATGGGTATTCATCTAGGCACACCTGTCTATGAGCGCAATCCTATCACGAAACGTATGGATTATTTTGGTCCTGTGGTGAATAAAGCAAGTCGAATCTGTAATGCAGCGGATGGTGGACAGATATGTGTGTCCTCTGATGTGATTGCAGCACTTCGTGAGATGCCTGGTGTATTTGGCGATACGGATGATGATGCCAGTTCAGTGATGACGACGGTTTCGAATAGCCCTCAACAACATTCGATCAGTCGAGATATTCAACAGATCAAACGACTTGGTTTCCATGTAGTGGAATTGGGTGAGAGAAGACTAAAAGGGTTAGAAACCCCCGAAATGCTTTCGCTTGTGTATCCTAAACAGTTGGCAGGACGTATGGAGATGGAAAAGGATGAAGTGATTGCGGCTCCGTCTATTATTTCAACACCGACACCCCACATGGAGCAAGCTCCCAATGCGCCTTCACCCTATTATGATCATGAAGAATCAAGATTACCGGCACGACAGATTGACCCTTCCTTTGTGATCAATCTTAGTAATTTGGCTATCCGACTGGAATCCATTACGACGGGAGCAGTGTTGAACAGAGACACGGAGGGAGGTGATTTGTATACACGTACCAATACACCGTCTGGTCTTGTGAGTATGACAAAATCCCATTCTGGCAACTCCAATTATACAGAAGCCTTTAATCGACGTATCAAGGATCATTCATCTGACGAAGAACTACTCATGTTGATTGAAAATTTCGTGACCCGAATCGAGGTAAAAAAGATTTAAAGTTTTTTTTTGAAAAAAAAATTATGTACATTGAGCTAAACTATATTTATAGAATGCGGCTTCTTCACTTTATTTGCAGAAAATGGGTAACTTTGCAGGTGTGTTAGAGAAATTGGGTGAAGCCATTGAATTAGATCCCATGCATATCTTGCGTGCACTTCAAATGTATTCAGAGGTTGCTGGATTGACATCAAAACCTTCAGGTCTTTAAAAAAAAGCTTTTGTACAATAATAATAAAAAGAAGGTCATCCGAGTTGAATTTTCTCACGACAAATAATGGCCTCTCTTTCTCTCTCTCTCTTTCTTTTATAAAGTTATTTTTTTAACATCAGTGTGATGAAATATTTACATTGATTTGAATGCAGTAATTTTCCTTAAAAAACGAAATATATGAGACGATGAGTAAAAACTCAGACAATTTGCTTTATTTAATCATTTACAGTTATTTATATTTAAACAATTGTTCGTGACACCAATGACAAGAGTCCAATCAAAAAAAATAAAATTCCTTCTCTTTTTTTTTTTATAACTCACCTCGCTTTATAATTCTGTCTCGCTCTCTTTCTCTTTTTCTTTTTTTATCTTTTCCAAAATATACCAACCACGCCAGATGACAAACACGGACAAAGTACAAGAGTCAACTCCCGAGTCATTAACCGTGATGACCGATTCCGAGCAATGTAAACCCACCGACAGCCCTGCTATTCTCACTGCCCTCAACGAAGAAGAGCAACAACAGGACGCGGTAGATGAAATCACGAAGGACAAGTCAGCACAAGATTTATCTCAGGTGATAACTGCCCTTCAAGAAGAGACCCAAGCACCCAGCCAAGTGAACGGGGATTCCCAAGAGGCAGTGGACCTTACTGCTCCAAGTGAACCAGACTCTCCTCGTCCCAAACCATCCTCTCTTTTGTTCGAGAACATCAAAACTTCCATTGATGTACCTGAAGGTCAAAATATGGCAGATTTCGTTACCCCGCCTACGCCTGGTGTTGCCCCTCCTTCCTTTTTGGCTTCTGACAATGAAGAGGAAGAGACAGGAAAGAATTCAGCAGAGATTCCTCAGGTCTCAGAACCTGCTCCTGCTGTGACAACAGATAACGGAGCTGCTATCGATGATACAGATGTGGCTTTTGCCACCGCCGCTGCTGCTGCTGCTTCTGCTGCTGCTGCAAACACAGAAGGTACAGCAGCTGCGCCCGTTCTTCCTTCCAATTCCAACACAATATCTGTATTCAACATTGATTTCGAAAATGTCAGACCCAACTTTTTATCCCCCAGAGCACAAGAAAAATACGGTATGTATAAATAAAAAAGAGGGACATACACACAGGGACAAGGAAGAAAAAAAAAATATATTGAAACATGTTTTTCGTAATAGATGAAGATATGAAGGCTGGTATGGATCATTTCTTTAACAACAAGTTTTCTCAAGCCAAAACCATATTTGAGAAAAGAGCCAAAGAGTAAAAATACAGAGAGAGAGAGAGAGAGAGAGAGAGTGACGAAAGAAAAGACATACGAATGGATAAATTAACCTGTTTTTCTCTTGCATTAGTGATCCATTGTATTCATTAGGACTTTCATCCATGTCATTTATTAAAGGTAAGTTCATAGACTGGATATCAGCACGTTTTTTTAAATAAAAAGTCAATCTAAACTTCTTTTTTTTTTTTTTTTTTCCTGTAGCAATTACCGTAAGTCCACACTCACACATCCTCTCCAGCAATCTTATTGTTTTGACACTTTTTTGATCTTGTAGTCTTATAACCCCAAGGATGTCGAGGGAGCATTATCTCAATTAACAGAAACTTATTTATTCGCCAATGCACAAGTGGATATTGCCGCCGCTAATAAACCTATCGGAGATGCTATTTCGCATTATTTCACCAACCTGATTGGATCCAACTCAACACATCTCCCTACCAAAACTCGACCTTTAACCAAATATGAACGTCAAGAACAAACTTTTTTCCCCAATGGTAGTCTTCGTGCCCATGTGATTAAAGCTGAATGTGGCTTACTCATGGCCATCATCTATCTCTCCATGGAAACCATGGTGGGATATCTCAAGGCTGGATTAAATCTTCGTCGAGGTAAAAAAAAAAAAAAAAAAATTACATGTAAAAAAAAAAAGGATGAGCTCCCCCCCATAGGCTAACTATCACCCCTACACGTAAACAGCATACAACAGTTACAGTCTTGTTTGGCAGGAATATAAACGTATGGGTCAAGATTTTAATAAATACATGGATAGAGATACGATTTCTGCAATTCAATTTGGTATTGGTTCCGTTCATCTCTTGCTTTCTTCTTTACCCCCCAAGATTCTAAAGATTGTATCCGCATTTGGTTGGTCCGCTGATAAACATCTTGGTTTTGCCTTGTTGAAATTATGTTTGGAAGGCAAACGTATCCGATCTCCTCTCGCCTCTTTAATGTAAGTCTTCCCCCCCTTCTTGATTACAAGTGAGAAAAATACTCAACCAACAATATACCAAAATAGGTTGTTATCTTATTATGTCACACTTGCTTCATATGCACCTCAAGTCCTCACGCGTGAATTAATTCAGCCCGCCATCGAATGTTTATTAGACGCACAACAGACCTATCCTAACTCAGCCTTCTTTTTATACTTTGCAGGCCGTGTATCTCGATTAGCACGCAACTTGCCACTTTCCACACAATCTTTTGTCTATACCTTTGAAGTCAGTCAAGGTGATTGGGCAGAAACTACGATTGGCAACCTCGCCACCTTTGAAATCGCCTTCAATTCAGCCATGGGACTGGACTGGACTAGTGCCGCTGTCCGTGCGCTTGAATTACAAACCAAGTACAACTCACCCGCCTTCCTCAAATACTTTTACGGTGCCTGTATGGAAATGATGGGTAATCGAACCGAAGCCATTTTATCGTTTGCAGAAGCACCTGGATTGGTGGACCGTAAACGTAACTCTCAACCCGAATTGTTTGTAGCCAACCGTGTCGCCTTTTTCGAAATCAGTGGCTATCAAGATTTGGACTTTAGTTTGCCCGCATTGGAAATCTTGTTCACTTGGAACGCTTTCCCCTGTATGGCACCGGAAGCCCTGGAGAAATGTCTCGAGTTGATCGAACATACTTTGGAATTGATCTATGAACGTGAAAAGTTAGAGTATGATATTCGTACCGTTGAGTTGGTCCCTGTGACAGCTACACCGGATTACTATGATCAACGCGGTACACTTTTATTAATGAAGGCGTCCATCTATAATGCTCTTAATCGATACACCGAAGGTATTGTGCATATCAACTGGATCATTGATAACAAGGAAAAGTTCAAGCATTCCAATTGGATTGTTCCTTTTGCTTATTGGGAATCCGGTAATATCTGTTGGGGAACAGAGGAGTTCAAGAGAGCAAGAGCTCTTTGGGAATCCACCTTGACTTATTCTGGCTTTGATTTCGAATACAGACTGGCTACCGTAAGTTTTTTTTTTTTTTTTTTGTATGTTTTGTATGTTAGATGACTTAATTTTTTTTTCTTCTTATAGCGTTTGAACTTGGCGATTCAACATGCGATTGATTTAGGTGTCCCTGAAACAGTAGTGCCTAAAGTAGATAAGGGAAAAACTACACATGGCCGCAAGAGAATGTCTATCGTTCCTTCAAAATCCACAGGAAGTATCATTACTTCATAAAACTCTTTTCATTGTAATTTCTACTTTTATCACCTTTTTAATAATATTTACCACACACATATACGTCTTTTTTCAATAAAAGTTATAATCTTTTTCTTTTTATGGATCAATTTTATCATTTTTTTTTAATCCGCAATATTTGCTTGCTTTTGGGATATTCGCACTCTGGTTCTATCTCTTAGGACGAGCCTGTTTTTTTTTACGTATGATTGTAGTGATTGCAGCTAGAACCAGGAAGAGATTCTAGATACCACCTCCAATGAACAGAATAAACTTTCCCATCAATAATCACATTATATAATAATCATAAGATTCGTAAACAAAAAAATAAGATAAATAATCGTAGCAGGGCATGGCGAGTGTTTCTTACTTTCTTCTTGGGGGTAAAATAGATCTTAGTTTTGACTCGCTGTTTTTTCTTTTTATCATTTTATTCCATTTCCCAAAACCCTATTTTACAGCAATGATTACGCCTGTTTTCTAGTATGTGAAGGTTCAAACATATGGATGATGAAATAAATAATTAAATCATCCTGACATAAGCCAACTCTTGTTTATCAGTTTATAAATAAACTCGTTCAAGCGGTTTTTTTTTTTGATTAAATAAGCAATTAAATCATCCTGACGTATAACAGCGCTTTTTTCATCAATCTACAAATAAAACCCATTAAAATACTTTTCCTTCCCCTCCTTCTTCTCTTCTTCTCTTCATTTTTTTTTTCATGTATATACTGTATAACACTATCTTTTTTAAAGGAAAGTTATAAATATTGTGAACAGGTTAGTTAATAAAAACTTTTGTTTTTTTTATAAAAACGCTAAAAACAACATTTTTTTTTTAAAGATATACTCCCATTTTTTGTTATCACGGCTACGTTTAGTCTTCACAATATAACCAGGACATCCCCGTTACCAGTTGTAAGCATCTGGGAAGAAAATCGAGTGGGTTGTCGTTCGCACAAGGCCAAAAGAACAAAAACAAAGGACCGCGTTTGTTCACTTTTAATGAAAATACAAAGTTCGATTGTATTATACGTAATCAACGCAAGCTAATGACTTGCGCCTACTAAGAATTCCTCGTTGAAGAGCAATAATCACAATGCTCTATCCCCAGCACGATCAAATTACAAGAGTTTAACCAGTGACCTTTCGGCCAAGGTTATAAACTCGCTGATTTCATCAGTATAGCGCGCGTACGGCCCAGAACGTCTAAGGGCATCACATTAACAAAAAAGAGGAAGCTACTTGCAGCATTTACGGTCTTCCCGTTAATCAAGAAAATAAGGACATTTAGCAAATAAAAGATCTAGAATGGACCGGGCTAGTACCTGTTTATTTTTTCCTCTGGAGATCCAACTTTGCCTTTTGCTATCTCAAAAAGAAAACAATTATTGGAGCCATGGAGGTACTGTGAGTACCACTCACTGAGTCAAGAGCAGAAAAAAAGCCGCCAAGATCCTAAAGAAGACAGTAGCCAAAGCTGATACGAATTTACGGTGCCTTGCTCAAAAAAGGTCGGTTGCTGAGCTGCTTCACTTGCTCATCCCTCCCAGGCCCATTCCCCAAATAACCGCAACGCTTTTGTGAACAAGGAGGCACTGGAGGATTTGTTCTTTGCCAACAGCAGATATACTCCAGCTTGAAAGCACGATCACTGTTCTGCAGCTGGGAAAGTATTGTGCTTTTATTGTACAAGACCAATACTATGATACAAAATGCATGAAGCGCGTCTTTTTACACGCTGCCAGTTTACATACCATAACACTTGACGACCGTGAAAAGTGTACGTTTGATTTTGCATTATTTCTACTTCGGTCTGCCAATATGAACAAGAAGGTTACCTTCATTATATCTGAAAGATTTGAACAGAAATTTAAGTGCATTGTGGAAGAAGATGAAATGGATCACGTCGCTATAAAGATCAGTGGAGATGAGCAGCTTATTGGTATCGCCAAAATTGTCACTCCAGAAGCAGTTAGCACACAAGTTGAACGTGCAAAAAACATCTTGAAACGCAATTATTATCTTGCCAGCAAAGAAACCATAGTCATGAAGGATAACCTTAGCTACATGATTGCTTCTCCTATCAACCGATTCTTCAACTCCAGAGAATATCGCGTCCGAAAAAACGACTTTGGCGACGATTTGTTAATGAAGAAGACAGACCTGAATGCAGTGCGGGTCTCTTAGGGACAGCCAAAGTGCACGTAGCCATGGCCTAGGATCGGGTACCTTTTGGCTGTCCCTAAGAGTTAGATAATAATCTCATGTTTTTAAGAGAGCATGTAAACACCACTTGAGATATACCATATGCAATACTCTCTTTGATATACTACCTTCAGGATTGTATCAGGCATTCACAGGTCAATGGGTATCCGATAGGTGGAAGAGAAATCATTTAGGACAAATAAATCATTATTTTTTAGGTTCTTTAATTCAATACCACCCCTACATTTTTCAAGGGACAGCCACTACAGCACGTGATCTCTTAGGGACGGCCAAAAGGTACCCGATCTTAGGCCATGGCTATGTGCACTTTGACTGTCCCTAAGAAAAGCGATAAAAAAAAAGCCTACAAGCAATATTAATCTTATTCTTCCTGTTTTTTTTTTATCTTTTATTTTTCTGTGTCAAACAACCCGTTTTTCCACACAGTGGAAGCCCCCTAGGGAACGGCGTATTGCAAGGCGTGATGTTATGGTGGCAAGAGTGTGTTTGATGGCAAGTCCAGAATTTCTCTCGAGACTATGGAATACATGAAATAAGTTTTTCTGGTAACTATGGATGACAGAAAAAAAGGACCCAAAAGCAGATGTGTGGGACATTGACCACCCATTCCACGTCAAGAATTGTTAATGAGTCACAACCGCAGACTCGGTCGCGTAAACTCGCAACATGTTGCGTAATTCCACGACATGTTGCGGGTTTATACCACTTGTTGCGGGTTTTTACCACATAGTCCGCCACTGTGAGTACGGACCTCAGCTTGTCGAATCAGTTATTATATTGGTTTTTATGACTAGATTTTCCTGTTTCATTCACAACAACCACCAGATCGATGATTGTGCCGACCTGTCAAAGGTAGGACACCAAGAAAAGGCCGTGGCTCTTATCAGAAGAAAGACAAGACTTGGAAAAGACTACTTTGAACTGACATACAGGTTTGGTTATGTTGAATTATTCGCAACAAGTGGATTCTTTGGCTCAGTAGATGGTACGTTTTTCTCCCCTTTCCTTGGGTCGTCAGTCCAAGAGCTTCCAGCCACTATTACGATAAGCTTTCGAACCGTCTCAACCAACGTAATTTTTATTGCCATCGAACAAAAAGAATACGTTTGCAAGAGGATAATGAACCAATACTATAAGCTACATGCAAAAAACAACTGGGGATTCTACAGCAAGAGAGATGAGGATAATAGTTTCTCGCCAGCGAACCCAATATCATTGGAAAGTCGGCATATCATGCATTCAGCTGCATCGCTTGTAACCAAGTCCTTTGCATACCAAGAAATTCAGCAAGAAGAGATGAACGTGCTGCTACTGAAAGTGCTAGCTCAAGACGACTCATCTCTTAATTCTGTCAGTATGCTCATTAAGAAATATCTTGTCTTTCTAAACCAGCATCGAAACTCTTCTTTTTCTTTATCTCTACCCAAAGAAACCAAAAAGGAGCTGATTGAAATTTATAATAACTCACTTGCTAGTGCCTTAAAATCCTCCAACATCAAGCACATCAATTTAACCAAAAAACGATACGTAGCAAAAAAAAAACATTCATTTGTTTGACTTTTTTTTTTTTTAGTGCGATAAGCCTTTCAATATGTAAATAAAAATCAATCCTTAAAATGTTAAGTACTTGTTTATTATCATCGTCGCTATTTTTCATATTGCATTGCTATAAGTATCATTGTAACTGCGAATCTACAGTTTTTCAAACCGTTTTTCTTTAGGACCTGGTCTGTGCATACGGAACCATGAATAACATTTGAGATATTGTAGGCCAACCCTTTGAATTTTTTTTTTCTTACTCGCCCTTTTATTTAAAAAAAAAAAAAAAAAAAAAAAAAAAAACGCCCTTTGACGTTGCTTTTACTGTACACAAATTTTATTTAGATAGGGGTATATTTACAGTTTATACATTACTCTCTTGCCATTTGTAAGTGAAATTTAGGAATTTTCCCTTTAATTATACGCATGATAGCCTTCATGGTTTCTTCCATATTTCCTTTTTGATTGACTTGAAATTCAAACGATTCAGTCTCAGGGTCTGAAGATCCTGGTGAAGTGGTGTTCATCACAGATATCAATTTTATCTTTAATTTACTTGATGGAAAAGTACCTGGCTCCATATTAACTAATTACACAAAGCAAAAAGAAGAGTGAGAATATGTAGTAAAATCAAATGTTACTAGACCTACAACTAATGATGAGGGGCGCTTGTGGTTTAGGTAATGAGACACCCGTCCCTAGATTCTCAATGGAGATGGATTTAAATTCTTTAAATTCTGCCCATTCATCACATAACACGGGCAATTTGATGGTCATGTACAGTGAGAAATAGGCATAGTCTTTGGAATCGTAGACCATGATTTGACTAAATCCTTTTCCGTTAACTCTTGACTCATCCCCAATTTGTTTTGTAATTACTACTTACTCTCGGTATTTGGTTAACCAGGCTGTCATAAACACCTTTCTAAAATCATCCTGCCTTTCCTTTACACTGCCTAAATCGAAAAGTTTGGTTTGATGATGGTGATTCTGTAGTGGTCTACGTTGTTTTTGAGGGGATGGTATGGATGAAACAGGCAAGACATCTTCATTCTTATCTGAGGGAAATGAAAAAATATCTGCAGCCGGTGCAGGTTTTTTCTTACTGCGAAAGGAAGCTAAATTCGCCTGGATAGAACCAAAGGATGCTTTTTTCGGTGTGGGAGGTTTCTTTAGTTCCTTAAAATAGCTGCTCGTATGAATATCTAAATCATCATCGTCATCAGAAAACAAACTGTCCTTATAATCGTCCTTGAACTTTGACTTGTAGTCCTTCTTTTCCTCAATTTTGTAATCGTCCTTGTACTTGACCTTGTAATCATCGTTAAGTATGATGCTGTCATCCTCTTCAAAGTCCATGATGTCATGGATTTTTTGGGTCTCCTTGTAGTCATCTTTATACTTGATTTTGTAATCCTCCTTGTCGATATCCTTATAATCTTCTTTATACTTGATTTTGTAATCCTCCTTGCTAGTATCTTTGTAATCATCCTTATACTTGGTTCTGTAATCCTCGCTTTTGGGATTTTTCGTGTACTCCAAATCAAAATCATCCAAGTCATCGTCAATCTTTACCTTTTCACTAGCAAATTTCTTGGCTTTGGGCAAACTTATTTCCTCTTCTTCATCTTCCTCGTCCAATAGTACTCGTTTTTTACCCTTCCTATCCTCGAAAAAGGATAATTTAGGTTGCATTGCACTGACAGCTGGCTAGATAATAAGAATGAGTTTTTTTTTTTTTTTTGCTTTCTTAAAAAAGACGACTTCTAACAGAATAAAAAAAAAAAAAAAAGAACCTTCTTGATCAATAGTTTCAACATGCTTTCAAACCATGTGTACAAGCAATCCTCCTTGTCAAGATTCCAGTCGTCGTGAGGAAGTAATTTCGAAATATCTTGAATGTCGGGCAAGGTATGAAACACAATGTCGGGAGGAAAATGAAGGAAATTGGTGTCAAATAAGATTTGGCCTACAAGTATGTAAAAAAAGTGTGGTTTTAGTCTGTATGGTCTCAATGGGATCTTTAATTTAATTTTTCCTGCGCACATTGAACACTTGAGTCGACACTAAGTCGAATAGTAATATTAAACCGATCATGAATGACAGGCTTTATTAACCCGAAACCATAATGCGAAGAGCGAGTACTGTTTAGCGTAATTTCATTTAATGTGGTCAATTTCTTGACAGCCTTGTCCAATTTCTTATTCAATGCGTCCACCATTCGTATATGGATTTTTTATGGAGAGAGATAGAGAAAGAGATAGAAAAGAGAGAGAGATTTTATTTTTAAACAGGCGCTCCATTATTATTTACCAAGACCCGTCTCTAACAACATGACAGTAAACATGCCGACAAATAAAAACAAGATGCAAAAGGAAGCCCATGTAATGACGCCTCGACTTGCGGGAAAGTTCCCATGCTGTAAAGCCCATTGGGCATGGAAGTATCGAACATTGCCAAAGTATAAGAATAAGATACTAGAGAACACAAATATGAGACCTAAAGCTCGACCAATGCGTTTATGATGTGCTGTAGATACATGATATACTTGAATAATGCCTTTAAATATGTGTAACAAAAAAAAAAAAAGGGTAAATATCTATGCATGTGTATCTTCATCATTGGGGATTATCTTTTCATTGTACCTATACCGAGCGTGATTAATGAAAGTGATGTTCTGAACCATGCAAGATATGTCCGTTCATTCGCTAATAATAATAATAATAATAATAGTAATAATAATAGCATTAGATATATGTACCAACATGTAAAAAACGTTTGGTTCCATACCCAAGTGATCTCTTGCGGTATTTCCTTTATTTTCCAGAACGACAGCGGGTGAGTATTTGGAATAGATATCATCAAGGTATAATAAGAAGGAAGAATAAAATAGTTTATCGTCCTCTTCTTCAGTGTCATTATCCACCAATGTTCGTTCATCATGTTGTTGCTGACGCTGTAAGAATAGAATAGCATTTCTATCCTTGATCTGTTTCGTATCTTTAAAAGAGATGTGGGTTCGGTATCCACCACTGTCATAGCTGTTACTACGATAATGTTGCTGTCCAGTCATGATGAGTATATATGAAGAAAAAAAAAAAAAAGAATGAAAAGGGAATTATATTGTTTTCTGTGTAGTTTCTCCTATTATCATGATATCGGCTTCAGATGCCTCATCACCCCTTATTATCAATCCCTTTTACATTAAACTTTATAAGGTCATTTTCTGCAAGATCTCGTCTCCGGTGCTTGCTCCCCCCCCCCTTTAGCATTGTTGGGGTGTAAGAGGGGACTGTAAATGTTTTTCTGACCAATGAAAAATCTTTCATCACATTTTGCATAAGATTAAAAAATATTTATTTACCTAGTCTGTATATGTTTTTTTTTTCTCTCTGTGTGCTTTTTTATTATTTTCCCACAGAACAACACGTATACAATAAAATATTTTATAGAAAAAAAAAAAAAAAGGATGACAGAATATCATAGTGAAAGTTATTATGAAGAAACATTAAAAACCAAGGAAATTCGATCTATGCCGGAAGGATCCGCACGGTTAGCTGCACTTCGAGATTTAGGTGTCACTTTTGATGAAGGACAGCATAGAACTACCAAGATTGCCACCCCATCTGGCACACCCAAGTTACCCACTTTTGTCGACGCCGCACAAATTGAGGTAAAATTAAAAATCTATCACTTTTTATACTGTATACTCAATTGCAATTCCTCCTCATCAATATAGCGTATGTTAAATCAAAAGAAAATAAGCTCGTTTGCAAGAGATGATGTATCTCAATGCTCTGATTTCCTTTAAATACTCTCACACACACAATAAAGAAAAAAAAAAATCTTTTTCCCTTCTGGGTTAAACCTTTACCCCTCTCTCTTCCATCTTTTTTTTTTTTTTTTTCTTTTGAGACAAGGCCCTTTTTTTTTATTACCCCGCGTTCTCCTCTTCGTTACATATAGAAATGCTTCGCTCGGCATTGAAAAGATTACCAGTTTGCACCACCCGATTGTATATTATTAGACCTTGTTATCATGTCAAGCGGTTTCAGTCCACCGTAAGCGGTACAGAAGAGACCCTATCTCCACAAACATTCACAAACAACACCATTGCCAACCATGGTAAGTTTTTTTTTTTTAATCCCATTAGTTAAAAACCCAACGGAAAAGCTTTAACGCCTTGAAAAAAAAAAAAAGTATCGCCTATTCGTCGATATGATGAAATTACCAGCCATGGGGGGCCAGTGAAATCCGACCCAGACCAAAGAAAGGTGATTGAGAAACTAGACGAATTATGGTACGACCTTCGAGAATATCAACCCCAAGCCTTCAAAGAGCAAGGCAAATCCGTAAGTGTGTGTGTGTGTATTTAAAATAATATCTAGAGGAGAACTAACATTTTCAATGCAGTGGGGAAGTTGGTTTGGGTATAGAAACGAGAATAAAGTAATGGAAAAAAACGTCCCGGAATCCTTGTATATCTATGGTAACGTGGGTACGGGTAAAACTATGGTGATGGATTTATTCTTTGATACATTGGCCATTACCCGTAAAAGAAGAGTCCATTTTCATGCTTTTATGCTGGATGTTCATCAACGTATTCATCGTGTGAAAACAGAACATCCCGTGCTGGCAGATCCTTTAGCTCCCATTGCCGATGATTTAGTGAAAGAAGCCTATGTGTTGTGTTTTGATGAATTTCAAGTCACAGACATTGCAGATGCCATGATTCTTCGTAATCTATTTGAAGAACTCTTTAAACGTGGTGTTGTACTGGTCACTACATCCAATCGACACCCTACCGAACTATACAAGAACGGTATTCAACGTTCCTCTTTTATACCATGCATTGATTTACTCTTGAAGAAATGTGATGTCCTCTGTCTCGATTCAGGCACCGATTATCGAAAGATCGAACGAGCTCAATCCAATGTGTTTTTCCATCCGTTGAATCGACAGACGACGGAAAAGATTGATGCGTTGACAAGACAGTTAACTGGCGGTAAAGAGATGGTGCCCAAAGATCTGCATTTCTTATCCCGTACCTTGACGATTCCAGCACAAGTGGACGGTGTAGCGAAAATGACGTTTGCTAGTGTCTGTGCTCAACCACTGAGTGCGGCGGATTTTATTGAGATTGTCAAGAACTTTCATACGGTGATCTTGACAGATATTCCAAGCATGACGATGAAACATCGTGCTGAAGCCAGAAGATTCATCACGTTCATCGATGCCATGTATGAATCCCATGTGGTCCTCATTGCAAGTGCAGAAAATGGCATGATGGATATCTTTAACGCAGAAGAAGGCAAAGAAGAAATGCAAGAACAAATGCTTGCTGCCATGAGTCAAGATTCTTCCTTGGATGTCTCGGATATTTCTTCGCCTTTATTCTCGGGCCAAGAGGAAGCCTTTGCTTTTCAAAGAGCTCTCTCTCGATTAATTCAAATGCAGAGTACCGAATGGGTTTCCCAACGCTTGATTGTGAAATAGATAGACAGCTTTTTTATTTTTTTAATTTTTTATTTTATATCCGCTTTTTTTTTTTCTTTTTTTTTTCTTTTTTTTTTTTTTTTTTTTATATATATATAGAAAAAAATTAATTACTATTGTTGTTATTGTACAATTTGTTGTCATGCTGATTTAATTTACTCGTATTCTCCTGTGCGTCCATAAAATGATGGTTGCCATTATTAGACCATGCTGAAGGTTGAGGAGGATAATTATAAGGCACAGGAGTTCCAGGTCGTGTGCTACCTCTATTTGAATTATCATAGGATTCGTACGAATCTGTTCTCCCATGTTGTACCTGTTGCCAATTCCCCAAGGCTCTTGCCATACCCACCTCATAAGGATCAAACATATCTGGACCACCTTGTTCCACCATCATGGGTTGATACTTTAATCCTGGTCGATGTCTAGCAAAGAAATGGGAATCATTGGCACTTTGAGATCGATGATGAAAGTTACTGAAGGCGGATGAATTATTATTATTAGTATTATTGTTATTATTGAAACTCGTGTTGATCATGTAGTTTGGTTGTTCCATCACCATAGGAGGGGAAGAGAATACGTATTGTGGAGGTGGTAAAGTCACCTTGTCATCTTCCTTTTTCACGTCTTCCTCTTCGTTATTGCTAGTATGGGAAGAAGAAGGAGGAGAAGCAGATGGTTTTCTCTTCTTACTGTTACTAGTACGTTGTTGATGTTGATGTTGTTGAGGTTCGAGACTGTAATGACCAGGACTACGACCGCGAACTACCAGAGGAGAAGAATAACACTCTGCAATGGTATGCTGTGATCCATCCTCCAACTGAGCAATCAAATCAAAGATCAGATGAAAGTATTGCTGTGATGCTCTCCTTTTCCCGTTGTTTGCTGTGGCGACTCGAAACTGTAAGCGTTCAAAGGTGACACATACTTGTTCGGATCCATACATTGTGTCTGAGGGAGCAATGGGTATCACAGGAGGCTCTCTCTGAGGCCCTTTATCACGCTTTGGGGTCATTTGGGTTAAAGCGACGGGTCGAATGATATTGTTATGTGGATCTGGCTCTGCGGAGGAAGTACATGCCTTTAATCGGAGAAAGAATTGTCCAATGGGTTGCAATTTCTCTAGAAACTGCAATGCATAACATGTCCCCTCTGAATGACCTTGGATAATAAAAGACGCCGTGACCTGAAAATAGTTTCGACGATAGCATGTCCAATGAGATTGAGATGTAAAGAATCCTCGATCCATTTTACAGTTGAATACGATTGGACAACTAAAAAAAAAAAAAAAAAAAAAAAGGTTATTTCGTGCCGTTAGCAAAAAAGGGGATGGGGGCGTAAATTTTTTATTTATTTTTTCTATTTACCTTGTTATTTTTCTTGTGTTGAAATCAAATAGGTTCATTAAAATCTTTGGCTTGCAAAAGAAATTGGGTTCATCTTGGGTCTCAATTATTGCTGTGGATGAGTTATTCAGCTGAGAAGCAATGGATTTAGGAATCGGAAGTGGGAACATTTCACTTGTTGTGGTCGTTTCATTTTTCAAAGGTGAATTTCTGTTATTTTTTTTTTTTTATTTAGTATCCCGTAGAATCATATGTGTTTATTCTGTACCTCTTGAAATCAAACGATCTGTTCTCTTGCTCATTATTACCACTGATCGTATGAATTAGTTCCAATATCACTACGCGTGTTTTAATCAGGATGTTCTTACTTTATAAATGCGTGTCCAACTGGCATAGAGTGGGATCGTTGATGAAAAAGCGGTGTTACCATGACGTTTTCAGACATCATGTAGAAAAAAAGTAAAGACAAGGAAGAAAAGAAGAAAGAAAAAAAGAGAGAGAGAGAGAGAGGGGTTAGAAATTGTGTGTGTGTGTGTGTGTGTGTGTGTGTTTATAAATAATAAATAAAAAAAAAAAACCTGTTAGAGAGACGATTTCAGGAGTTGCTAATAAAAATACGCCATTCACGATTTTTTAGACCTACTCACTTGCCACCTTTTTTTTTTTTTTTTTTTTTTTTTTGAAACAGACGTCTGAGTTCCAATCAATATCCGCATATTACAAAAGGTTTTTAGTCATTGTACATTAATCACCTTCTTATTTAACAGTGTAAATAAAATGGCCACTTGTTTTGTCAAGTTGACAAAAAGAGGGGGGGGAGGGAAAGTGTGTAGGATACACGAAACTGTAACAGAAACAAATAGTAATACAATTTAAATATATACACACAATGAAAACATAAAAAAAAAAAAAAAAAATCATTTGACAAACAAAAAAAAAAGTGCATTTACCAAATAAAGTAAAACTCCCTTTGAGTGGGACCGACTCTCTTTCTTTCGCAGAGAAAATGCCGGTATACAGGGCGCACTAGTCGATTTTTGGAAATCACCAACAGTTTCGTATCACGCTAACATAAAAAAGACCTTTCCGGATCATTTTTGCAGAAGTAATCGGCCACTCATTGCCTTTTCAGCCGCTGCCGTATTATCAACTTGTGCGCAAAATAAGTACACACAAAAAATTACATGATAGCGTAAAAAAACTATTTATTTTTTTCTTAAAAAAAGGGGGGGTACGCATCTTACTTTTTACCGATGAGGGGGGATACCCAGTGAAAAGGAAAAAGCAAAAGAAAAAAGATAAAAAAAAGGTACTCGCCTATTTTTATATGCAAACTAACTACTATACCACATGATTCTTTTCTTCTTTATAAAAGCACATCTTAAAAAGTGCATACAAAATCATCTTCCTCCCACCCAACAGCTGACAGATTGTATTTGTAGATCAAACATTTCTCATGTTTAATGAAACAAACGTTTCATTATAAAAATTCCTGGGTTGAACTTTACTTTTTTTCATTATTTGGGAACACTACGTACCATTGCATCATTTTTTTTTTTTTTTGGGTCCTGTGTTCTTGAAAATTAGGATGGACATCTTGTCACACCCGTGTACTATTGACAGTTTTCTAAAAAAAAAAAAAAAAAAAAAGTAACACAAACCGCTTTTTTGACGGGTTGGAAACACTTGGTACCCCCCGATACATTTACACAAAATATACTCTACCTCTGGCGTTCTATCGAAACACAGTCTATATTTATTTTTGTAATGAACCACTCGCTAAAAGCGTATTCTATCTCGACACTAATTGATATGACGCTAAGAACTGGCTTTAGAAACAGGAAAAAAAAAAGTCACCTTGCATTATCATTGCAAGCCATCACAGTGATCCTCTGATATAGAGTTTATTCCTCTTTTGGCAGGACCTTTGGTCTATAAATCCACTCTCTCGTGTGCGTTCTTGTACTTTTTTTGTAGGTAATTATAAACCGGTGCCTTTCCCCCAGTTGGGCCTTACGCAAAAAATAAATAACTAAAAAAAGGGCAATTTTTTAATTTCGTTGCCATGGCAACGAAATTACATTTTGGGATCCCATGTTCAATCACATTTTGAGAAGTTTTTCTTTTTTTTCTCCACAAATAAAAAATACCTCTAATCCAAGGGAATAGATCGAAACACTTTTTACTTGATAATGACTTTAACGAGAAAGGAGGTCATGATTGACTAATTGTCTAAGATCGTGTCATAAGAAGAGGAGCTTTATCTCCAAACTGATGTTTGTAATGATGTACGTATTAGTGATCTCCTTAGATATAATAGTCATTATAAGTGTCAGATCAGTTATTATTGAGATAAAATCCACTTTTGATGAATCACCTCAATTTCAAAACTGCCAAAACAACTTTTTCGAGGGAATTACTAAAATATTTAACAATGATCAATCATTTTTTTCCAAACTTTAAATCACACACACTAACCTACACGGTGTCTTTTTTTCTCTCGTGAGTAAGATAGACAGTTATGCAAAAACCGGGTGTAGTGCACTGCAGCAGAGACGTCTGCAATTTTAATGCCTCATTGCTTTAACAGAATTGATCAAGTACAGAGTCATAAGAACACCCTCTTATTGAGAATAGGCATTTGCAGATCTTTTTGGTTTTTATTAGTGACAATAAAAGAGCTGATCATTCTACTTTTATTTTAACACAATCAAAAAGACATACACAAAAGCCACATGCATCGACACTACATTTACATTAAAAACAAAGAAAATAAAGCCCTCTTTTTTTTTTTTTTACTACTTTTGCTGTCTGTACAATAACAAAAATGCACATGTAGGTGTAAAAAAGTATGTTTTTTTTTATATGTTGAGATTCAATGCACATTTCTTATGAGTGAGCTATTTTACAAGATAATGACAGGAATAAGCTGTACATGTACAGTACTTGCTATCACCATGAAATAATTTGATACATAATACTAAAGAACCTTTTTTATTTTATTTATTTAGTTATTCTTAAGCGAGCGCAAATATGACATATTTTCAGTAAGCACAACCTACCGATGACTGTGTTGGAAATAAATTAGGGTAAAAAGATAACATTCAAATTCCGGGATTGATGCGCTACCCCCCTTCCCTTCCGTTTCTCAATATTCTAACCGCACGCATCCACACAACTGCAGTCTATACGTGTAAACTATTAAACACACAATTTTAAGCGCATTTTCATAAAAAGTGAGGGGGAAAAAAAAACTATGAATACAGATGATGTAAAAATAGATCTGTAGAATCCGAGCCAGATATTCTGTTTCTCGTATTCATAGTAGTTTGTGATATAATTCATGTCAGCATATTTGCAATCCCATAATTGATAAAAGTGAGGGGGACAGTAGGTATTGATATAGTCAGATAAGGTAAAGCTTTGAAAAGATCGATTTAAACAACTCACTGTAGTTGACCCTTACTGACAAACAATAAAAGCAAAAAAAAAAAGAAAAGAAAAGCGGGTAGATAATAATCTAGATTATAGTTGATTACAACAGAAAAAAAAAAAAAAGAGCAATTTATTCCTTAAAAGCATTTCTGTAGTGACATTTCATATAAGAAATTTGCTAGGTTAAGCTCTTCTAGAAATTATATGAACTAATATATATTTATATTATCCAGAAATCGGCCGCATTACATATAAACTCTATCATACTGTAAAAATGCTTATCTTCGATCAACGATTAGCATATGCATTACATCAAGACATTTAAAACATATGTAGTAATATCCTTTTTTAAATCGCATATCAATACCAGTTCGATTGAAACCCATCATTCTTGGGTAGGTTATTTCATCTCTTTAGTAAATTTTATAGAAAAAAAGAAGCGAGATAATTTATTTAAAAATAAAAAATGGAGTTGGTGAAGAGAGAGAGAAAGAGAAATATGGGTGACAATGATAATATATAGAAGAAGAAGAAAAAAAAAAGGCAGTGTTGTGTTAAAACTATTTATAAGGCGGAACGGAAAGAGAGAGAGAGACAAAGCTGTTAAACAAGAGTTGTCGATATTTTTTGGTTTTTTTTTTGGAGACAATCTAATTTTACAGTTTTTTTTTTTTTTTTTTTTTTTTTTTTTTGTATATATCTTGAACCAGCATTTTTTTGTTGTTGTTTTAATTGTTGAATAGTATAAAGAATAGTTTAAACAAATGTCCACTTGATCTTGCAGATTCCTAATTCTAAACCACCACAAACTTCTTGAAATACTAAATAAAAAAAAAGAATATGAGTACATAATCAGCAGTGTAAGATTACGATTCACTTACAGGAAGTTGACATATCCAAGCATCCATAGTTACATCCAGGACAGGTATCAACAATATCAGCCATGATGGATTTACCTTTAGGACCATCAATTTTGACTTGTTGCTTACAGCGAGGGTTATTATTTGGGTTCACCTCTAGATAACGCATGATGAATAAAAAAAAATTGTATGAAATCAACAAATATGTGTATATTTTACCGTTTCCCATTTGCTCATGATTGACAGCTACAACAAATTCACTTGCACTGCTTTGAATACCGCACGATCCAAGTCCAGCTTCAACGTCATAAAAAGTTGCAATACCAAGAATAGCGAGAATATGTTTAGTGGTTCTACCAAGGTCTAGTGGAAGCGACTCTGTGTGCTGCACAAGTGCGAATAAAGAGATGAGAATGAAGACAAGGTTCAAGATTTTATTCATTTTTTTTTTTTTTTTACAAGTGTACAGAGAAAAAAAAAAAAAAAAAAAGAGTTGTGTGAATTAGTTGGGACTATTTATATCAAGTCAAAAAATATATTATTTTACTCCTTATATTATAGCAACAGCAAAAAATAAAAACAACGAAATTCTATTAGACGATATAAATTTGATTTGATTTGCTTTGCATTACCCCTTTTTCATCCTCCTAATACATGTAGCAGCCTAAAAAAGGGTAAGCCAAGCCTCTCTACTATCTATCAATAGCACTCCTTTTCAGGGCCTCTCTCTTTCTATTTGTTTACACACTTTGGTCGTACAACATGAAATCTATACATATGCCTTATAACAATATATCGGCCGAGAAGTGGCGCAAATATATATATAAAAGAAAATACATTGCATACTGAACCATCCAACTTTATGGCTCCCAAACAAAAACATTCGTAACTACAGAAATTCCGCAAAAAAAAAAAAAAAAAAAAAAAAAACTGTTGTGTAAAAATGTTGCTTTGTTTTTTTTTATTATTACTAGTTTCTTCTTGTGACATTTTACAACAGCCACAAAGAATGGGAAAGGGGGTCCTTTCTTCGTTGGTATGATATAAAGAAAGCAGAAAAAAAAAATAGTTTCAACAAGGAGTTGTGCAAGATTTAGTATCCCTTTCTTTTTTTTAAGCTGTAAAGTAGTAGTGGGAGATGCACAGATCCCCTTCATGTATTGGCTGTCTAGCTAAAGCAGCACACTAGTTATACTTTAACTACATACATTGGCTGATAGAATTCTCTATTTTTATCACTTTTTTAAACAATTCCCTCAACAATAAATCTTGTTTCAATTAAATAGATTAAAAACCTTTATTGTGCTTTCTTTCTATTTCACACATACAAAAAAAAAAAAAAAAAGAAACACTCGTTTCTTCCATAGGGAGTATCGTCATAGCAATACCAGTGCTGGGAGACATATAAAAGAAGCCCTCTCCCAATGCACTCACCCCATGATAAAAGATATCTAATAAAAAAAAAAGACAGGCATTTTTTTTTTCATGCATTCTCTATCGATGACGAGCCAAACTCAGAGATTTTTATAATCCATCTGCCTTTACCTTACAAAAAAAAAAATTCATAATCATTATTAATTAAGAATCTTTAGAAAAAACTAGTCTTTACACACTTTTCTATTAAATGAAAATCACTTGTTTCGAAAGAAAGAGGTGTAGGTATATAAATGGTATCGTGTAATGTGTTTATTTTATAGACACGATATTTTCTTCTCTCTCTCTCTAATATAAATGGGGGGGGGGGGAAAAAAGAAACGACTGTTCCTAGAACAAATCTATTTCCAAACGGAATCATACAGTATCCATGCTAGTTTATATCTTGCATTAGAAAAACAAAAACATTTAAAAATAAAAGATCAATCGGTTTTCCAAATCGTATGTTTATTTCTTTTTCCGATATTTTGATCTACTCGTACGCTTTTTTTTTTTTTTTTTTTCCTTTTTTTATTATCTCGTGCTTCTGATCTGTACCGGATCTGTTGACGTGCAGGTCCTGAACCTTTGGGTTCGACAGGCTACACAAGAAAAAAAAAAAACTAGTTTGAATATGGTTGAAGCCGTCACCTAAAACTTTATTTGTAATTGTTTGCATTGATGTTTTTTTTTTTTAATTTATAATTATTTCTCTCTTCTCCCCTCCTTTTTTTTTTCGTTTTCCGTTCTTAGAACTGTCAAACGTGTTTATATAATTCATGCCGATGTAAATACAAATGACGCTATTTACCAGTTCAACTTTCTTTATGACGACAATTCTGTTAATATGAAATAGCTCTGTTTGTAACTTCTTCATTTTTATTTAGACCACTTTCTCAGACTATTTATTTGCTCATTCTAATTTAAAAAAAAAAAAAAAAAAATTGATCCATTTTTTTTTTTTTTTTTTATAATATACTCGTTGTTTCATTATGTACAAAGATACGCGATGCAGCATCATTTTTAACATCCGTGTCCCAAAAGAAGCCAGGCATCACCTCATTTAAGCTAGGTACACCCGTTTCCATCCCTACTTCATACCATCGATCCGTCGCAACTTCTTCTTCCTCTTCCTCCTCTTCTTCTTCCTCCATATCAACTTGGTATGGTTCAAATAATAACGTTGCACGCGGTGTTTCGGGTACCACCTTTAAGACAATCACCTCACTTTCCGTCTTGACTTCATCTCCTCCCGATAAAATCGCTGCGATATCCTTTAATACATCGTTCACATACAATTTCGTATTCACCACCTTATCATCGGGTCCCATGCCAGGTCTAAGTGTTGCCATGGAAGGTCGAGGGGATTGAACAGGTGTCAATTTACTTAACACAGGCTGCTGCTGTTGTTGCTGCTGTTGTTGTTGCTGCTGCTGCTGCTGTTGATGATGATGATGTTGTTGTTGCTGCTGTTGCTGCTGTTGCATTTGTTGTTGCATTTGTTGTTGCATTTGCAACTGTTGTTGATGATGAAGTGGTTGTTGATGCTGTTGTTGTAACTGTTGTTGTTGTTGCAATTGTTGCTGTTGCAATTGCTGTTGTTGCTGCTGTTGCAAAATATGCATCATATGTGCTGCCTGTTGTGCAGATTCTGTCTTTACCTCCTCACCTGTTCCTGGTGTCCCCGTAAGATCAATCATACCGTTATGATTTGTTGTTCTTGAACCCTGAGAAGCCTGAACATGAGCATGCGCTTGTTGTTGAGCATCTGACATTTGTTGCTTCATCAATTGTGCTTTCACTGCCTCCACACGTTCTGTCAACATGGCCCGAATTTGTTGTTGTTGTGAAGGTGTCAATGAAATACGTTTTTGAGCGGATTGTTGTAACAACCAGCTACATTGTAAAGCACGTGGGGGTAATAAGTTCACAACTTGAGGTGGTAAACCACTAGCAATGGCAGCTTGGTATATCATTTGAGTTTGCGCTTGCTTTTGACTGAGTGTCATGTTGGCTTGACTGGCAGCGGTAATCACGGCTGCAGGATTCGTCATAGGTTCTCCCATTCCTGCTGCTGTTGTTGTTGTTGTTGGTGCTGATGTAGGTGTGTTGATATTACCGGTAGTTGCAGAGCCTGCTGAAACAGCGGCAGCAGCGGTAGGGGTGGATGCAGTGACAGATGGACTTTCTTCATTCATAGCGCCTTGGGGTGGGATTCCCATGGGAGGTGGTGTACCTGTTAAATCGACCATATGATTCGGTGTACCAACCATACTACCACTAGGGCTACCACCGGTATTTGGACTATTTCCTTGTGCCTGTAATCGATTTTGTTGAGGAATAGGCGATCCCTTCATTTGAGGTGTGACAGACGTATTAGCAGGTGATCCTCCTTGTTGATTCGCGCGCGCCTTTTTCGATGGAGGTAATTTTAGATCTATACCCGTATGTTTTAATCCGGTCGCTTGACCTGAGTTTTGTTGTTGTTGTAAAGCGGGTGTAGATGTGGATGAATTCGTACCGTCCATCTGAGGTGTTTGACCTCGATTTAATTGAGGTGTACTGCTCTGTTGACGCTGTTGCGCTTGTTGCTGAGCTTGCGCTTGTTGTTGAGCTTGGACAGCCTTGGCTTGTGCTAATTGTTGTTGTTGTTGTGCTTGCTGTTGAGCAAGTTGTTGCGCTTGTGCTTGTGCTTGAGCTTGAGCTACTTTAGCAGCCTGTGCCTGAGCCTGTGCTTGGGCCTGTGCTTGAGCTTGCGCTTGCGCTTGTTGTTGGGCTTGTTGCTGAGCCTGTGCCTGAGCCTGGGCTTGGGCCTGTGCTTGCGCTTGGGCTTGAGCTTGAGCCTGCGCCTGAGCTTGTGCTTGTTGCTGTTGGAGTTGAGCATTTTGAGCTTGTTGACCACCTTCTGTAGCTTCCTGAGGTGTACCCCCTGGACTAGGTTGATTGGGAGTTCCTACGGCATTACGTACCCAAGAGAAATAGCCACTAAATTGCTCCTTTAATTTAGTCAAGTGTTCCAACGTGATGACATATTTATTCTGGCCCAACATGGACAGTTGGTCCTCAAACATGTACTTCATCAGGATCAATCGACGGGTGGCTTCCATATTCGACGTTAAGGCTAAAAACACGGGTAACAAACTATCGATTTTATCATACATGGGTTTCATCAATGCTGTATGCTCACGAATCGCTGCCTTTTCTTGTTCAGATAATCCTTCAATAGGGTTACCACGCACTATACAAATATTATTTGTGGATGAGCACTTTTTCTTTTCCAACCAAAAAAAAAAAAAAAAGCCTAATTTTTCTTACCTCGTGTGCTACAAATACTTTCATCCATTTGTCGTACAATCCCTGCGGCAGTAGTTCGCTGTTGTATACTGATGGCTCGTGCACCTCCTGCAGGCACCTGAGCACCTCCTACGGCCACACCACTACCTGGATTAGCAATTCCATTTTGTAAGGTAGCAGGTGTTGTGTTGGGGGTTTGCTGTTGTTGTTGTTGTTGCTGGGGAGTTTGTGAAGCAGCAGCAGCAGCTTGTAACTGTTGAGCGTGTTGCTGTTGAGCCAACTGTTGTTGTTGTTGAGCCAACTGTTGTTGTTGAGCCAATTGAGCTTGTTGTTGAACTAAATGTTGTTGCTGAGCCAACTGCTGTTGTTGCGCCAATTGAGCTTGCTGTTGTTGTTGAGCTAATTGTTGAGCCTGCTGTTGAGCTAATTGTTGTTGCGCTTGCTTTTGTGCTTGTACTTGCGCCTGAGCTTGGGCTTGTTGTGCTTGGGCTTGTTGCACTTGTAAATGTTGCATTAATAATTCAGGATTCACCTGCTGTTGACCCATACCACCATTTTGCTACATCATGTTAAAATATAGTCTTCCTCCCCGGTTTTCTTTTTCTCTCTTTTTTTTTAAAAAAAAAATAAAATATACTTACACCACCAGCGAAATTATTCACTTGCATCGGAGACCCTGATGTATTGACACCGGAAACAGGAGGTCGAAAATTATTATTAGGTATATTCATATTTATCAAGGCATTGTTATCCACTACCGCATTATTATTAGCGAATTGAGGTGTACCACCCCCTTGTTGTTGTTGAGGTGTACCCTGTTGTTGAGGAGTTCCAACCGCACCATTAGCACCTTGTTGTTGCTGTTGTTGCTGTTGTTGTTGGTGTATGGCAATTTGACGAGATAGATACGCTTGAAATTGGGTGGGTGACATTTGTTGAGAGGCTTGATTCACATTACCCATATTCAAACTCTGAAGTATATTCAAGGGAATCTGTTGTTGAGCCGTGTTTGCATTGGCCGCAATTTGAGCAGCCGTATTCGTTCGTGTGGGATTACCACCACCACCACCACCGCCGCCAGCAGCAGCGGCAGCGGCAGCAGCAGCAACGGCAGCGGTATTATTTCCAGCGGCAGCAGCGGCTGCCATTGCTTGAGCTGCCGTTCTTTGAAGTGCAAGCATCTGTGCTTGCTGTTGTGCTTGTTGCTGTGTTTGTTGTTGTTGTTGGGGCTGAGTCACAGGTTGGGTAGGCGTGCCCGTTTGTTGTTGTCCTTGAGGTCGGTTTTGAAGCATATTTGCTTGAAACATGTTGGGTCTCATTGCGTTTTGTCCAGCCATATTTTGTTGTTGGTTCATGTTTAAAGGGGAAGAAAGTGTCTGTAATTGTTGCACGGGTTGGACTTGAGGAGAGGCAGATTGTTGTTGTTGTTGTTGCTGCTGTTGCTGTTGCTGCTGTTGTTGTTGCTGCTGTTGTTGTTGTTGTTGTTGCTGTTGTTGTTGTTGTTGCAACAAGGGTGACATTTGTTGTCCTCCAGCGTTTGTATTTAAATTAAGCTGAAGTTGGCTATCATTCAGCATAGGTGCACCTCCATTCTGGCTCTGGAGTTGGAACTTGATTTGATGAAATTTTCTCGCGTATGCTAAAATATATTGATTCTTTTATCAAAAAAATAAAAAAGTTTAGTAGGAGTAGAACAAATAAAAAAAAAAAAAAAAAATCGCTATATTATTTACTTTGCTAGTTGATCTAGTATACAACGATAATTCAAAGTTTTTAGCAGCAGCAAATATATCATTATCTGAAGTAGAGGGAGACAAATGTTTTAAAGCATTTCCTCTATGTAAGCGAAAAAAAAAAAAAAAAAAAAAAAAAAAAATTAAAAATCAGTGGCAGAAAAAAAAAAAAAGAGATGCGAATTAAAAGAAAATGTTTACAATTGAGAAACGAAACGAGCTCTATCTTGAACATTCAATTCTTCTCTCCAATTAGCGTTAGGTACATCACTTTGATTGCCTAGATTAAGTGCTTGTTGGTTCTGCTGTTGTTGATTCTGCTGTTGATTTTGTTGTTGTTGTTGTTGTTGTTGCTGTTGTTGTTGTTGCTGCTGATTATTAGGTATGTTGGGGTTCTGTTGATTCATGTTTTTTTTTATATACGTATAAAAAAAGGGTTGACCAAAACGACCAAAATAAAAAAGTTTTTTAGAATAAGAGAGGTGGTAAAAAAGAAAAAGAAAAAAAAAAAATGTGTGTGTAAAAATAACCGGAATTTTAAATTCGCTTTATACATGACGTCCTTTTCAGGATTCTGTAAACATCACTCACGTCCAAATCGGAAACAGTTTCAGAAAGAAAAAGCTCTGTTCATGGTATTATAAATGAACACGTGTCAGTATTTTAGCTATGAATATTTACATTGTTTATGTGAAAGAGTCGATTTTACATTAGGAGGAAACATGACACACGGAGCTAAAAAAAAAAAAAAAAAAAGTGATATCACCTTCACTGCTCGTGATATGCAATAAAATATATGCTGCTTTAAATGTCCAATAATTTATTTACTCTTCTCAATTTTATTTCTAATTAGCTCCTCCATTTCCTCTATGGTCTGCAAAGGAATAGCCTTTGCTGGATCAACTAAATGTAACTTGGACTTGATCATTTCAATCTTATCTAAGGTACTCATACCCCATTTATCGACAAAGATAACATTGATATGTGGGTGATTTAACAAGGTTTTTAAGATGGTCAGTCTACCTGCACATACTGCAACATCAATAGCACGACGCCCTTCCACAGGTTCTGCCCAGTTGACATCTACTCCAGCATCGATGGCTATCTCCACCCACTTTGAATGGTTACTCTTAATAGCCTTCAACCAATAGGGTCCGAGATCATCAATTTCGCTTTTAGCTAAATGCGCACCAGCTTCACGAAGAATTTTGACTGCTTGGGCACGCTTTTCAACAATGGCATCAAATAAAGGTGTATGTCCTGACTTATCTCTTACATGGATGGACGCACCATGTAGCAGCAAATATTCAATAATCTGGTAATTACCTTCTCTACAGGCCACATGAAGTGGTACACGACCATCATAATCAGCACAATTCAAGTTGATAATCTCTCCTGCACTTTCAACCATCATACGTAGCCCTTCCAAATCATTCAAGGCAGCCGATTGAGAAAGCAGCACAGGTGCCAACGCCTTTTGTGCCAACAATTCCTCTTCCACCGATACATTTGCATCTAATTCTTCCTTGTTTTTGGAGTTATACTTCATCAGAATATTCAAAAACAAACTTGATCGATTAGAAGCCGCACTGAATCGTTGATAAGGAGCTCGAACAGTCAGCTCACCACGTAAGTTACGTGTCATCATCTTGCGCACCAGATCAGGATTGTTGGGCACTTTACCCAGTAAATAGGCCAATTTGGTTAAAGCACACTCGGGGGTCATGTCTGCTCCTGGAACAACACCCACTGCTGATAGCTGTTTACCCGTCGAATACAAATCTGTCACAAGACCCTTACGACATTGTGTACAATTCACAATGACCACACCACGTTCACTGGCGTCTTTTAACGCTGCCAATAAAGCTGGTCGTGCTGGTGCATTACCAGCTCCAAATGTCTCTAACACCACACCTTGAAGTGGAGGAGCTAAAACTGCCCGAATGGTGGCATCATTGATACCAGGAAAGAGACGAAGTGAGCCTACGTTGGGATTAAGCTTTTTGTTGACAGTGAATCTAGCAATTTGAGTAGGACGAAGTACAATGGGCCAATTGACATCTACCATAATAATGAGTTTTAATTGCTATTCTCCGAATGAAAAAAAAAAAAAAAAAAAAAAAATTGTTACCAATGTCGATACCAACTGTGACAAGAGGTGAAAGATTGGGTGAATCAAACGCCTCGAAATCCACAGCACTGATTTTACTTGTTCTGTTACCACGATAGAGTTTGGTACCAAAGTAAAGGGACACTTCAGGAATAACAAAATGACCAGCAATTGTTAAAGCACCTAGTAGATTTTCAACAGCATCATTTCTGACTTCAGTCAAAGGAACTTGAGATCCCGTAATAATTACTGTTTTTCCCAACTCTTCCAACATGAAACTCAAGGCACTGGCAGTATAAGCCATAGTATCCGTACCATGCAAGACAATAAATGCATCGTATAACTGATAATTCTCCTTAATGTCACTGGCAATTCGAACCCAATCTATAAAATAAATAAAACAAACAGATATTTAATCCATCTTATCCATCAGTTACATGAAAAAGTATATAATGTTACCTGACATGGTAATGTCACACGAGTCTAAAAGAGGTGCATATTCCAAAATAGAATATCTGTACATATAAAAAAAAAAAAAATCACCGTGAGAAATATTACTTTCTTTACGCCCAACAATTAAAATTTACCTGATTCTTTTACCGTATAAACTGACAGGCGTAATCAAGCTTGGTAATTGATAGGTCTTTGGGTGTCCCTTACGAGGACCTTCTTGTTCAATTGCCTTGACAGTGTTTGTAATCTTGCCAAAATCATTTTTATCCGTCTTGTCCGAGATATTTAAACTGTCTAAACTATCATGGGAAGAGCTTCGGGAAAGCGGTGGATAATCACCGTCCGTGGGATCATGAAATCGTCTCACTTTGGATAATGACTCTGCAAAATGATTTGGAAGCTATATCATAGATTTCATTTTAGTTTTCTTCCTTCATCCCATTTCAAATATTAAAAAAAAAAAAAGAAACTTACGGGAACATAGCCATGTTCTGGTGTATGTTTCATACCAATCGTACCACCCGTGTAAATAATAAGCACACGAGACACATCTAAACTAGAAAAGTCAGGCTATACAACAACAAAAAAACCAGCAACAAGTAAACTTACCGGGAACAAGCATGTCATTACGCTCCATGGCCAATTGATGACCAACAGCGGCATTGTCATAAATCAAGTGATTCCGAGACTTGGGCGGTGTCGTGTTACGAGGTATCATTTTCTCTCTCTTTTTTAATAACGTTACGGGAGAAAGAAAGAAAGAAAAAGGCAGGTCCTCGGATAGATGACCATTTCTTGTCTCATTTGGATTCAGACTTGGCAATGTATAAATCGCATTGATTGGTCAAGAGCATTGTCCTGATCCGGAAAAAACATGTAAAATACATTTGGAGCTAGCACCTTGAGCAAGTGTGCCGTGTATCACAGTATTCTTATTTTTAAGCTTGGGTAAGTGATAATAACTTAGGAAAACTTTTTCAGGCGGATAGACAACAGTGAAAATATATCAAGTGACAAAGGTTAAAAAAAATCAGACAGAATGCTCAATAGATATTTGGACTTGATTAACAAATACACACAAGCCGTTGTCCTCTCATTATCAAAGCCTTCGTTAGTCATAATTTTTTAAGTGGCCCTGATAATGAGAATCATCGTATTCAAGAAACAACGTTAATTTATCTTTATATCTTTTTAACTTTGAACAGCGCACTTTAATTCTATTTATGACAGTTTGAGCGAAGGCTACAATTGAAAACAAAGAGTATTGAGATCAATATATTTTTGCAATTTTTCTGTTGCATCATAGAAACAATTTTGGTGAAAACTCTGGAAAGAAAAAGGAATTTAGTTTTTAGCTAAAGCTCATTAATAAATATAAGAACGTCAAGTGTCTTGATCAAGAAAATGAAAAAGGAGACTATGAGATCGGGATCAAGCTGTCATACTAGATTTTCATAAAATATTGGATGACTTCCAAAATGCAAAATAGAATTAAATAGAATAGACTTAATTTTTTGGGTTGTGTAACGTGGAATTAACCTTAAATTTCACTGCTTAAATTTTTGAAGTTAATTCGACCCCCCTACCCCCCCGAATTAAAATAGAATTAACTCCAAAAAAAAAAAAAAAAACATTTCTATTAAATACTTTGTTTCTGATAAACGCTAATAATATGCAGATAATAGATATGAGATGTATGGATAATATTTGTCAAAAACGTTTATTTATTCGGCTCTTTTACGCTTCTGGGAACGGGTGCCTTTGCCCTTTTCAGAAGTAGGAATAGGTTGCTAATGTGCATATAAAGATTATGGTTTTTAGTACGAATAAAAAAAACATGATTTATAATAGTTAAACTACCTTAGCTACCGATGTCTTGATATATTCAAACATCGCTGACATCTGATAATGTAGTCGGTTAGATAGAGTTTATATATATGATACGAATCAACATATTGATTAAATTTACCGTCTCCTTCAACTCGTTGAACTCCTTTTTGACATCATTGAGTTCACTTTTGAGGCCATTTTTCACACCATCCAGGCGAATGTTGACCTCCTCAAATTGATTGTCAACAGCTCCAAGACGATTTTCAATCATTTCCAAATTGACATCGGTCACGTTGGTCATTTCGGAACGTGTGGTTGGGACCGATGGTTTTGGTTCATTTTCTCCCCGAAGAGACAACGCAATTGCCTCAGCCAGGACACCAAAATGGTTGTTGAAGTCCTCCATATGCTGGTGGGTATTTTTGGACTTCTTTGGCATTGGCACCGTTCTACCAACTGCACGAGGAGATGCCTCACTCTTGTCACTGTCTGTTAAACTCTGCTCTACCAGATCATCAATTGAGCGAAAGCCGCTACCTCCATGATGCATGCGGCTTGCTTTCTCTTCATCCTCGGAATCCGTGTGACCATGAAGCTGTGATAAGCAGCCTTTGATTGCAATTTGGTCCTCAATTGTTTTTGCATCAGTAATCAAAGTAGTTGGGGTTGAGTTGCCTAATAGATTTTTTTTGTTTGTATCATTGTTAGCAAGATTTCTTTCATTACACCTCGAATTATATGATAATTTACCTGTTGGTGCTTTTGCCGTTCTCAATGTACGATAAGCCGCCTTCAAAGAGTTGCCGCTACGCTCATAGGCAACCTTCGTTCCCTTGGTTCCTGTTTCCAACCTGATGGCCTCGTTTTCTTGTTCGACAATTTTTTTTTGTCCAGCCATATATATTTGGCTTACACGGGACCATTCGTCCGCTCCACTTGGCAAAACCTTCTTTACTATTTTCAGTAAATAGGTTTTTTCATCTTTAGTCATTCTGACAGATCCTGTTACGTTGCCCATTGTTATTTTTATTAAGTTATATGAAAAGAAAGAAAAAAGGCTTTTTTAAAAAGCGAAAATTATGGTTTTTATAACACGTTGTTTAATAAAGCACGCTATTATGTCAGACTTGTTTGAATCAATCATCTTGTTGGGATAATATGGCGTGACTTATGAGATTCGATGTTGTGGAACCCAATTGTTGTCACTTTTGTATTGGTAACGAAATACAAGTTAATCTCTCTTTTATCATCCATTTCCTTTTTCTTTATCCCCTTTATATTTTTGATACAAAATGCCCCCTATAACAAAGCGTAAATTAGCATTATTATCGCATATTACTTTGCTTTCTGCTGCTGCCTATCAGTACATGAATTATCTTGAATCTCAACGCCGTATTTCTAAACGATTCTACACAACGTCAAAAAGTCTGCATTCACCTACTAAATCGGCTGCTAAAAGGTTGCTTGATGGTCGTCAGGATGATGCCTTTATGTGTCATTTTGGTTTGACGACTGGAGCATTCGATCAATTACACGAAGAATTCCAAAAAGAATATCCAACCGAATGCACGGCTGGACGTAAAAGAGTACTTGACACGGTGATGACACTTGCTTTGGTTCTGATGTGGTTGCATAACACCATGAAGCAGGAGACACTCTGTATAATATTTGGTGTCCCTGCTGCAACACTCAGTAGATTTAAAACTATGGGTATTCAAACCCTCTTAAACGTTTTTGAAAAAAACAAAAAAGACCCTCGTTGGAAAATTGGTTGGCCCACTACAGATGAAATGACAACGTTTAACGATATGGTGCTTACGAACACCACAAATGACTTTGAGAAACAGGTGTTAGAAGGAGTGTTTGGCTTTGTTGACGGTCTTAACCTTAGAATACAACATCCTGAAGACCCATTCGAGCAAAATGCGTACTATAACGGATGGAAAGGTGATTGCTATGCCTCACAAGTTTTAGTATATACCCCGGATGGCTGTATCGCCTATGTGAGGTAGGATTGACATACTTGTTTGATTCTCTAAACAAACAAAACTAAATTGACTCTTTTTCTTATAGATATAACTGTCCTGGTTCTTGGCATGATGCCGAAATAGCAATTCCACTTTACGAAAGGTTTCTTGCTTACAAATGTCCAAGCCCTTTCAAGCTTCTTGCGGATTCTGCTTTCCCTTGTAAGCGAGAGTTTGAAAACAAAGTGCTAAGTGTACCAAGAGAAAACGCAATTGGCATTGAAAGAGCCAACGTGCAGACACAAAAGAAACATGCTATCATTACCAAGCATAGACAGGCAGTGGAATGGGGTATGAGAGCCATACAAGGGTCTTTTGGAAGACTTCATACCAAGCTTCCTTCGGATAAAATTAAGCGTTATGAAATCTTGACCCTTGTATGGAGACTACACAACTTCAGTGTAAGAACGGTTGGCGTCAACCAAATTAATACTGTTTACTATGCTAATTGGAAGGCGAGAGAGCAAGAAATTTTGAATTATGAAAATTAATAAAATTTATTGAAAGTTAATTCTATTTTATGGTTTTGGAACAAAAAAAAATTAACTCGGAAAATCAAATTCCCGGAGTTAATTCTATTCTATTTAATTCTATTTTGCATTTTGGAAGTCATCCATTAAGCGGCCCGAGAGAAAGTGGATTACGACCTGCTCTTTTTCAGTATAAGAGTAAGAATATGACCATGTTCAATTACATCAGAGTTACTGTTTTGATGATTTAATACAGGAAATTCATTCTAGGAATTTGGAAGCCTTAGCAAATATGTACCTAAATATCTTTATTCCATTAAGAATTGTGTGGGTACTATTACTGAGTAATCACTCACTCATTGCTTAAGTTAAGCACTTATTATTATTATTAATATTGGTGTAGTGCATGTACAGAATAGCATGTTTTTACACCGTTTAATAAGATGCTCCGTTCGGTTGCCTAATAATAGGAAGTGGTAATGCAGTAGTAGTCTGATTCTGCCCCCCCACTTTTAGACGCTCCCAAATCCCTATAGACACCCACCTTAAACGCCCCTACTTTTTTTAAACGTTCCCCTTTCTCTCTTACGATCAATACATATCGCATCAATATTATAATGATTGTTTTGACTTTGCAGTATATACCTTATTTAGTAATTCGGACTGTTCTTTTTTTTTTTTTTTTTTTGCGCGGCCAAGCGAAGCGCAGGTCGAAGCAACCGACATGTATCAATATTATAATGATTGTTTTGACTTTGCAGTATATACCTTATTTAGTAATTCGGACTGTTCTTTTTTTTTTTTTTTTTTTGCGCGGCCAAGCGAAGCGCAGGTCGAAGCAACCGACATGTATGGGAATAATAAACATTGAGTGAATTGAGAGGGGCTGTAAGTCCCGACCTAGACAGTACAAAAACCACTGAGTGAAAAAATGTGTATTAACATTGAGTGAGCTGGGAGGGGCTGTAAGTCCCGACCAACACAGTACATAAAACATTGAGTGAAAAAAATAATGATTACCATTGAGTGAGCTGGGAGGGGCTGTAAGTCCCGACCTACACAGTACAAAAAACACAGAGTGAAAAAATGTGTATTAACATTGAGTGAATTGGGAGGGGCTGTAAGTCCCGACCAACACAGTACAAAAACCACTGAGTGAAAAAATGTGTACTAACATTGAGTGAGCTGGGAGGGGCTGTAAGTCCCGACCAACACAGTACATAAAACATTGAGTGAAAAAAATAATGATTAGCATTGAGTGATCTGGGAGGGGCTGTTAGTCCCAACCTACACAGTACATAAAACATTGAGTGAAAAAAATAATGATTAGCATTGAGCGAGCTTGGAGGGGCTGTAAGTCCCGACCTACACAGTACATAAAACATTGAGTGAAAAAAATAATGATTAGCATTGAGCGAGCTTGGAGGGGCTGTAAGTCCCAACCTACACAGTACATAAAACATTGTGTGAAAAATATAATGATTAGCATTGAGTGATCTGGGAGGGGCTGTAAGTCCCAACCTACACAGTACATAAAACATTGTGTGAAAAAAATAATGATTAGCATTGAGTTAGCTGGGAGGGGCTGTAAGTCCCGACCTACACAGTACATAAAACATTGTGTGAAAAAAATAATGATTAGCATTGAGTGATCTGGGAGGGGCTGTAAGTCCCAACCTACACAGTACATAAAACATTGTGTGAAAAAAATAATGATTAGCATTGAGTTAGCTGGGAGGGGCTGTAAGTCCCGACCTACACAGTACATAAAACATTGAGTGAAAAAAATAATGATTAACATTGAGTGAGCTGGGAGGGGCTGTAAGTCCTGACCTACACAGTACATAAAGCATTGAGTGAAAAAATAATGATTAGCATTGAGTCATCTGGGAGGGGCTGTAAGTCCCGACCTACACAGTACATAAAACATTGAGTGAAAAAAATAATGATTAACATTGAGTGAGCTGGGAGGGGCTGTAAGTCCTGACCTACACAGTACATAAAACATTGAGTGAAAAAATAATGATTAGCATTGAGCGAGCTTGGAGGGGCTGTAAGTCCCAACCTACACAGTACATAAAACATTGTGTGAAAAAAATAATGATTAGCATTGAGTGATCTGGGAGGGGCTGTAAGTCCCAACCTACACAGTACATAAAACATTGAGTGAAAAAATAATGATTAACATTGAGTGAGCTGGGAGGGGCTGTAAGTCCCGACCTACACAGTACATAAAACATTGAGTGAAAAAAATAATGATTAACATTGAGTGAGCTGGGAGGGGCTGTAAGTCCTGACCTACACAGTACATAAAGCATGGAGTGAAAAAATAATGATTAGCATTGAGTCATCTGGGAGGGGCTGTAAGTCCCGACCTACACAGTACATAAAACATTGAGTGAAAAAAATAATGATTAACATTGAGTGAGCTGGGAGGGGCTGTAAGTCCTGACCTACACAGTACATAAAACATTGAGTGAAAAAAATAATGATTAGCATTGAGTTAGCTGGGAGGGGCTGTAAGTCCCAACCTACACAGTACATAAAACATTGAGTGAAAAAAATAATGATTAGCATTCAGTTAGCTGGGAGGGGCTGTAAGTCCCAACCTACACAATACATAAAACATTGAGTGAAAAAAATAATAATTAGCATTGAGTGAGCAGGGAGGGGCTGTAAGTCCCAACCTACACAGTACATAAAACATTGTGTGAAAAAATAATGATTAGCATTGAGTGATCTGGGAGGGGCTGTAAGTCCCGACCTACACAGTACATAAAACATTGAGTGAAAAAAATAATGATTAGCATTGAGTTAGCTGGGAGGGGCTGTAAGTCCCAACCTACACAGTACATAAAACATTGAGTGAAAAAAATAATGATTAGCATTCAGTTAGCTGGGAGGGGCTGTAAGTCCCAACCTACACAATACATAAAACATTGAGTGAAAAAAATAATAATTAGCATTGAGTGAGCAGGGAGGGGCTGTAAGTCCCAACCTACACAGTACATAAAACATTGAGTGAAAAAATAATGATTAGCATTGAGTGAGTTGGGAGGGGCTGTAAGTCCCGACCAAGCCCAAACTCTTTCTTTTGCACCAATTGTCTGATCATACCCGTTTTCACGCACGGTCAACTTTATGTTGCTTTATCACGGGTCCGTAACCCTGCTAATCTCAAAGTAATCTTACTGAAAGAGCAGTCATTTTCAACACTCACAGACAACGTTGTATTTACTGAAGTACTAACTCGAACACAAAATTAAACATAAAATATTCATTATCAATAAAATCTATTTTTGTCCCATTTATAAACATTGAGTGGCGTCGGTGGCCCGCTGCAGGCGCGAGATCGCCCCCAGCAGGAACGTAGGTTATTTTTACCGTAGCGAAGCGAAGGTCAAAAAATTACCGAAGTGGGCTGGGGCCGCGATCTCGTACTAGTTAATAATTCATCACCTTTAATTTATACGGTATTTAACCATTTGCATGTCTATAATCTAATACCAATGATTATTATTCTGTACTTTCAAAGGTATACATGAAATAGTCACTCAGTCATTCCTTACTTTTTTCATGCTTTATGCTCTCCTACTTTTTTTTTTTTTTTTGGAAGAAGCCTCTGTTGCAGACATAATAGCTGTTGATCGACGAGTTTAGAGAGACATTATTTTAATGTTAAAGTCCGTTAATTTTTTACGGATATGCCTAATTGCTCCCTAATTCTAAGAGCGATTTATAAATTTTCTGCTTTATAAATGAAATGCACAGCTTAAAAAAAGGGTAGCCTAATTTAGTATTGTAAACCACAGTTTTTTTTATACATGGTCATCTTTTACTTTTAACGCCCAATGACTTCTTCAAAGGTCCAAAGTAAAAAGTCAGCAGAACGCGTGCTTGTTACACTAAATGTTGCCAATGCATATATGTATTTTTCCTGAACAGTGTACCTCAAACAAGGGCAACTTTCTTTTTTGTAGCAGTTGATAAAGTGTGGAATACTAATTTAAGAAGGTACAGGTTAACAGGGAATAATTTCTTGTCGATTTGCACATAAAAATAAAAATAAAAAAAAGAACAAGAGGAAATTCTAAAAAAAGTGAACAATTGGATGATAAACTACATCTAGTTTAGCATATAGAGATAAACAGAACACGTAATCAACTTGTTTAGAATTCAATCATGTGAGAGTTGGAAAGAATGGGTTAAAGATGGAGTTAAATTAAAATACTGAAGGTGGACAACCCGAGAATACCACAACAATGAAATGGGGTCCCCATAGAAACCCAGGATATCTGGGAGTGATATTTTAATATGGATAAATTCATGTTACAAAAAAAAGCACTTTCTTTATTATGACTCATCACATATTGATTGTTCTGGAAGAGGAACTTCTTTGATGACACCCGATGAAGGATCAATTTCAACTATTTTACAAACTCTTGCCGAATACACTTTTGAAGAAATAAAGGATGGGAATAATTGATATTTCAGTACGCCTCTTATGGTAAGTTCGTAAGGGTACCTAATTAATAAAGACCTGTAATATTTAAGCTGATCAATAAATGCCCCTGATTTATCTGGTGTCAGCAGTATCAATATCACGTAGTCTTTCTTACCATCTTTCGTTTCCAGTCATATCTCCTCCTGTTTCACCTGGGTTCTTTATTTGGATTTGGCTTGTTGAATTACTGGTCTTTGAGCGGAAATAAAATGCCGACTTGAATGTAAGAGGATCAACGAGTCGATTCACAGTCCCAATGTACTCTAAAATAAATCATGTATAAACATACAAGCACGAATTGTCAAATGTGTATTCACTTGCCTTGTCTTGTATTCGCACTAGTAGTAATATCACGAGTTTCGGTTTCATTGCCCATGACTACCGATATGGGAACATAATGACTTGCAGCAAAGACACTAAAAGCAGAATGTGACATTTGTATGTTCCAATTATTTGAATTTCTGGATAAAAATGACGTAGACTTCAAAAGTAAGCATCACTTTTTTTTTTTGGTGTGTCGGATGATATGTAACTTACTTGGCTCTAACATGGATATCGAATATCAGTTGCTTCTGAGTTGCTAGCACATTACTTATAGATGTGACCTCCACAAACTCTAAAGGACTAGCCAAAACCATAACGGCAACCAATGTACACAAAACAAATAAAATACCTATGCACGTACACCAGCAAGGTTTATTATTTATAAAATACCGTGTCTTTAACCTCGATGATGATGAATAATACAACAGTGGCGCATTTTCTTCGTCCTCTTCCCCACTTGAAGAATAACGATAATGTGGCTGATAATGCCCAAGGTGTTTATTCGAAATATTCTTCTTTTCATACTTGGAGGACATGGAATCGAGATAAAAAGACTTGACTCCTCTAGCTGGTAATTCCGAAACAGTTGAACGTAAACCAGGTCTGCGAAACTTTTGATGATGGTGATCTGAAAAGTAGCTGTGGTCCTGATCATTTTTACAACTGGCTATTTTTATTTTTTTTTGTTTATTAAATATGATGAACTTTTTTTTTTTTTTTTAGTGCAAGTAAAAAGTACCTGATGTTTCAAATGAATTAATGGCTGGCGGTGATAATAATGCTGGGTACAAACCTCCTCCTCCATTTGCGGTATTGTAAACATATCCGTCATCCAACGAATCTATTTTATTACATAACGTTATTTGCATTGATCTTGAAAGATAACAAGATTACACACCCTACCATCAAAATCAGATACAGCCTCACTCAGGTTTCGAGCAAATATTTCGGTTGGAGTAGACAGATTCTTTTTTTTAACCTGTCTCTTTTTTCGAATTGTAGAGGTAGATTTGGTGGAATGTATACTTTTGGCATCACTCTATATTATAATAGTAATTAATATTTGAAACCCTACTATATATATAAATAAAAAAAAAAAAAAAGAGATGAATTCATTTAAACGAACCTGTGACCCTCCTTTTTTACTATTAGCAATTATGCTATTGCTGATGCTATTTTCACCGTGAAATAAGACGGGCTCAATAATCATTTTTGAGTTTTTGGATAAAAGCATCGAGTTTTCAAGTCTCTCCAATGTTGGGAATCTGGATGTATCTGAACTATGAACTGGGTATAATTTGGGTCGATTCATGGATGGCCTATTTTTAAAAGGCTTGGAAAAGGAACGGGGAGTTGGTTCTTCACCATTGCTCATGTCGGAAACATCGCAATGATCTTGTTCAGGTACAATACAGGCTGTCATTTGTAATGTTTTTTTTTAAAAAAAAAGTTAAAAGGAAAAAGAAGGGGTGAAAAAAAAAAAGAACGAATTGGGTTTACAGATACCAATATATATACCGTTACTGCATTAATTCTACTCATAAGCTTAATTTAGGAAGACCCAAAGTTTGATCGGACTATCAATTAAACTTAAAAACTATGGGGTTTCCCTCCCACTACCATTGCTGAGGTGGCAATACTACTTTTTTGTCAGTCAAATATATTATTGTATACAGGTTCCAAGTTTGGATAAAATAAAAGGGAATATATATGTAAACGAGAATTACACACGATTTATGTCGTCTGGATGTTGAGTACAAAGAAAGCTGTTTACTTTGAATAAAGAATATCTCGATCGCTTATAATAACAAACTCTTAGATGTGCTAATCCTTTAATGTGATTTGTTGTTCATATTCATGTGGCTGAGAGAAAGTTGCTCCCCCTTCATGGTTTTAACTTTCAGCGGCATTTTATTGATCTAATATAAATGTTCCTGTCCTTGACCAAACCCTCCTTATTTTTCCTTGCGTCAAATGTCGATGCTCTTCTACTATCGTGAACCCAATAAATATCAAGCGTGGGAAATCATCATATACTTTTATTTTACATATTTAGACACTACATGCACGTTTTGATTAACTGATTTTACTTTTTAATGAGTTAGCAGCTCTTTTTTGGGCTGGTTGCACTTTATTAAAAAAGGTACACAATCTGTGATTTAAAGGGATCAAACACAATAAACATGTGGTGGCTAATGTATTTAATACATCATCATAAGAAGTAGTAGTTTCCAAAAGAATAGGATGCAGCTATATAACATCAGTTACATTTTAGAGTCTAAGCAGAAAGAAGGTGTATTTGTTTGTACCACAGGTGACTTTTTTTTTTTTTTTTTCATAGGATTACTTTTGTTCCAGTTGTCGGGGTCCAGTGACGTACAGAGGTTACGTCTATCACAAGCAAAACAAAATTTTCGAATGCTTCTTCTAAAAGATCTTGTACCTGTTCACTTTTAAACCAACCATGTTCATCGATACTGTCGATTTGGAGTGCTTGTTTCTTTTCAATTGTCATGTCCTTTCTCATGTTGGCACCGAATTGATAAAAATGGCGTAATCTTTCTGCTTGCCAGTTAAACGTGTTTGTTGTCGAACCTGACTCTTGCTGTTTGAGGAACATTTGCAAACCTAGACTTTTTTGGTCATATTTACCAGCTGTCTCTACTTGGTCAAAATGACTATTTAAATGTTCCAACTTTGTTTCAACGTAATTCTTTTCGACAATGTTGACTTTGCCACGAATTCGGAACTGCTCCATTGTGCCATTCATGTACCTAACAGTTCATTTTTTTTTTTTTTTTTTTTTCTTCAGTCAGCCGCTTCATTTCTGCTTCCCAAAAAAGAGGGTGTTTACCAGTTGATCTCGGTATTGGGGTTCGCTTGAATCTCTTTTATCTTATCTGAGCGCTTGTCTGTAATGACAACAAGCAAGTCGCTATGCCAGCCAAAGTTTTCTGCATGATTTTCTCCAGCAAACCCTCGGGTAACAACCGTTCTAACAGCTGGAGTATTATCGCGTCTAACAGTAGCCATGGCAGCGTAAGTTGCCGAAGGTCCCACCTTTTCAATGTTATCCTTCAACGAAGATTGCAGTATTGACTTCCAATTGTTCATTTACGCAAAGAGCAAAAGGAGCTTTTTTTTTTTTTTTTTTTTTTTTTATAAAAAAAGAAAGTCCCGATGTATTTATTAAAATATTATATTATGCGACACCAGGTCTTCTTTATCTTCTCATGGAGCCACTACGGCCGTGTTGATATAAATTATCCAATTCTGATTCGAGATGTTTAATATGAGCATGTTGGCTCTCTAAATCCTTATTCAAACGATTTCTCTCCTGAATAAGTTGTTGTTCCCATTGACGAAATCTAGATTCTTCGTCTCTGACCTTTTCAGTAAATGATTTCCGAAGCTCTTCTTCCTTTTCACGAAGCTTGGGATTTTCGACTTTTTTTGTTCTAGGTACTCTTCATGTGAGTAATTTATACAGTTGAGATAAACAGGGTACTTACTTTGGCTCACCGAATTTGCGATTAGCCATTTGTTGTTGACGGTAATGCTCATAATGCATTTCTTCGGTGCTTGAAATCAAATCAAGCATATGCGTACGAATTAACAAGTTTCGAAGCTTCTTAAAGTCACAGTGATCATCATTTTCAACCTCAGCAACACCCCAACTGTATTCACGGCCTCGTACTTGCTTGCCGTCAATGTTGATTATTTCAGTTGAGCCGATCACAGCATAAGGCGAGGCATCAACAATGTTCTGATTGCGGGCTGTGGTATCTTCGTCGTCGCTGTCCACAGCACATGCATAAACACTAATGTTGTATTGCTGAATAACCTCACGAACCTAATTTAGTAAACTTAGCATTACACACACGATCACACTACATGAAGAATTTACTTGCATTTTCTTTAAATTTGGCTAAATCTTTGGGTGTCAGAGTGTCAGCTTTGGCTATAACTGGAATCAAATTGACTCGAGAGCCCAGACGTTTCATGACTTCAATGTCTAATGGTTTTAAACTTCAAAGAAAAGAAGAAAAAAAAAGGTGAGTACAATAAGAACTCGTTTTTTTTTTTCTTTACTAAGCAGTAGGTTTGTACCTGTGTCCAGTTGGCCGAATAAAGTAAAGACAAGCATGTACACGCATATCTATCTTTCCATGGCGGGTAGGCTGCTGCTCTTGTCTCATATAGTTTTCATGTTGATCATCAATAAAGTCTACAATGGGTATCCAGCTATCTCTGTTGTTGACATAGTCACCGAAGCCGGGCGTATCAATGATTGACAACTTAATTTTGAAAAGCTTCTCTTCCAACTCTTATGCGTGGTATGGTTAGCATGTACCTTTTTTTTTTTTTCTATGTAAATATGTTTTGTTACCTGCTTTTGTTACTTCGATTTCCACTGTTTTATCCAATTGCTTGGCAAATCGCTTTTCAGGCAACCTGGAATCTTTGATGGTGGTAGCAAAAAGAGTATTTATGAAGGTGGTTTTACCCAAACCAGATTCACCTAAAAAAATTAATTTTATTTTAGCGCTCATGCTTTTTTTTTTTTTTTTTTCGACCCCGAGATGAATGACATTACCACACACCATTAAGGTGTAATGAGCACCTTTCTTGGAAATAATTTTATGCTTTTGGTTAGGCAAGTGTGCTATACCAACACCAGAAGGAGAAGTACTTGACATCATTTTTTTGTTTTTCGTAAAAAAAAAAAGTAAAAGAAGAAAAGGGAAAAAAGGAGCACAAAATATTTATTAAGTAACAAAAAAAAAAAAAAAAAAAATTGATGCAAAAGGACACACACACACTGATATTCACTGCTCAGCCCATTGACACAAATTGTTCTGCATCACCTAATACTAATCGAATTTTTTCTTTAAGAGCATCTATAGCAATCATTTTTCTTTCAAGAATATCGTCCAGATTACCCAAGTAATCAATAAATTCATTCGACATTTGGAGCTTATTATCTGTTGTTAAGCCTAGTGATACGTTGGTTAAATACCGCGTTTCCTTTTTAGAACATTCATTGGTAGTACGAATTTCATTTCTGTGTTGGGCAAGAAAATCTTCAATAATATCGGTATGAAACGTATGCTGTTGTGATATGGGTGGCGGTGTGATGGGTGGAGAGGACTGTTGCTCAATAATGGGAAAATCTGTGTCCAGTAAAAAGTGGTCCTCAATTATATTAGAAGGAAAGTCTTCATCATCCAAAAATAAGTCTTGGTCTAGTTCATCATCTTCTGAAGAAGATAGGCAAGAAGACGAAGAAGATTGACTATCGCTATTTATACTGGGACTGATGTTGATGGGCGGTTGTAATTGCTGTTGTTGTTGTTGCTGTTGTTGATCAATATTGGTCACAGTTCCATTTTTAAGTTCTTTAACGCGATCTGCATATCTTAATGTGTTTAGCGTGTGTTCACTGTTAGATTGATTTGGTGACACAGTCGCAATCATACAGGTACGAGAATTTCCGACAAATGAATCCTTCAAGACTTGTGTGAGTTTACTTTGTCGAAATGGCGTATGCCGTTTATCTTGATCTAAGGCTCTGATGCATTCTTTTAAGGCTAGCAAACTCTTGTTTATTTCAGCACCCTCCATTCTTGTTTTCAGATCAGTCTCTCCTCTATCAGCACCTCTTTCGCTTCCGGCTAGATCAATAAAGCTTAGTTTTCCAATAGGTGGGATCAAGCTCGACTTTTTTTTATTGGAAGTCGGCTTAAGTAAGACTTGTAAGATTGCATGGGAACGAGAAGAATCCGAATTTGCACCAGTACTTCCTAAAAAAAAAAAAAAAAGTTAGTAACCAAGGGAAAAGAATACATGCAACCTAAAAAAAAAAAAAAAAAAAAAAAAAAAGGAAGCCATACCTGTACTTCTAACTTGATTACCGTATTCGAATACTTGCATCAAATCAGAAACATTTTTAATCAAATATTCTTTTAATCCAACAATGACAACATTTTGTTTTCCATCCTCTCGAGCAAAAAGCTTCTTTCGACTTGCCAATAAATCATAAAGTTGGCCTTGATAAATTTCGTAAAATCCAATCCATGCACACAAATGCTGGTATTCGGGCAATTGCAACATGTTAAAAATATCTTTTGCAGCTAATATATACAGACCATGCTTGGGATCCATCATGGTGTATGTTTTACCGGATCCCGTTTGACCATATGCAAAACAAGTAGCTTTGCCCCCATTAAAAATGTATTTTACCAATGGTTGAGCCGTTCTTTCGTAAATCTACAAGTAATAAATAAATACACCACATTTATATTTATGTTACACATACATACATAGTCATTTGTGTTTTCTATGTCGAATACATCATCAAAGTTAAAAGTGTGTTGTTCAATGTACTTTGTTAAATCCACCTTGACTCTAAAAAAAGAAAAAGAAAAAAAAAAGAAGAAAGGATTTAGTAGGAAGGAATTTTACAAAATGCTAAAGAGAAAAAATAAGCTTTACTTTGGTTCATTCACATGCACAGTTCTGACACTAGCAGCAGGCGTGATATCCTTTTCACATTTTTCTATTTCCTTTTTTGAAAGCGGTCTTTTTCTAACACAAACACGAATTTTTTGATTTAGATCGCTCTGTGCTACAGCTTTCTTTGATTGTTTCATAGCAGGAACACCATATGCATTATGAAATCCATTATTTTTTACTATTTCCCTATCATCGTCTTCCACCTCTTCTAATTCCTGTTGCTGCTTACGAATAAAAACAGGTAATTGCTGTCTTTTTGCAGTGAATGGGGATTTGCAAGTACCACTAGAGATTCTAGGTGAAGAGACACTGGTAGAAATGGAAGGTATCTCTCTCGATGGGCTCTTCTTTACATATGAAATACTAGAAAGCCCAATCATGTTGTTTTTCAATTTACGTTGCTGTTGTTGGGGTTTCAATGCAGAAAATGATAACATGGTAGACGATTCTGTGATTCCACTAGTGGGATAAGGGTTGGGTGAAGAAGGCACGTTGAGGTCTTGTTGACGGAGTGTTTGAACAAGCTAAACTCAAATAAGTAACATAAGAGGGCGTCATAGCATCTACTTTTTGGCTTACTTGGAATAGTCTCTTTCTATCTTGAATAGAATTTATACCTAGACTACCATAATCTTGCATAGATATCTAAATTTACAAATATTGATTGGTATGTGAACAATTTTACATAAAAGGGGTGAAAGGGATAAATCTATTGGTTACCCCTCTTGTAAATATTTTTATTTTGGTACCTGTACTAGAGTATCCAACTGTGATATTCCATAGGATAAAAAGCTATATGTACAATCAATACCATTCGTTACTGTCGCACAATTTATGATTATACCTATTGTAATACTTTCAAAAAAAAAAAAAAAAAGATAAATTTTCGTTATTTTAAACGTGTGTTACACGATCCCATCTCTTACTTGGTCAAGTTCTGATTTTTTTAGGGTTTCCAATAATGAATTGTCCATATGTTGTTTGAATTTATAAAAGAAAAAATAAAGAAGAAAGAAAAGAGATAATAAAAAAATTAAGGTACAAAAAATGATATAAAAAGGAAGGGGGGGGGGGGGATGTGGCACTTCATGCATTAGAAAAGCATACCAAAAAAAAAAAAAAAAGTACCTCGGACATGGTAAAATGTCGGGTATTTGCACATTTGTTTGTTTTAAGTTGGGAATTGCTTGCGTCAGATATATCTCTTGTGGTGCATATCCTGCATAATTAGTTTATTGAAATTATATGTGAGCACATAAAGGAATCATTGCTACACCAAAAAAAAAAAAAAAAAACTACTTTGACATGTGTAATATTCTTGAATCGCCGAATATAATTTTATCTCAAATGAGTTTATGTGAGTCATTGTTAGCATATAAAAAAAAAAAATCAATGGCTTGGACTGCTTTGTTTGCTTAATCATAAATACCTATTTTCCTTTGCAGATTTTATTTTTCTTTCCTGTTTCTATCAATTTTTTATTTTAAAAACTTATTACATCCATGATGGAAGATCTTCGTATTACTGGCTACAACGCCCTTTTAACTCCTGCTTTCTTACAAGAGGAATTCCCTACTGTAAGTCTGGATATCCAAAGATTAACCTGACTTTTTCATGCTCATCTAATTTTTTTCTTTCTTTTTGACAGTCTGAAAAATCTCAAAAGACATCCACCACTGCTCGTGATCAGTGTTCTCAAATTCTTCAAGGTAAAGACGATCGTCTTATTGTCATTGTCGGTCCCTGTTCTATTCATGACACTGAAGCTGCCAAGGTTTATTGTAAGTAATACCTCATATTCTCAGCTGTAAGTCATTTTATTTATTTAACTTCGTTTATATTTCTTTAAAAAAATCAGGTCAAAAATTATTAAAGGTCAAAGAGAAACATGAGGGTGAGCTGGTCATTATTATGCGTTCTTACTTTGAGAAGCCCAGAACCACTGTCGGCTGGAAGGGTTTGATTAACGATCCCGATATCAACAACAGGTAAGATTATAAATAGTGTTTGGGAGATTGCTTTGTCTAGGTCACGTATTTATCTTTTTATTTTACTTTTGACAGTTACGATATTAATAAGGGTCTCCGCGTCGGCCGTAAGCTTCTCTGTGATCTTACTGATATGGGTATGCCAGTTGCTGTTGAATTGCTTGATACCATCTCTCCTCAATATCTTGCTGATCTTATGTCTTGGGGTGCTATCGGTGCTCGTACTACTGAATCTCAACTCCATCGTGAATTAGCTTCTGGTGTCTCCTTCCCTGTTGGTTTCAAGAATGGTACCGATGGTAATGTTCGTGTTGCTATCGACGGTATCGGATCTGCCTCTGCTCCTCATCATTTCTTGGGTGTCACCAAGAATGGTACTGTCAGTATCACACATACCACTGGTAACTCTGATTGTCATGTCATCTTACGTGGTTCCAACCACGGCCCTAACTACACCAAGGAACATGTTGACGCTGCTAGAGCTGCCTGTGAGAAGGCTGGATTAAGAGCAAATATCATGATTGATTGTTCTCATGGTAACTCCTCTAAAGACCACCGCAACCAACCCAAGGTCTCCAAGGATTTAGCACAACAAATCGCTGCTGGTGATGATGCCCTTGTTGGTGTTATGATTGAGTCTAATATCAACGAAGGTAAGCAAAGTGTTCCCGAGGCTGGTCCTGCTGCATTGAAATACGGTGTCTCCATTACCGATGCTTGTGTCGATTTCGCATGCACAGAAGATATGTTGGATGAATTGGCTGACGCTATTAAGACAAGACGTGCTCTCAGACATTAATTATAATTTTGAAAAAAAAAAAAAGTATAATCAATCATCATCGAAGCATCATCTTGTAGTAATATTCATTTCCCCAAACAAACCAAAAAAGAAACCTCTTCTATACATAGTCTCTCTCTTCAAAATCAATTAAAATATTAGAATTTTTTTATTTATTTATTAAAAAAACCATTTTTTTTTTTTTCGCTATCTTTATTATCAAAACGATCTTTTTTAAGTCCCTCTTTAACATATGTGTTACACAACGGTTCTGTCTTTGACAGATGGCTCCTGTCTATACGCGCAAATTCAGAATTACATTTTAAATACTTTATAAGATGTAGACACCAAATATCAACTATTTTTTTATCGGAGGCATACACGAAACTGTCTGGGGAATGTCTGTAGTAGTATAAAGAAGAATGTATGTTCATCTGAACATAGTTTTTCTTTTCTAATAAGGGTTGGTATAAACTGAATTTAAAAATACCGCGCAAAGTCATTCCGAATAAATCTACAAAAATTCAGTCCGACAACTAAAGTTCTCTTTTTAATTTAAAGGGGTCAGAGGCTCATTACTGTAAACGTAGTTTCAAAACATTGCAGATATGAGAAGAGCAACCATTGAAACATACATTTATCCTAAAAGATGTTGTCACTATCAGCAATGGACCTTACTTCCCTTACTGAGCAGAAAGCAATTGTATTTTTTAAAACTTTAAAACATCGTTGATTTAGATCTTGAAGGACGAGGTATTTAAAAAGAAATGCATGTAACAAACAAAGCTATGGATAGTGTGGAAGTTGAGTTTCTCATATTCTAAACGTAAATACCGGGTCTCTTAGGGACAGCCAGGGTGCGCGTAGTCGTAATATTGGATTATGATACTTTAATAGACACCTAGAGGTCAATATAACTTTTCGTCTTGAACTAAATATAAATTTATTACAAGCAAAGTATGTTAAATCAGTATGTGTGTGTTATAGCTTACTTTCAGCTTCTCATCTAGCTTTTGACTTAATATTCCTGCGTAAGATTAAGATCAAACGAGCTCAAAGGCGAAAGAGTGATGATAGAATTGTCAAAATAAGAATAAATCGTTTAATACGCATTTATTCGTAATTGTTACATTGTTTTTGATTGTGTGTCCTTGTTCCCAGGTCTACAGAACATCCAAATCACAAATCTTACTTGCACTTTGGCTGTTCCTAAGAAAAGCGTTTTTTTTTTATACCTAGCTTTATTATTATCTACGGCCCTTTTGTTTCTACGTACTTTTTTATGCGCCTGTTTTTTTGGACTATGAATACGCCTGTTTTCTAGTATGTGAAGGCTCAAACATATGGGTGATTAAATATACAATTAAATCATCCTGATGTATACGAAGGCTTTTTTATCAGTCTACAAATAAAAACCATTCAAATATTTTTTCCTTCCCTTCTTCTCTTCATTTTTTCATTTTTATTCTTATGCTGTATAACACCATTTTTTTGAAGATATTGAATATTGGGAAAAGGGTAGACTCCCATTTTTTATTATCACAGCTAAGGCTAGACTTCTCTACATAATGAAGATTTTTCCATTACCCTTTGTAGGCAATGTAAGCCTGTATCTTACAGTACCAACTACGGTGGGTCAGAATATAGAGTAGTAAGCCGTCTCTAGATATCCGCTGATGGATCCAAAATATGTAAGAAAAGAATGGATCACGCGAATCTAAAAATTAAGTAGAAAAATTTACAAAAATACGTAGCATCATCAAGTAGAACCTGTGTAAAACAATTATCGTGTGTTGCTATTTTAAAGCATTCATAACTTTTTGAGTCTTACACACCTTTAGCTTCCAGAATAGATTAACTACACTGGTGAACTGAGCCTCAAACTTATAAGAATATGCAGTTGGGAGTGTTTTGCATGGAGAACAAATTAAAATAAACCAAAAGTGATACTGTTAGAACTTGGATACCACTTTATTATGGACGAGAAAAATAAATTAATTAAAAAACGTATTCAAAATGTATTGATGGTCTATGAGAAAAAACTATGGATATTTATATATAGAACTGGGATAGTTCCAGGGAGAATATTAAGCGCCTTATTGGATCATGATGTAATAACCTGGTGATAGTAAATAAGCAACATGTATTTAAATTTAGCCCTTCCATACTGAGTAGAAAATTTTTAGTCAGATAGATCAGCAGTTATAACAAAATGACAAGAGTCATATTTGTGCTCAGTATCTATTGATATTCCATAGTCCAGGCCCATTCGATTGTATTGCTTTTTGCAGAATAAATACTTACTCGCCACAGGGTTGTGCCCTGTGTACAGACTTCAACGGTAGGATGAGAACAAGCGGGGTGATGTGTGATTCATGATTAACTTTTATATTTATTATCCATCCTTAATGTGATGTGACAATCAACTTTATTATTATATCTATGATATCCTCAACAGTACATCCCTCACAGATTGCGGAGTAACCACACATACAATCTTAATTTCCGGCTGCTAATGGAATATTTTATCAAACTGTATTAAGAATTATGAAAGAGAGGTATCATTTACTTGTCTTTTACACCAAATAAAACTGTCAGGATTCCTAAATTTATTTTATGTTAAAGCCAGCTGCAATTGCCGGGCGGTTAGGATGTGGAGCTTTGTTCCTGACATTAATTGCTCTTTAAAGCGTTGTTTCAATATCCTGGGTTTCACCGTTTACTTTATAATGCAAAACCGTATCCTGTGGAAGACTTAAAACAACGGGACAGTCTTTTCAAAGTTTAGCTTTTAAAGAGGTCTTTGACAATAACCTTGTCAGTAATCATTGCTGCTTGCCTTTGACATTTAAAACTAATTTCTGGGCATTTTGCCATGTTTTGGGTTTGAAAATTTTCAGGCTGGCTTTTGAACAAGTAGCACAAAATACGTAGTCAAACTGGACTTTGGCTCAAGAGCATTATAATAAATAAGCATACTGTTTGAGCATTTCAAATTGTCAGCCCTTTTTTGGCAGCATCTGGTGTAGGAATTTTTGGCGGAAGTATCATCCAATGACTGCCCCGGATCTATTACGCCATTTGATGACGTCAAAATGTTTTTTATAAAGCTGTTTATTTTCCCACCTAACTACGCCCTTTTTCTTTTCTTTTCTTTATGCACAGTTTCGAGTAAAGCTGCTGTTGGGTGATTCTGGCATGTACGTCTTGCTCGTGGGTGTACCTGCTCTACCTCTACCTACCGTCTAGGCTCTAGGCAGGCGTGGCTATCTTCTGGTTTTTTACACGGTAATGCTTTTAAAAACTGTTGTTGTCTTAATGTCAACAGGCTAATTTTTTTTTCTTTTTCATGTAGCTTGTACGAGGTAGTTTGTGTAGGTTTATGGAGTCGAATATTTGGCATACTCTTGTACCGCGACAGAGATGCAGACGGTGTTTTCAACAAACATTCGCGTAAATACTAGACATTACAGAGCTGACATGGCGAGTGAGAGATCGAAAGGACACCGTGAAACCGCTAGTACGGACCTTCTTGTGAATCCTAGTTTATCCTCTCATAGTTGGGCGACCTTATCTACGAAAAGGTGTGACATACTTTTTTTGACCACTTTCCAACGATTGTGTCCGTTTTATAACTGTCAACTAAAGCATAAAAAACGGGTGAGTGCAGACAGAGACTGACTTCCACGCAGTTGCACTTGGGCAATTTTCTTTTTACTGGAAATTGGCGAACAGGTCTCTAAACTTTTATCTTTTCTAAAATAAAGCTTTCTTTTTTTTTTTTTTTTGTCTTCAAAAAACTTGCCACGCCTTTATAAGACTACACTGTATCAATGTTGAATCTTTTTGTAAAATAGAGATTTGGTTACGAAAGTATGTGTGTGAGCAAATCGTTGTTTCGTCATCTACCACATCTTTGAAAGTCACTGATAATCACAAAGAGCCGCCCTTGAGAACTTGTAGTAGCCCATTATCTCCATTATTAAGATCAGACTTGCCTCTTGATATCAAGCAGGAGTTTTTGGATCGCATTCGTGATGCAACTATTTCTGCATTTCATGTCGTCTGCATGCGATTTATTATTTTGACGTATAAGATTTATCATTCGCAAGTACAGCCAAGCAGCATTTCCGCTACAAGGCCTATCTCACAAGTAAAGGTTTTCAAGCACGAGGCTTAATTAGTACGCGTCTGGTACAATTCAAGACACAGTAGCATCGTTTATTAGATCTGTCGAAAACTAGAGGTCAGAGACTGGAAAGATCAAAGATATACGATGCTTGTTCAAGAGCCACAAATGTATACTGGTATTTAAAAAGGCTACTTTTGTGATCGACAGAAATAACAATACTTCACTCGAAATCAAAAAAGGTCCTTTGGCTTCTGATATATTGACAAAAGTATATCATGTAGAATGTTCAGAAATCTGTCTTCCTCCTCCGTTAGATCATAGTTTATTTTCAAGCACGTCAAGCTCTCGTCAGCTCCTGCAACTTTTCAATTTCGAAACAGAAACTAGGATAAATAATCGTAGCAGGCATGGCGGATGCACCTTAGTTTTTCTTTTAATTTTCTTTGGAATAAGATAGATCTTAATTTTAACTCGCTGTTTTTTCTTTTTATCATTTTATTCCATTTTCCAAATCCCTATAGCATATATCACTCAGTAATGATAATAAAAAAAAACTTGATTTGGCGTTCTATCATGTGCTTTTGTTTACTTTTCGTTTAAGGAAAAGTATCAATCTTCACGTCTTGTCAAGTCACAGAAAGTCACTTCATTTTTCTCCTATTTCTCTTTTTTTCCCCCAATTCTCTTATGCTTAGCATATGATGCGGTAATCGCTAACTATTTCGGTAGGGTTATCGTATAATTTTTGGAACTGGGCTGAAAGTTCTAATCCACTTCCTGCTTTCGGGCGTGTTGAAACAGGCGGGCGGCTTCCCATTGGATCAGCAAATACGAATACCAGTGGATCAGCAAATATGAAACGAGTGCATCAGCAAGTACAAAACGAGCGCATCAGCAAGAACGAAACGAGCGCATCAGCAAGTACGAAACGAGCGCATCAGCATTTACGATTACGAGTGGATCAGCAATTTTCAACTAATGGGCAGTTTCTCCAGTGTGACAGCATCGGGAAGTGTTGAATGATTAGACTTTTGGCCCTATTTAATTTTTAAATTTAATGAAAATGAAAAGCAAATAATACTGTGACCTTTCTTTATATATATATATATATATACTCATGCATGAGTTGTCTGCAAAAAAAAAAAAACAATTATTTTCTTGTTTTCTAACTGTAAATGTCTTTCTGATGGGACTGACTCATTTGATAAAAAGCTTTTTATGAAAAGACAAAAAGTCTCACTTGTGCCCCTTGCATTTGGCTTATTTTCTGACATGGACTGCACAAGAATTCCTTCAATTACATTAAGCAACTATGTAACGCTATCAACTACCCTCACAAGAAACGGTTGAGAATAAAGCGATTTGCTTAAAGAAAGTCTTGAGAAAACTAACTACAAACACATTTGTACTTTGACCACTTTCATTTTTGTGGTGTATATAAGAGAGAGAAAAAGTTACCGGTAACTTTTTTTTTCAATTGTAAACATTTCTTTATATACAGTTGTTCCGATGCCAAAGGGCGAGTAACTTTTTTTTATGGTTACCGGTAACTTTTCTTTCTTGTAGCATAAATTTATTGTATCGTCACTGATAAGCGACTTAATTTTTTATAGCACAAGGATGCTTAATTCGTATAAATTTAGACTATGATACCATTAAGTCTTTCATCATACTCATTAATAAATCCCAGAATGCAAGTGCAAAGTTAATAAATTTAATAAGACACTGTCCCAGAAACCATTCTTTTTTTTTAGAGGTGACCTGGCTGGTAAAGCGAATGAAGATTAAAGAGAGTACCAGGAAGGCGTTACTATTCAAAATCTGAGCAAACATCTTTCAATCATACGGCACAATACGTCTACAAATATATATATATATATATATATATATATATATATGAAAGGGGCCTATTTTTTCATTGATGTTGAGGTTATATAGTTTAAACGAGAGCCATGCTGCAAGGTAGCAAGCCGAGAAATTTATAAATTATAAGTAAAACTTAGAAGAACACATTAAGTTTATTTATGATGCATTGCTTAATTTCCTTCAGACAGCCAAATATGGGAATCTGAAAGTGTTCTGTATCATATCGAGTGAAACAGTTATGATAACAGTATGCGCTACAGCCATGTCAGTATGACTGGAGCTTCCTAAAATTGTAGAGAATTGAATAAGTTAGAACACCGGACAAAAATCAAGATGTTGAGATGTATGTTGTTACTTATCTTTGGTAGTAGTAACAGTAGTATACTAGTACCGGGAAAGACCTAAATGAATTGAGTCAGTAACGAAATGGAATTTAGAATAACTTGTGCCAATATAAATACTTTCCAATATATAAAAGAGAGGAGGATAGCCCAAAGGATCACAACATCCAGCATTGAACACCGCAGGCAAGTAGTCGCTACTGTCAAAGCCCCTTCCTTCCTGAATGGGAAGCGTATCTAGCCAAGAGTAATCACAAAGTGTATCTACCACAAACCACTACGGTAGGCAACTACTATGAAAAGAGATTGGCAGATAATGCATAGCATCCACGATGCCCGCCAGGAACCCACCTCGACCTGTACCTCCTAACAAAGAGTGCAATCCTCAACATGTTGATGATCCCGTCATATCACCCTTGCTCACCCTCACGACCCAGCAAGATAGAATGAATAACCCTGGCGAGTCTTGTCGACCTGTCTTTTTTTTATATTTTGGACCGAGATGACACTTGTGCAAGCAGCTTCGGGGTATATGTCTGAACACGACTGTACAAAAGGAGGCGAACTGGTGGTGGCTTACTACAGCTGTTTATGGCGAGGCCTAAAGAAGCAACCAGCCAAAGTAGGGATTTTATTCTGTGGCAACCTCTATTGTCATTAAGATGCCCTTTTTTCATCCTGTAGATAACCCTCTTCTTTCCAACCGTCATAGAATATTAGATGGATTGGGTGGTAAAGAAGAGAATTAGCTACAAGATAAAAAAAGGGGAATATAACACCAATAGACGATACCACAGAACAAAACCCGTTCGTCTGTGACCAGCCGCTCCCAGTCGGCCTCGCCATAAACAGATGTAGTAAGCAACCACCAGTTCGCCTCTTTTTGTACAGAACGTGTTCATGTATGGGGGTCAGCCGCCTGCTTACGCGTCATCCCAGTCCTTTTTTTTTTCAGAGGGAAGACGTTGTTTGACCCACCGTTTCGGGTTTATAAACTTACCGGGAAGTGGGGGTACAGAGAGAGACAAGAGCGACAGAGGACCTATAAAAAATTAAATATGAGTTTCAATGTTTTTTTTTCTTTTTAATTGAGATTACTTACAGGACTACAACATGTCTTGGAAAGCACCCAATGCAGTCGATACAAGCCCAGGAGGGTTGACGACAGGTATACGTGCACGCCATACATTACCTACTCCCTTTCCATAGGACCATTTAATAGCAGTAAGGGATCACCACCGATCGACATTACAACCCAGTAGACACACGGCATTTGTGCAAAAGAGTACCCCTTAGTGAGCTTTCATCGCGGCAATGCTATTACTGAACATCATGTTAATAATAAAAAAAGAAAAGAGGAGAAAGAGTGAGAAAAAATCAGTAGTGCGTAGCTACCAGACTTTGACTGCTGACAGGCTCACGCGCAACAAGATAAGATTACCGTGAGAGCTTTGATTACATGATCAAATTCAGACATTTGTACTACTTTGATTTTTAAGCAAAAAAAAAAAAAAAAAAAAAAAAAAGAGTAGAAATCTTACAATGAACACTTCACATGCCACTGTATACAACATAACTTACACTAAAAATACTGCAAGTATGAAATTCTGGGAGTTACAGAAACTATGCTGATCGTGTTAATTATCTCTGTAAAATTTTTATTTTCGCCAAACTAGAATATTGTGGAAAGTTCCACCAGCTGAAAGTGACATCAATTACACAAGCTGTCACTAAAAAGTCTCAATTACATTTACGTGGCCTACAAAAATGATCTTGAGAGGGTTTTATGTTGGTGAGTGTAATAAAACCTTGACAACTAAGAACTGGAATGTAGTAATCATGATTCTTATTTTTTGTAACATTGAGTTCATTCCTACTTGTTCTCCGTATGCCTTTTTTTTTTGTTTTGTTTTTCTTGCTCACTACACTTGCCAATTAAGCATGGTTTTCAAACACACCTTCTCGAGTTGGGTAGTTTTTTTTTTAGGATCTTAGTTTGATTCTCTGTTTATTTTATTTTTTTGTTAATTATGCATCTTTTCAGTGTTACAAATGCAGTGATTGGCGAAAAAAAAACTTGTTCAAGATACGAGTCTTACCTGACAATTAGAAACAACGATGTAGATTTTTTGAAAAAAAAATATCATCCCTACGAATTTGTGTGGATATGCAATTAGTGACTCAATCACGGCCTTACTTCAAGCTGATCAGGCTCTTCTGTCAATAATGTTGACTTTCACGTAATGAATTATAGGTGATGGTGTACACTGAGTGGTAGTCACATAAAGAACAAGCACACAAGATGAGAAGTTTTAGCTTACGTGCTACATATACTCTTGTCCATTCTTTCGCCTTACAGTAACGGTGCCTAGACTTTTGGCTTCTTTTTTAATATCTTTTTTTTTTATGCATATATTTTTTTTCTTTTGAATTTCTGCCAGTCAGTGTAAACCAGCATACTTGGGTAAAGAAAAAAAAAAAGGATGATATGGCACGTCAGTGGATGTATACTTTAAAGTCTGGTTCTCAATTTAAAAACATGATTTAAACATTCCCACAGAAAATACTTACACACTTGAAACAGTTCATCCTATCAATCGCCATCTATCTTTTTTGTTAAGCGAGTTTTTGTTTTGCATGGAGAACAAAATTACAAATAAACCAAAAGTGATACTGTTAGAACTTGGATACCACTTTATTATGGACGAAAAAATATAATTAAAAAACGTATAAGAAAAATCTATTGATGGTCTTAGAAGAACTGGGATAGTTCTAGGGAGAATATTAAGCGCCTTATTGGATCATGATGTAATAATCTGGTGATAGTAAATAATCAACATGTCTTTAAATTTAGCCCTTCCATACTGAGTATATAAGTATTATTTAGAGGGATCAACAATTATAACATCAAATGACAAGAGTAATATGTGTGCTCAGGATCTAATAATATTCTATAGTCCAGGCCCATTCGATTGTATTGCTTTTGCAGAATAAATATTTACTCGCCACAGGGTTGTACCCTGTGTACAGACTTCAACGGTAGGATGAGAACAAGCGGGGTAATGTGTGATTCATGATTAACTTTATTATTATATCTATGATATCCTCAACAGGGAGGACTACGCTATCGACTCTGTTCAAAACATACAGCTCCTTATCAACCAAACCGAAGGACCAAAGTCTTAAGCGAGTCTGTGCAGCATGAATGAAAAAGACTTGAGCTTTTTTAAAGACTTCGATGTCAGCATGAATGCACTTATAGGCAATTGTATGGAGCATTGCTAACAATCCGTAAGTCGCTTTCACCTGATCATTGGTCTCTCGCGGGACATCAACTAAACCGAACGGGCAGGTTGTTTCCCGTAGACATAATTCTAATTTTGAGCTGTTGTCAAAAATAACTCCATCGGCGTAGTATGACACTCGTCAAGCGACACGGCCTTTTTTAAAGAATTTAAGTAAATTGATCTAAAAAATGAAATCTTAAGATAACCTACCAAAGATTCAAACGATGATGGATAAAATGAAACTTTTGAATCACATCATCAATGGGTGTTTGTATCAATTCATTTGTCTTTAGTTGAAGCTCTTTCGGATAAAACTTTCTGCTTTGCTTATTTCCAACATGATGACCTAGAATTATGATACCCAAATACTCCAAACTAGTAAAGGTACATCAGTCTCCTTCAAAAGATGTAAAAATACTTTATCATACCTGTATTCATGTACATCTTCATCGTTGTTATCTTCCGTCAGCATGGTGTGTAAAGTATCACTCCAGATGGACCAGACATTTTCACTTGTAGGCTCTGTTTCTGCGAAGGATGCGGGCGAAGAAGGCGTATTTGTGGAGATAGCAGATTGATCGGGGCGTTGTAGACTCTAGTATCAGCAAAAATATTTTAGATTTATATTTTATTTAAAATGTTCTCGTGTATACTTTACAGACAATGTATTATCCATCGAATCTGAAGAAACTGTATGATACAGCTGTAGCTGTTTGTGTGAAATGAGAATGGTAGCACACATACTATCCTTTTCCATCCAATACAATTCAGCGCTGGAGTCTTTTAAGCATTTTAGTCCATCATGCAACAAACGTGAGACAAACACCTTGACCTCATCTTTTAAATTTTTAACGTCGAGAATATCTTTCAGCTGTTTTTCAGCTTCTACTTTGGCCGTTTCAGGTGTGTTACAATTCAACAGAAGAAGTAAATCCTTACTGTTGAAGGTTTGGTATGAATGATGTTGCTTTAGATACCCCAGAACCGATGGACTTGAATCTTTTTGTAATCTTTTGCTACTTGATGGCTCCGAATCGTCTGCAGGAATAAAAAAACCAAAAAGACGTGCGTACTCTTTTAACGGAAATGTTAGACCTCCTTATTTTTTTCAACCGTATTTCTTTTTATACCTTACAGCAATTCTTGCTAAGACCAGAAGGCCAGTATGATCACAACTATTTACAGCGCAATCACAGCCATTCACGGTTCTTGAGTTCCAAAAACTCAAGAACCCTGCCAAGGAGGTCGCCCTCCTATAGCAAAGACTAGCCGCAGCCGCAATATCACAATATATCTTTTTTCAATTTAGCTTCTTTTTAAAGAAACAAGCGTCATTACTAACTAACCTTTTTACGTGATCGGTCACTTTCATACGATAAAAGAAGTATGTTAAAGGAAAAGAAAAGGATAAGAATAAAGTGTGTGAACCAGCTTTATTTATAGGCTGATAAACAAGGGCTTATGTCAGAATGATTTGATTGATTGTTTCATCATTTATAATGTTTGGGCCTTTACTTAAAATAGAAACATATGCAAAAACCCCCATAGCAAATCAAAACTTGCTAATTGTCTATCTGCGTTCCAGTAGTAGCTTATAATGAAAGTGAAGCAGATTTTATGGAAAACAGAAATCGATCATCCTATGAAGTTTAGATGATATGGCATGTTAATTGACGTGTAGACCATCACGTGATTTAAATTTCGAAGGGTGCTATCGTTTTCGTGAAAGTATTACTCATATGAATGTGTCTCCTCAGTGTTTTGCATGGAGAACAAAATAAAAAATAAACCAAAAATTGATACTGTTAGAACTTGGATACCACTTTATTATGGACGAAAAAATACAATTAAAAACGTCTTCAAATGTCTTAAAATGTATTCCTGGTCTATGAGAAAAAACTATGGATATTTATATAAAGAACTGGGGTAGTTCTAGGGAGAATATTAAGCGCCTTATTGGATCATGATGTAATAATCTGGTGATAGTAAATAATCAACATGTATTTAAATTTAGCCCTTCCATACTGAGTATATAAATATTAGTCAGAGGGATCAACAGTTATAACATCAAATGACAAGAGTAATATTTGTGCTCAGAATCTATTTTAATATTCCGTAGTCCAGGCCCATTCGATTGTATTGCTTTTTGAAGAATAAATATTTACTCGCCACAGGGTTGTGCCCTGTGTACAGGCTTCGACGGTAGGATGAGAACAAGCGGGGTAATGTGTGATTCATGATTAGCTTTTATATTTATTATCCATCCTTAATGTGATGTGACAATTAACTTTATTATTATATCTATGATATCCTCAACAGTCACCCAGTACCACAGAGCACGTGCAAAGAGCATTCATACTATTAGTTCCAATCATTAGTTTTTGTTTCAGACCTTTGCCATCTGACGCTGGCACAGTCCCACAAAATAAGCGCCCTTCCACGGGAATAGTAGTCTCCCATAACTCCGATTCGTTGTGTATATCGATAGACGCGTGGCGCGAGTAAACCTCCACAGTTAAAATGTTAATCGAATGATTCTTGGAACGTATAATTCCATTGACAAGGAGTTCCGCAATTTGGCCCAGCAATTCAGGTTTGTCATGAAATTCCATGTTCAATATATCTAACAGCCTGTCGTTTGGTTGTTCGTAAGGACCAGTCAATCTGTAGAGTTTGCCATAACCCTTTTTCGTCAAGAGCACATCGATAATGTCTGCTGCGGGTTGGCGAGACATGATCTGCAAGGATTCCTCCTCCTCTGGGAGCTGAAAAGTTACTTCAAGCGGCGTGCCTTGGTTCTGCCTCGTAGAAAATAGTACTCCTGCCGAGTGCATATTATTTATGAAAGATTGAGTGACCATAGTAAATGAATCAGGAGTAGGACTTGTCGTCAATTTATCATTTTTGATGTGAATTTTCATGGGTATGTAATCCATCAATATATCACCGTTGATCGCTTTATCTGGTGAGAACGCTATTGTGCAAAAAGGTGAATCAGTCTACACAAACAATTAAAATTCATTATGCTTTTACCTAGACCATCCATAGACGACGCGCTCCTGAAAGCGCGCTTACACCCATCTGCAAAAGAAAACGGAACGTATTCGTCTAGTTTTTGCTTCTTGCTGTTGCTGTGTTTGTCGGCTTTGGTCGCTTTGCTGCAAGTTTGGCGTTGCCGCTTACAACTATTTATAGTCCGATCACAGCCATTCACAGCCTGTGAGTTCCAGAAACTCAAGAACTCTCTGCCCTAGAAGGTCGCCCTCCTATAACAAAGACTAGCCGCAGCCGCAATAATATATTTTTTTCAATTTAGTGTCTTTTGAAAGAAACAAGAGTCATTACTAAACAAACCTTTTTACGTTATCGATAACTTTCATAAGATAGAAGAAATATGTTAAGGGAAAAGAAAAAGGAGGAGAATAAAGTGTGTGAACCAGCTTTATTTATAGGCTGATAAACAAGCTTATGTCAGAATGATTTAATTGATTGTTTTATCATTTATAATGTTTAAGCCTTTACTTTCAATGACCGAACAGGAGAAACATCGATCCTGCTGATAATCATTTACATGAATACAAATAATGGTATATTGCTTCCAATAAAGGATTCAATTCAATCATAAGGAAACTCAAGCTCCTAAAATCGGAGTCTATTAGACTTAATACTTTTTTTCAATATTTAATGTTGATGCTGAAGCTAAAAAAAAGTTTGATTATTTAAGGCCTGGAATTCCAATGCTGTATTAAAGATAAATTGATAAAGACATTTAGGGATATATCAGTAATATTCGTATTGGTAAATGGGTGAACTAAATTGGCATTCAACAAATTTTAACTGGATAATCTGAAGGTGGGTCTACGAGTATTAAATCATCTTATTCATTCCTCCATTGTGCCAGTATCATACTTTTTTTAGTAACTCAAAATTGCGACGGCAATTCTAATAGACTCACGAAAGGAGGTAATTCTTACTTAATCTACAATAACAGGGTTTCCTATAATTTAGTGTTGCATTTGCCTGCACTGGCGATCAGAAAAAAAAAAAAAAAAAAAAAAATAGCATTTTATTTTTTTGGGAAAAACTGCACCTAAAAGGAGCCAATTTTTACTGCTTCAACTAACCAGATACAAACTTCATATACGACGCAGGGTGCTGTGACTGATGATACAAGAAGCTTGTATTTTTTAGTGACTAGCATGCTTATTACCGATCATCATAAAGGTTGGTGTCAATTTATTCTCATTGTTCTCTTCAAACGATCTTTTTTTGCTGCAGGGTGATCGAATAACATCTTTTCTACTGCGATTAATCTATATAATCATTGTCAAATCTCAAATGAGTACTGCCAATAGTACAGAGAGTGGTTTCCATAAAAGAATGATTATTTTATGTTTGTTATAACAACATGTGGGTGATCTTTATTGGAACGGGCATGAGACTATGTCCGCTATTACTTTTCTTTTTGCATGTAAAAGTATGAAAAAATGGGAGAGAGGCGAATGAATAGCAGATAAAATCACAATTTATTCGCCTAAAGTATGCAAAAAAAAAGAGGCTGTCTGCTATGCAAGTTAATTGTGGCATTTTTGAATTTCTAGGGAGACTTTTGTATTGAGCGCGCTTATTGCTACAGTGAGGCATAAAAAAATGCTACTGCCGAAAAGAAAGAATGGATAATAGCCTTTCTTGTCCCTTAAATAAAAGAAAGGCGATCGTTATAAAAATAGATCCTCTAGAGTCAGCAGGATCTTTTAATAAACTTGAGCTAAAAAATTCATTTTATTCGGTTGGTTCTGATTTAAACAAAAAAAGAGACATTTTTTATACTTATGAAACTCGCAACAGAATGAAGTTATATTAAAAGATTAGGTGTTTTGATTTTTTATGTCAGCAAACATTTGATAAAAAAGAAAGTTTGCATGGCCCAATTCATTCTATCTTTCATGATTTGCTGTAAAAGCAGACGGGCTTTTAAACTGCATACTTTTTTTTTTCAAGCATTGTTATCCTCCGGTCTCTCTTATTTCTTTCTTTCTCTCTCTCTCTCTCTCTGTCTCTCTCTTTCTAATAAAAACGTCTTTTTTTATTAACAATGCAAACGAGTTTTGACAATGTGCTAAGTCCCGACTTCAGTGAACCTTTGCAATACTTTGATGCTTCACCTCCATTGTCTCGAACCACGCCACCCATTTATGCAGACGATCCTTGGAACTCCTCTTCATTTGAAGATGCTGAGCCGGATATGCCTCATTATTTTGTAGCCAACGATAGTGAACAGCATAAGACACTCTTTGGATCCAACCTAACAGCAGCCAATGTTCTACGTAAGTTATAACACATACGCGCGGCCACTATTTAACCTTTTTTTTCCCATTGTTCAGTGGGTGTAGATATTCCAGATACTTATAACGACATATATAGTAAATCCAACCCTCAAGAAGAGAAAATTGATGTGAAATCATTAGAGTTGATCCTGGTACAATTATCAGGATTACCCCTTCATCTTCGACAACAGGTAAATTGTTATTTTGTGTGTGCGTTGGGTGGTTATCTAAGTAAAAATAAAAAACCCCCCTAACACAGAACAGGTCATGCGTTTAGTTACAGCTCCTGAAGAGGACATGGTTACACGGAATGAGTTTAACGCCTTTCTGGCTTTAATCGCTTGCGCTCAGAAAAATATGGGTAAAGGGAAATAAAAAGGATATAATCTTGTACTCAATCCTTTTTTCAAATATAGAAATCTCGCTTGAAACGATCTATCATCATAGGAATGGTAAAAAAAAAAAAAAAAAAAAAAAATAAGGATGGAATATGAGATTTTTACTGGCGATAACTAAAAAGGTTGTTTTAGATTTACCTATACCTACATTGACGCATCTTGAAACATTTAATGTGAGAGAGATGCTGCAACCACCTGCGATGAAGCAAGATACGACAGAAAATAATGAAGTGACGGCACCTGTGCTACGACACAATGAAGAACAAGAAGCCATGAATCAATGGTTCCGAGACCTGGATCATATCACTGTATCACGTACTTCGGAAAAGGAAGGGTTTTTATTCAAACATGTCAATTATGAAGTCGAGAGTGAAAAATTGGGATCCAAAGTACTACGAAGGTTTAGTGACTTTTATTGGTTATGGGAAGTCCTGTTAAAACGTTACCAATTCCGAATTCTGCCCAATCTGCCACCTAAGAAACTTGGAGGAAGTAAAGTAATCAGTTACATTACTCTTTTGGTTGTCATGTAAACGAGAGGAAACTAACTCTCTATCTCTCTCTTTTTGATTTGGGAAATATTAGGAGACGATGTATTTGAGGAAAGAAGAAGAAAAGGATTGGTACGCTTTATAAATGCCGTGATTCGACATCCTGTGTTGGGAAAAGATGACGTGGTGGTGGCCTTCCTAAGTCATCCCTCCGAAATGAGTTCATGGAGAAGAGCAAAACAACCTCCATTGGACGAAGAATTTGTTCAAACATCACATAATATTGCTCACCTCGAACGATTAGTCCCCATGGATCTCGACGACCGTATTTCTCGCATCAAGAAGCGGCTGGCCGTGTCCATTCAACAATATGAACACATGTGCTTTATCATGAATCAAATGAATCGCCTGAAAAAGGCCTTGGGGACAGACTATATTCGATATAGTGTCACACTAAAGTAACAAAACCATTTTTTTTCACGCCTTTATTCTATAGTATTCACCTCTTTTCTTTTTTGCGTGTGTGTGTGTATATAGCTCAGTGGGTGAATTGGATAAGCATTGTTGGGTACCTGGTTGTCAGGGATGTCCTCAAGTGGTGCGTGGTTACGGTAGTCTTGCAAAATCGTTACATCAAGCGGGTGTGATACTAAATAAGCAAGCGATTGCCACGGGGGATAGTATTGTGGAGAGTTTAAAGCGACAACGCGATGTGTTGGAGTCCTTTAAGGAATTATTGGATCGTCGTGAAAGAAACAGCCCGATTCCCAACGAAGTGTTGGCAAGGCAAATTGCACGTTGCAATAAGCGGGCAGTAACACAGGTGGAGGGGTTGACATTGTCACAACAGCGCGATATTTTTATTAAGTACTGCTTTATTGCCGAATTATCTTACCTCCATAAACAGCAAGCAAGCGTGGCTGTCATGTACAATACATACGTACGTGATGAAGTCCGATATGCGAGACAATGGAGCGAGCATTGGAAAAATCTAGAGGTATTCACGAGCGAAATGCCAAACACACCACATGAATTTTTGTAGACATTTTTTTTTTTTTTTTTTTGTAAATGTTGAAGGTTTATATATTTTGAAACAAAGTGCATAAAGAAAAAAAAATAAAAAGATTTTCCTTTACATTTTAAAAAATAATATGATTATACAATTTTTTTAAGAGAGAAGAGCTTTAGTAGAAACCCTTGGCGTGGTTATCACAGACTTCACGGAGCTTGGTCTCGAGTTCCTTGGAGAGGACACCCTTGGCACGGATTTCCTCGAGGACTTCGGGATGTTGAGTAGCAACGTGGCTAATGAAATCCTTTTCCCATTCAACGACCTTACCGACGGGGATCTTATCAAGATAACCGTTAACACCAGCAAAGATGATAGGAACTTGAGCTTGGATAGACAAGGGAGAGTATTGAGGTTGCTTGAGCAATTCAGTGAGACGGGCACCACGGTTTAACAAGAATTGAGTGGAAGCATCCAAATCAGAACCGAATTGAGCGAAAGCGGCAACTTCACGATATTGGGCCAAGAAAAGCTTCATGGAACCAGCAACTTGCTTCATAGCCTTGGTTTGGGCAGCGGAACCGACACGAGAGACGGAAAGACCAACGTTAATAGCGGGACGGATACCCTTGAAGAAAAGTTCGGCTTCCAAGAAAATTTGACCATCAGTAATGGAAATAACGTTAGTGGGAATATAAGCAGAGACATCACCACCTTGAGTTTCAATGATGGGAAGGGCAGTCATGGAACCATAACCGAAAGCCTTGTTCATCTTGGCAGCACGTTCCAAAAGACGAGAATGGAGATAGAAAACATCACCAGGGTAAGCTTCACGACCAGGAGGACGACGGAGCAAGAGAGACATTTGACGGTAAGCAACAGCTTGCTTGGACAAATCATCATAAATGATCAAAGAGTGACGACCGTTATCACGGAACCATTCACCGAAGGCAGCACCGGAGAAAGGAGCGAGATATTGAAGAGGAGCAGCTTCAGAGGCAGTGGCAGCAACAACAATGGTGTACTTCATGGCATCTATTTATCAGTGTAAGTTAGTTCACCATACTTTCATTATATATACTATCGAACTTACCGTTCTCTTCAAGAGTACGGACCAATTGGGCAACAGTAGAACGCTTTTGACCGACAGCAACGTAGATACAGTACAACTTCTTGGCTTCATCAGAACCGTTGTTCCAGTTCTTTTGGTTAAGAATGGTATCGAGAGCGACAGCAGTCTTACCGGTTTGACGATCACCAATAATCAACTCACGTTGACCACGACCAATGGGGACCATGGAATCAACAGACTTGATACCAGTTTGCATAGGTTCGTTAACGGAGTGACGAGGTAAAATACCAGGAGCCTTAACTTGGACACGAGAGCGACCAACGGTGTCAAGAGGACCCTTACCATCAATGGGGTTACCAAGGGCATCAACGACACGACCAAGGATACCAGGACCAATTGGGACATCGACAATAGCACCAGTACGCTTGACGGTATCACCTTCCTTGATCAAACGATCGTTACCGAAAACGACAATACCGACATTATCAGCTTCCAAGTTAAGAGCCATACCCTAAAAAAAACCCCATGAATGTTTAATTATCCCACTCCATACTATGAATGTACACAACACTTTTTTTTTTCATGATTATTACCTTAAGACCGCTGGAGAACTCAACCATCTCTTCGGCTTGACAGTTCTTTAAACCGTAAACACGAGCAATACCATCACCAATGGATAAGACACGGCCGGTCTCTTGGAGGTCAACTTCGGAGTTGGCACCCAAGATACGTTGCTCAAGGATAGAGGAAACTTCGGAGGTGGAAGGCTTGGCAGAGGCATAACCACGAGCAGCAGTGGCAATAGCACCGAGGTTAACACGGGCCTACACAAAAAAAGAAATTAATTATTAGAAGCAATTCTTCGATGTTGCATGTCGCATGTTTCATGGAAATAGTTTTCAACTTTCTCCTCTTTCTCTTTCTCTCTCTCTCTTTATAACGCTTTCTTCTTCTATCTATCTATCTCGCTTTTGTTGTATGTCTATTTGTATATATATATATATATATATATGTGTGTGTGTGTGTGTATGTTTTCCCGTTTCTAGTGGTGTTTTTCTTTACATGTAAATTGTCGTGTCTACTCTATCCATCACGTAAAAATTTATAAAAAAAAAGTGTATTTTCCATAGCGTTGTCCATTGAAAGAGAAAAAGGGAAGAAAGAAGGTTTCCATGACAACAAAAATTGCTTACAGCAGGAGCCAAGCTACGGGCAGCTAAGGGACGGGCAATACGAGCAACGTTTCTAAGCATTGTTATTTTATTGTTGTAAAAAAAAAAAAAAAAAGAAAAGCTTCCTTTTTTATTAATTCCCTTTTTAACTAGTCCATTTTCCCCAGAAATTTCGAGGGGGGGGGTGTTTTAAAAAAAATTATTTTGCGAAGGGGGTGGACAGGGCTAGAGATTTAAAAAAGCTTTAGGGTTTGTCTACGTCATTGCTTTGGTTAAATATTCTTGCGCCGGCTTTTTTTATCAGTTATCTGATTTTGGATCTCCCATAAGAGAGCTTATTTACACCACATTTTTTTTTTTAAAAATTAGAAATGGTAAGAGCATCCATAGATTAAAAGTATACATAACGCCGAGTATCTTACTCTCTCAGTCTCTTTGTAGCAAAAAGGTGACAATGCATAGATAGACGCTGCTAATTTACGGCCCCGATCTCTAAACGGGCGGCATAAAAATCACTATTACCACACGCTTCATACAAGCTGTTTTCTTCTTTCTCATAGCGTGTTTCAAAGAGATGATAAAGAGGCACAAGTGGATTCAGTCAGTGCTTGGCAGTGAGCTGACAAAGTGACGTCAAGTGCAAAAAGGGTGGGTGCACAAAGACGGAGATTACATTGGTTTTCACACCTATTTTTTTCTTCTTATTAAAAAATCTTCTTTTTTAAACAAGTATACATATAAAAAGATGAACGCATCCAATACACTTGTTGTAGATAACGGTACAGGTGTAAGTTATAACAAAGAGAGCAAAAAGATGGGATTGAAAAGAAAAAAACGCGTTTGTTTTCTAGCAAGTTGCTGACGAATTCTTTCATCTAGTTTGTAAAATGTGGTTATGCAGGTTCGAATTTCCCTGAACATGTGTTCCCAAGTGTGGTAGGACGACCCATCTTGCGTGCGGAAGAGAAAGTGGGTGACTTAAAGGTCAAGGACATCATGGTAGGAGATGAAGCAGCACAACTTCGAAACATTCTTCAAATGTCCTACCCAATGGAAAACGGCATCATTCGTAACTGGGAAGATATGCGTCATTTGTGGAACTACACCTTTGATGAAATGTTGAAAATCGACCCGAGAGACAGCAAGATTTTGTTGACGGAAGCTCCCATGAACCCTAAGCAAAACCGTGAAAAGATGGCCGAAATCATGTTTGAAGAGTATGGCTTTCAGGGTATTTATGTCGCTATTCAAGCCGTTCTCACCCTCTTTGCTCAAGGTATGACACATAATCCTAACAAAGCTTTTGTATAAGTGTCTCACTCGCGTTTATTTTTGGACCTTTATAACAGGTTTAATGTCGGGTGTGGTAGTTGATTCTGGTGATGGTGTAACCCATATTGTAAGTATTCTTTTTTTCTGTTGTATGCATATAAACACACACAGAGACAGGAGCTCACACATTCTATTAAGGTACCCGTATATCAAGGCTACGCTCCTGCCAACTTAACTCGTCGTCTTGATGTCGCAGGTCGTCATGTCACCCGCTACTTGATCAAATTGTTGCTTTTGCGAGGTTATGCATTTAACCGTACTGCTGATTTCGAAACGGTGCGCCAAATCAAGGAAAAGTTCAGTTACGTCAGGTAAAAAAAAATTATGAAGAGGGGTAATCAAAAATCTCAATTTTTTTGCAATAGTTATGATCTTGAGTTGGATCAAAAGTTGGGTAATGAGACCACAACATTAGTTGAAAGTTATGAACTTCCGGATGGACGTGTGATTAAGGTGGGTTCTGAACGTTTTGAAGCTCCCGAATGTTTATTCCAACCCAACTTGATTGATGTAGAAGCCCCCGGCATGGCTGGTAAAGAAAAAGACACAAGTTTAGACATTTATGTGTATACTAAATTACCCTTTCATTTGACCTTCCGTAGAGATGCTTTTCAATACGATTCAATCCGCTGATATTGATATCCGTGCTGATCTTTATAAACACATTGTTCTTTCAGGTGGATCTACCATGTATCCTGGCTTACCCAGTCGTTTAGAAAAGGAAATGAAGCAACTTTACCTTACAAATGTCCTCAACGGCGATGCTAGCCGATTAAACGTAAGTTTTCACCTTTACTTGCACATAGACACACATAATTGACTTGGGATATTATTAGAAATTCAAAATCAGAATTGAAGATCCTCCTAGACGTAAGCACATGGTTTATCTTGGTGGTGCTGTTCTTGCTGATATCATGAAGGATAAGGATTCATGGTGGGTCACAAAGGCGGAATGGGAAGAAATGGGTCCTCGTGCATTGGAAAAGATGGGTGTGTTAGGATCCACTTAGGTCTTATATTATTATTATTATTATTATTAAAAAAAAAAAAAAAAAAAAAAAAAAAAAAAAAGGGAAAGAAAAAAAAATAGGAATATAGAACGATAAATGTGTGTGTGTGTGTGGTGGGGGAATATGTATTTTTTAAGCATTAAGTATTATAAATTTTAGTCAGAATCGGAATCACCATCATGATATAATGTAACTAAAGAAGTATACGTTATCAGTAAAGAAAGGTAGATGGTAATGATAAACAACTTACTAGAGTTGAACTTCTCGAATGGATTTGATTTATCCGCTTTTAATGTGACCATCACATCATCCGATTCCAAATCGAAACTTGTATTCTCTGGTGGCATTTTTCTGAAATTCAAAGCATCAATGCCATTGGGTTTTTGAACGAGCGGTGTGATCGGAGGTGTACAATGTCTGAGTAAAGCAAAATTGATTGATTTAAAGAACGCGTGTGCCTTGATGTCCGAAGCACCTGCTCGACTGCCCAGCCTCTTCGTCTCATCCTTATGTAATAACTTTCGAATCAAGTTCTTTCCGTTGTTCGACACGTGTGACTTATAAGGTGCTGGTTGCTCGCCAAACTGAACATCACAGTGTAGAATACGTGAAAAGGTTTCGTTCCTTCCCGATCCTTTAAAAGGTGTAGTTCCAAACAACATTTCGTATATTAAAATGCCCAGTGTCCACCAATCCACTGAACTCGTATGTCCACATCCCTTGATAACCTCGGGTGCAATGTATTCTAGAATCAAAATATCAGTTTTCATCAATTATCTTCACTCTACCCTGTTTTACCTTCGGTACCAACAAAACTATTGGTTCGGAGGTTATTGACACAGCTCTTTGTATCAATAGAAGGAGGCTAACATGATGAGAGTGAGTTATACGAACATTTAATATATGTATACGAATATATATATTTACCACGTGAGGTGAGCTGGATTTAACAACGGTAGGTTTACCAGGGGGATGTGATCCTTTACTTAGGTCAAAATCGGTCAACATGATATGCCCACTTTGATGAAGCAAGATATCTATTTATACATTAATTAGAGGGTTACACAGAAAGATATTAAAAAAGATACATTACTCTCTGGTTTTAAATCTCTATAAATATGGCCTTGGAGATGTAAATATTCCAAGGCAGCTGTGACCTCAGCGGCATAAAATTTGGCCCCATCCTCGGTTAAGCATTTCCCTGGCCTCATTTGCAAGGCTATGTAAAAATAAAATTCCATCAGAATATATACATAAAATAAGGTTATATAGATTACCTCGAAAGAATTCTCCACCAACACAGTATTCCATGACAAAGTAGAGATAATCCTGGCTTTGAAATGAGTGGTATAATGTAACAATGAATGGATGGTTGGAAGTGGTCAGAATTTCTTGCTCGGCCAAAGCTCGCTTAATCTTGTTTCTTCGGATCATCTCCCTTTTGGATAACACTAATTACTTTATATAAGTTTATGTTGTATACCTGTGTATATATGTCATAATTTACCTTTCATGGCAAATAGCTTGTCGGTCTCCTTTTGCTTGACCATGTACACTTTACCAACATCGCCTTTACCGAGCATTCTTATCTTGACAAAGCTTGAGGGTCCCACCTGCACGTTTTTTACCTTGATGCTACTACTTGAATAAGTGCGTCTACAAGATCTACGTAATCTTTGCAGAGGTGGGGACTCGTTCATTAAAGAAATGGAGGAAACATGATTGTCCAAGTAAGGTGGTCTAGTCATGTTGAGGAGTTTTGCGTTAGGAGCAGAAGCAACTCTTCGAATGGCCTTTTCGTCTTCATTCATGGGCAGCAAGTGAGGTTTATTTCCGTCATCATGGGCCGTAGTGTGAGAAAACCATGAATTGCTTTTAAAGCCCTTTTGAGAAGTGGTATCAAAATCATTGGGTACCGCAAAAGGTGGTGCTGGTGTGGTGGCTAAAGGCGGACTAAAGAATGATTTGATACGGACAGACATTTGACTCGAAATATAAGATGGTGGTGGTGCTGATATTTCCATGTCCCCATGTTGCTTCGATTCCATCATCTCTAATTGTAGTGAGAAAAGGCTGGCATTCCCTTTTTCAAAGAAAAAAAACTATGTAAAAAAATAAAATAAAAAGAGCCGCACTAAAAGAAGAAAAAAGGTTATTGATCTGATTTGATTGGTTAAGGGGATTGCTTTTTTATTGTCCGATAAAAATGTTAAAATGGGATATAAAAGCACCGGCAACAAATAAAAAGCCTATTTTTTTCTTTTTCTTCTTCATATATCAAATATATACAATGCTAAGTTCCCCTAAAAATATCAATGCGGTAAGGCTCCTTATATATACAAAAAAATAACAAACCCCACTGAAAAGATCAAGGGTAGTTTCCTCGTCGTGTTAGTTTCGACTTGAGCCATAACATTGTCCATCTCTTACCTACACTTGAAGAATGTCGTGATGCCGCGAAACAAAAGAGTAGAGAAGAATGGCAACGAAAGAGTTTAAACGAAGACATGCTGAGCGAGGATATTATTATTGAAATCCAAGAAGATTGTTCTGCTTCGTCCCGTCATACTGATTCTTCTTCGGATGAAGAACAAGCAGCGGCAGAACATCCTACCCTTGAGCCCAAAAGTTGTCTTAAAAAACCACCTGTTGTCATAGCAACGCCCGTTACTATATCCAAAAGAAGTAAAAAGAATCAGAAAAAGAGAAAGAGAGCCAATTCTCATGGTAAAGAAATCATAACAAACATGTTTTTTCTTATCTTATTCTCACACGTTTTTTTTTATATATATATTAGTCACAAATGTAGTCTCTGTACATTGAATCCTTCGCCTTTTACGAGTCGCTCGGCAACAGACTACTTGCGCTGTCACCATTGTGACTAATAGTGTTGCCATGACTCCATTGATTGGTAGATTTTCATATCTACCCTTAATCAAACTCATCAGGAAAAAAAAGCGCAAAAAAAAAAAAAAAAAAATAGAACGACATACACATCCCTAGTCTTCTTTTGATAACATTCTCTCTCTTCCCTTTTTTTTTTTTATATATATCTAAAACCCTCCCCCCACCCCCTTTCTTATTTTTATATCCGTCTTATAAAAATAAACAACTTTTTTTTTCCCCGGAAAATATATTGCCCGTTTTCTTGACAGTTGTTCTACTCCAATGAAAGAGAGGCGTTGCTTTAATAAGCTTTATATTTATTTTTTCTTTTTTAGTGTTTGTCCCCTGGTTCACCATAATCAGTATGCTTTCTATTCGACACTTGTCCAGACGATGTCTTTCCACCACAGCTTTACCCTACACTAAAATCCATGTACCCGTCATGTTACCTGAAGTCTTGAAGCACATGGCTCCCAAAGACAACGGGATCTATTGTGACATGACATTTGGCGATGGAGGCTATACAAAAGCGTTGCTCGGTAAAAATACTCGACATGTCCAGAAAAACAGAGATTAATGTTGATTTCTAGATAATTACAACTGCAAAGTGGTTGCGGTAGACCAAGATCCCACTGCCTATGAAAAGGCTTTACAACTGTCCCAATTAAAACCATACAAGAATCGATTATTCCCTGTTCTTGGTAAATTTGGCACCATTCAACAATCGATCCAAACCGAGTTTCGAGATTGGAAGTAAGTTCAACCAAGTATCTAAAGGTGGCTTCTTTTTTTGTTGACCACGATTTTCCTTTAAAGAGTGCCGTGTTTTGATGGAATTGTGATGGATATCGGTGTTTCCAGTGGCCAGATTGAAACAGCCGAAAGAGGATTTTCATATAAATTAGACGGACCTTTAGATATGCGCATGTTCTCGCGCGGCAGAAACAATACAACGACCGAATTTGAAAAGGAAGATGAATTATTAAAGAAATCTATCTCGGCTTATGAGATTGTGAATTTCTTTTCCAGAGAACAAATTGCAGATATCATTTACAAGTACGGTGGGGATCGATTATCACGAAAGATTGCCGATGCCATTCTTGCTGCACGTCAATCCGAACCCATTGAGAGCACGGGTAGTTTAGCTGCCATCATTCAAAAAGCCTGTCCACAACCCAGGTGGCAACGTGGCAACGACGACATGTTACGAAACTCGGCTGCACGAACTTTTCAAGCTTTCCGTATATACATCAATAACGAATTGCAAGAGTTAGAAAATGTGCTCAGGTCCAGTGAACATTTATTAAAGCCAAACGGAAGATTAGTCGTCGTGACTTTCCACTCATTGGAAGACCGTATTGCCAAAAATTTTATGTACCACTGCGCAGGGAAACGATCCATCATGGACGCAGATCAAAACCAGTTTAGTTTAAAGCGACAGGCGAACCGGGATTATCGAAAAGCCACTAAACATGGACACGTTGAAGGATTGACATTGAAACAAGCAGTAACCAAACGAGACCAGGTCGTGCCTTCGTTTGAACTCTGTACAAAACACGTTGTTCAACCCTCCGAAGAAGAAATCGAAGAAAACCCCCGTAGTAGGTCGGCGAAATTAAGAGTTGCAAAGCGTACACATGCGCCTGCATTAGAACCTTTTGGTCCTTCATCGTAGGAGTGCCAAATAAAATGAACTCGTGTCACCTTTTTTTTTGGCGTAAAAAACTTTAAATTTTTGTTACACGCGCTTTATAAAACACGTTCAAATATCAATGACAATGAATGATAACAAAGAAACTCAAAAAATGACGGAATGGTCGCTCTTTTTATTTCTATGCACATGTCCCCCGAATAACGTGTGAAGAAAAAAATGAAATAAGACCCCCTCCTCTTCTATTAGTTGTCCAGTAGACAACCCCCTTCTCTAGGTGTGCTTGTAATTATAGCATCTTGCTTTCAATTTGTGATTTCTTCTAAGCTTGATTGGAGGCCTTCCAGATACAACATATATCCTGGTATCCGATGTATAACATCAGACTAGAATGACGACATGCTTTATAACTACAGTAGGTATTTATGTATTGTGCTTTTTTTATATATAGTTTGGAAGAATGTTCTAATTGAATTTTATACAAGACCGTGCTAAAGAGCTTAGATAGCAGATTTAAGTGTGAAGGGGGCTAACTGGTAAAAATCGATTACTAATATAGAGTCTGCGTTTTTTAACATAATTCAACCAATCCCCAATCATTAATCATAAATCAATTGAGACAGTCATTCTTCTGTTATAGAGAGTAGTCGGCATACTAGCATAAACCTCAGTTATATACGTTTAAGCAATACGACTGTGATATCATGATACATTTTAGAATATATAGAATAAACAAGACAGATAGGGGGTGGGTTGAGCTTTTTTGTTTATGTATATATATATATATATTCTGGAGTTACTTGCTGATGATATTATCGGATATTATGAAATAGAGGATATCTGAATTAATACCTACTTATTGTTCGTTTAACATTCTTGGATTTCACAATATGGCTTGTGTAAATACGTTTCGAAAATTAATATTTGTCTGGCAAATGCTTATAACAATTTTTAAACAACAGATATGTTTTGATAGGAGAACATGTGATATTTACTAAAAAGAAAATCGTCTGCATTGATTCTGACAAAGAAAAAAGTCAAATAAATAAAACTTCATCCACAAAAAGGTGCAAAATCATAAAGCTATAAAATCACCATCTATCCTGCTGTTAGATAACGTTCCAAATGCTGGATCCCCACTAGTGATGTGTTTATATCAACTGATAGTGAAAAAAAGTCATTTACGAAGCTCTCGGTATTTTTTTTTTGGGAGAACGATTTTAAAATTGGTCTTGTTAAACTAAACGGCATTGACTTAAATTTTGTATGAAGACTTAAAAATGGTTGAAGTGAAAGGTTGCTCAACAATGTCATTAAATGGTTTTAATAAAATTCTTAGGGAATTTGAACATTCACATCTCCTAAAAGCTAAAAATACATTTACTATACAACATAGTATTCTTGGTTGCTTTTATTTATGGCCTTTAACATTGGTTAAAACTTTTAGCTTATTATGCTTGAGAAATAATTGTCGTTAATCCTGTCGATATTAAAATTTTGCTATGCGTTATTTATAAAACTACTTTGTTTTAATCAGTTATGTTTTGTTTTTGAAAAATGTAAGATGCCTTTGCCATATCATATTCTGTGACATAGTATTTGTGGGAACGTGGGTTATCTGCTAAAAAAAATTATGGCCTCGTTGCTCACTTAAAAATAAAGTAAGGTGTGTGATGGCGAAAACGCAATCGGCGTAATTTATGTAGAATAAATTATTAGCAGGGTAATCTTATGCTTCTTTTCAAGCTTGTTTTGTGTCAAAGATGGTGGTAGCATTTGCTTTGGAACTGCTTTTCAAGTGAAAAGGCATGAGAGTTGCTTTGTAACTTGGGTTGAAAGGTACCAATAAACGCAGGCATGAAGTTACTAGTACATTAAACTTTTTAGTTCCAAGTGCAAGTTTTGTGCCATCCGCATTCGTTATTGAGGAAGGGCATATTTTTTCAATTATTTCGAGTGCTTGGGTACATATTGATCACTTTTTTTTTGTTTAATTGTTTGACTACATTAGCACCTGTCTAAAGCCGAGGACCCAACTTGGAAGGTAGTCATTGCATAAGAGTACCGTTTCTCGCAAAAGCTGAACCTCCGCGTTTTTGAGTCATAAGAGATTTAATTATGTTTTACCAATGACACAAAAGTCGTCAGTGACTACTCACTCTTGATATTTGTTGAGCCTTTCCTTATGTTCTTAGATATATCTACAATTAGCGACCTACAAATATCAGTCAGTCCGAATTTTAAAATTGCCCAGGCTTACACGTTGTAATGCTAAACTTTATAGAAGTTTATCAAGTATTCAACTGTAACACGTATCAAAAAATGAAGCGCTTTTTAAAGAAAAAAAAACCGAATATCATGTAAACTTAAAAAATAATGAAGGTGTAGACAGGGATTATAAATAAAACGAATAATCACATGAAAAGACGAATATGTAGACTCTACCATTTGATAGGCTATCGTCATACAGACATCGCCATATTGCAACGGATGAGACAAGGCTTGTTGTTGTCATAAAAGCTGCGAAGATACAATTGACGTACTCCTTTTTCTGTGAGTATTCAGTTTATATTCACTGGTAAAAACCTTATTGCAGAGAAAACAAAGGGTAAATCAAAACAAAAAAAAAAATTAAAATAGGTAACATGAACAATGCCCAAGAGTCGAAATCGTTGAAAAAATTTACTATCTACTGTCCAAGAGTATGCAAAATTTCTCAAGTGATTATATAAAAAAGAGCTTGATTTTGAAATTAGATAAAACCACTAACGTGATGATGGAAATGATAAAAATAAAATGGGCCCGTTTATTATATGTTAGATATGGTAAAAAATAAAGGTGCTCTTGCGTAGATCGAAATTACTGATTTTCCCAAGCATAAATTTATTTTTCAGGCTGGGGGTTAAAAGAAAAGTGACTGTTGAGCGACTGCTCAAATCAATAAATTTTTTTCCGAGAAATGCTTTTATAAAGCCTGAATTTTCGTATACAACTTCTTTTTTATTTTCTTTAGAACAACAAATGTATTAATGGTAAGTGAATAGTTTCCCTTTTGAAATGTCAATTATGTATGAAAAAAAGAAGAAGATGTGCCTGCTTTGATGAGAACGTTCATGCACCACGCATAATCGTATTGATGACAACTCTTACACCTATAAATCCTGAGCGCACATTTTCTATTTTTTTCCTTCATATTTTTACTTTTTAAAATCTTTTTATTCAAGTATTAATTTTTTTTCTCTTTTTTTCAGATTTCCTATTGTTTCAATATCATTTTGTTAATTCTTTCATTGTAAATAAATAAAAAATTAAAAAAAAATATTTTATTCTGTTCTTTTCTCTTTTTGTCTGTTGTTGCTGTCAGTTAATCATTGGTTACATATGTTCAGTCTGATGTGACTCTTTTCTATACTTTAAATGCCGGGACCTTTTAAATCGTTATGGGAATTATATCAGGTTGTTTTCTCCCCTCCTTTAATTTTAACTTAAAAATGACTAGTGTATGGTTTGATGGTCCTGTGCAGGATGCCATTTCTCTTGTAGCCCAAAGAAATTGCGTATTTCTTGTGTATATACATGGTACAAAATTAGTGAATGATTCTCCCTTTTTTTTTAAAAAAAAATATAACCAATATCCTTTTTCTCACTTAAACAGATGATTCCGAAAAAACAAGTACTTTGAACGCTACTCTTAGTGAATCTCACGTAAAAATCTTAGTATTCCATCCCGGGTCTCCATACACTTACATCTCTCCCCTGTAGGTCATCCAAACTATCCAAGAACACGCTATTGCTCTCTCTTTCGAGAAATCTTCAGAAAATGCTACTTTATTTGGCCAATTTTGTAAGCGTTTCATATCTTTGTCATCGCTGGTATATTAATACTCATCCCTTCTTCCCTTCAAAAATAATAGACCCTATACAAACCGTACCTATTCTCTATTTTATCAAACAGGGTACCATCAGAGACTTTGGTATCGATACCATTACCAGTGATGAAATCGTTGAAAAAATTATTCAGGTGAGTGAGATGGGTCAACCTCCTATCGTCGCCGCTGTACCTGACCAACTCGACACGTCCAGCCCTGTTACTAGCAGAACGCCTATTCTTCCAACCAATGAGCCAGTGGCGTCTGCTCCGGCCAGTGTCGCACCTTCGTCCGCAGAGATCACATCTACATCAGCACCAGTAACAGCAACACCAACAACAGAAACAGACGAAGTCAAGGCTAAAAAAGCAGAGTAAAATAAGCGAAAAACGAAAAAAATTCACGTGAAAAAGAGACTGATACTGTTATTAAAAAAATAGGTTACAAAAGCAATTAGAATCTGTGCGTAAAGAGCGTGCGGAGCGTGAAAAAAACGAAGCCAAAGCGCGTGAGATTAAACGACGTGAGGAAGCAAAACTGATGCAAGAAGCAAGACAGAGTCGAGTGGATCAGGAAAACAAAATTTATTTTGAAAAGATTAAGAAGGAGAAATTACAAGATGAGGCGCATCGAAAGAAAGTACGTGAACAAATAGCAACGGATCGTGCAGAAAAGATGGCTTCACAGAGAAGAGAAAGAGAACGCTCTTCTTTACCCCATCTTCAACAGCAAGAAGTACATTCCAACAGTGGCAACAGTAGCAATAGTGAATTTAGTAATTTAAATATTCGTCAGTTGAATGGTACTAACCTCCGCAATAAGTTTGAAGGTAAGTCATATCTGTAAAATTTGATCGATTTATTTAATAATCTATGAAATTTTTGATTAGCCACAACTACCTTATCTCATGTAAAGGATTGGATTAGTCAGGTAAGCCCCTTCCCCTCTTTTTTTTTTGTGTCTTTAAACACTCATCATAATGGTTGTTATAGAATCGTACCGATGACCGTAAACCATTCAAACTTTCATCCCAATTCCCTACACGTGCATTCACCGACGAAGACAACGATACAACTTTAAGAGATCTCGATCTTTGTCCTAGTGCAACCATCATTATGAAACCTCTCAAAAAATCCTCCTCATTAGCTCTTCATAACAGAGTCGGTATCATGAAACATGCCGTGAACGCATTCGATATCGTGTACGGGTTCTTGATCGCTTTGATTAATATGTTGACTGGTATTTTCACCTCTTTATTCACAAACACACCTCGTGTTGCTCAACAACAACAGAATCAACAACAACAGCCTTTTGTTCGTAGTTTAAGAGGAGGTCAAAGGTTAGGCGGAGAACCTGTAAATGATAAAGGGGAATCTTCATCTACAGATCCAACGGTTAAAAAGTAAGCCTTGTACCTAAAAGTGATATAATTCCTTCTTAACATTTTTTTTTCTCTAGGCGTAATCCCTATGCTACACGTGTAAATACGCTTCATGAGGACGATGATGATGAGGATAAAAGATCCACATATAATGGAAACTCTGTTAATCACGAATAAAAAAAAAAAATGTTTTTATTATAAAAGTATATATAATTTATAAAGGAATTTGACCTTCTCGGTAGTAAGAATAAAACGCTAAAGCCGCACCAGGACCCATCAAGGGTGTAGCGACAGCAACAACAAGACCAACAAGGAGACCACTTTGAAATGTAGCCCAAAGTACAAATGAAACGATAAAGGCTATACATTCCACCAAGATGGTACGTGCGCCCAAAAGTTGCCCCAGCTCAGTAAAATTCAAACCGGCAGGAAGTTGACCAGGTGCATTTAAAAGCAACAGAAGCGAATCCTTAAGATGAATACCTTGGTGAGCTATTATTAAATAGGAGCCATACCATACCAGCATGTTGAGAACACCCAGTAACAAGTAAGTGCGTTCGCAAGCATCTTTTCCTTGCACATCAGTTAGTCGCTTCTTTAAATCGGCTTGTTCCACACCGTCTACGGAAGATCCCATTTTCGCAAAGAGTCTTTCGATATGTCCGAATAAAGGTACGATCAAAATTGGCAATACTTGCCAGATACACAATAGATCGCCTTCTAACATGGAGTTATTGGCAATGTAAGGTGATGAAATCAAGGCGCTCGGCAAGACATAACCTAAAAGAATACCCAGTAAAACGCCGTACACTTGGGGCATCGTGATAGACAAGTCCATTTTTTTGGGGGACTCCCAGTAGTGGAAATAAAGGGGGACCCAAATTATAAGAAAGACGATGGGCATACCAATAAGATTGGCTAGAAGACCCAAGACGGGGAAAGAAATTAAGAGGGTGGAGCTTTTAAAGCCTTTACGAGACCCCTCCAAGGCCATAAGGACATAGACAGTGGCAAATGTCATCATATTGATGCGTTTCAGCGGTGCACCTATAATGTCATGCAAAGCTTGTTGATGGTACTTGACATAAAAACAAACGAGACTGTCTAATGTAGTTGACACATTGGTGAAATTGGCGCGAATTTGATCAGGATGGTGGAAACACATGTCCAATACTTTAGGTGCCCAAGGTCTCAGACCTCGTATAGTTGTATATGCGGTGCATGCTGAAAGTAGAATTCCAACTACCAGTGTTGTCACAACCTTCATTTATAAAATTGCAATATATAAAAAAAAGTTAAATAAAACAAAGCACTCTTTAAGGAAATTTAATACAAGCCCGTATTTAATATGGAACTTGGTGTACCGAAAATCAAGGCATAACATGTCTATCAATCAATTCATATAAAAACGTAAAAACGATCAGCATGAAAATCATCCTTTCTTCTCCATGTCTCGTACGAAGAATTCTATACTATTTTATTTGGTGGTGAGCCCATTGGGTTACTTTTTATTAACCCATCTTCACCACGTTCTTTTACCTTTTAACCTTTTACACAAGGCCGAATGTCGTAACCCTCACCTTTTGCTAGAGACATATTCTGCTCCTGGTAACTCTGTCTTGGATCGCGTTGTTTGCGTTCTTGTCCGTTTTTGCTCACAAGCAATCAATGATCCTTTGTGTTTCCCTTTAACAGCTACGTTGCTTGGTTTAGCTACCACCTCTTATGCCGTCATGTCAGTTGAACGTGTCCGATTTAATAACAATCGATTATTGGCACCCGTTATGGTATTTTTTGGAAACGTAATTGGCACAGGCGTCATCGCACCTTTGGCTTGGTTACCCATTTACGGCTGGACCCTACGTAACCATTTTTCCAAACCCAATAAGAAGACTTCCTCAACGAATCATACCAGTATTCGAGCCAAAGTGACTGAAGAATCTGCTTTGCCTGTGATTGAACCTAACCAAGCATTTGGCATTGGTTTAGCGGCACTTTTCGGACAATTTTTACCGGTGGCACTACTGGTATCACACGGCCCGTCTCTTTTCCAACGTAATATTTTAGCTGCCTTTCAATATTTTCCCATCACGTATGCGTTGTTTGAATGGATTGTACCTTGCTTGAGTCGATCGTCGTTGCAGAGCAAGACGAGAAAGGAAGCGAAAGAAGGTGTGCGTTTCTTATATGTGGGTATTGCTGGTATCAATGCGTTTTTATCATATTGGGTGTGGATTAAATGGTTACAGACGGTCTCTTCAGCCGATGGTGTCATGAAGCAATGGGTGGATTTGTTCTTTTCGTTTGGAAGTACAGGAGAGAACCCGGTTGCTTACATGTTGATTTGGGATATTTTAGCTATTTTTAGTACGTTTGCGTATTGGGCTTGGTTGGAAGATGGAAAAACCGGTTTGAAAACTATTTGTAGGAACACTTTACTTTTTGGTCCAGGTGCAGGTTTAGCTTTATATGCCATGAAGAGGGAATCCCGCATTTAAAAAGAAGCGAGAAGCTGTAAATAAACAATATATTTGCTGATGTGAAAATTGTTCAGTATATTTATTTTTCTGCTACAGACAGATTTTTCATTTTTTATATTTAAGTGCAACAAAAAGTTTACTTGTAGTCTCAAGTTGATTTTTATTTGGTGGCCCTTCAATTAAACATTTTCAGCATTATTACTGTTAATAAATGATGTATTTTCTTAATTGCATTTTAGTATAATCTTGTAAAAAAGCACCCACAAATATGAAAATAAATATCTTATGACTTACAGTCAGGTCAGCCTAAGAAGATTTCATCGCTAGCATTCTATCAGTATAAAAACCATTGCTAATGCTAAAATTTTCACTGTACTCAAATTCTTGATGCACAAGTTACAATAAAAGCATATATGTAGATTAAACCGATGCGAACCGGCTTTGTTTGTGGTCGATTTATTGCTAAAGATAGTTTTATATAAAAAATGGTCTTGGACCAAACCGGACCAAACCGTCCCTCAGGTATTGGCCTATGACTAGATCAAGAAAAAGCTCACGACAGGGATCATCATGAATATCTAAGAAAAGTGATTAGGGGGGCTCAAGTGATTTCCAAATTTCAAGTTCCAAAGTTCAAGTTTTTTTCTTTACAGAAAAACTTGTAATTTTTTAACATTCAAGATCTTAAATTCAAGGGAGGACTTACAAATGATGTAATTTATCGTCACTGTGCACTTTATTTTTTAATACCAAGATTCACATCAACATTGGTGGCTACCTGTCAAAACCAGTTTTATAACAACGAGGTCTCCAACCAGACGATCCTATTTCACCTCTGTTATTTAACATTGCTTTTGATCCATTCCTTCGTTCTGTACGACATGTAACATATTTTGAAGGCTTCACCTTTCCAGAATTAGTTCGTGACGGGTTCATCAGGATATTCTTAGTCCTGAGAATCTGTTACCTAATTCTTCGTTGATGCTGGATTGCTCTTTAAAGATTTCCTCTGTAGAGTGGAGGGGCAATCCAAGCCTGTTCATAAATAGCTGGTTTTCAATCAAAATGGTTTGAATCGTTCAATTTCGTTTTGAGAAACTGTGGTGCATGAATTAAGCCGGCTCGGAAAAATGATTCTCACTACCTATAATCAACCCTCATCCTTTCCATCCCAAAGAATCAACTTATGGAATTACTTTTGGCATTACTGACTCACTCTTGGTATCGTAAAAGTTGTGTCATAAACTGTAATAATAGTATTCGTTTCAACCATGACACTATCAATTCTTACGATTTTCCTTTGCACTTTCGGATTTGCACGACCAACATGAATCACCGTTCATATAACAAGACATTACAGCTTTTAAGTTTTTTATGGTTCACGTTCGACACTATTATGGCTAGTTTATGAGTGGATGATTGGAATGAAAGACGTTTATACTCTACCTGCGAATTATGAATAACGGTATCTAAACACAACGAGCTGGCGGGATCAAGTTTATGTCGTTTCACCAAAAAGTTATAATAATTCTTCCACACCAGTATGTCATTCCCTCAGTCTGCAGTTAGGTAGATTAAAATACAAATACCTTTTACACATGAGCAACAAAACACCCATTAGCTTGCCCATGAAGGCTTGTATTGGGCGAACGAAATTACGAGGATATAATTACCAGCAAAAAGGGAGATCGAAGGATAGACGTTTAAAGCCTTGTACGCAAGAAGCTAACAAATTCGGATGTATAGACATAATCGTGATCAAAATAGTGTGGTGGAGACAACTGGAATCGAGGATGTGGAATCGAACGTCTTATTAGAAGTGCTTTTAGACTTTGTTAAAGATCAATACGATGAAGATCAAGTCGAGGAAGGACAGGATATACACCAATCATAGTAATATTCAAGAGGGATATAGAAAATTGTAACATAATTGAGGAACACTTCGACCGACTATTTAGATTCATCATTTGACGACGAGGGGATCCACTATTATCACTTAATCAATATTTCACTCAAAATGACGGTATTACACGTCCATCTACTTGAACCAGGAATATTCATATGTCCAAGCAGCGTGTTACCGATAGTAGCAATATAAGATTACAGCGGATAACGAGATTTAGTATACATGTAGGCCTGGGATTTAGTGTAGTGTTGGAACTGGATCAACGGAAGGATAGTAGGGGAGCAGTTATAGTTCGACTAGACGGATTATCAAGTCTAGGGTATAGGTATCATAAACCTTCGTCAAATGAATCAATATTCTAGTACTTCTGTGGGAGAGCTAGCTGAATGAAACTAAAACAGCTATATTGCCAACACATCCCTATCACAGCATATGAGTGATGTGAAAATAAATAAAAAAGAGAATGAAATGACGAGGATTCGGATGATAAAATGAGAACTATGACACATCAACGATTTGGCTTCCCTGCGTTTGCAAGTTGTATCCTCTTATGTTGTACTCAGTCTGACAATCATGTTGAACATATTTTTAAAAAAAGTGATAGTGAAGATAAGGCAGATATAAATGGCAGAATGGGTTTTTACAACCTATTAAGTATTTTTTTTCCTTGTAGTTTTTCATTATTTTACGAACAGTTCTCAATTAAAATCAAGTTTTTTTTTTGTATGTTGAGCTATCTAGTTAAAAACACAGCATTTAATAATTTATCGGATAGTTTTATTGGATCACGTACATTGTGCTGATGCATTGTATGCTATTTTTGTCATGCCCCACCGAGTCACCTAAATAGTGCATTAGAAACAGAAATATGGATTTTTAAATGCCTTTTTATTCACAACAGCAGCTGCCGTGATATGAACTACCCAGTTTCCTTCCTCCATTTTTTTCTTCTTCATTCAATATAAGCTTCTTGAAAGCACATTCATACTGAACTTTATAAGCGACAGGGTGGTTTAGAAAGGTAAAAACTGAAGAGAAGCTTTGATGCCGACTGAGGGCGTGTTTTTAATATCAAGCTACACTTGACAGTTAATATAAAATGTTAAAAACGCCAATCGCAATTCGTTCAAGTACTTTTTTATTTTAATCTACTCGAAGTGATCTTACTGTTGGAATACTTTTGTGATTTGCAAGAAACAAAGTTGACACAACGATGCATTGCTTCAAATTCAGTCATAAACTTACGATCTTGACCTTGTTCAACTGTGTGAAGTCCTCTCTTTAGAGTCTACATCAAATATGTGGTAACTTGACTAGGTTTAAAAACGAATACAGGATTGAACATAATAAACACGAAACTGATCCTCTTTAATTTCTAGGCGTATGCATAAAGCTATCGTGACTATTCAACCGTCAGTAGACAGTGCAAACCATAAAAGACAACAACATAATGAGTTTCGATTTTTGGCGTTATGTATCACCTATATTAACCAAAAAAAGAGGGGTGGGTTGTTCACAATAGAATAAAAATCAAAAAAAAAAAAAAAAAAAACGTATTTTCTTGTCATCACGTAACGGGAGTTTTTTTTTTTTTTTTGACTAGAAATCAGGGCGGTTTTTTCGGAAATACGTTTTTTTAAACAAATAAAATGACAGCCAAGTTTCTCGAAGAAAAAGACACTTTCGAAACCGCAGAGGAGTTTCTTGATGCTTGCGATATCGCAGCTACTCATCTTGGATTCCAAGTTTACGTTAAGGACAGTTCACCACTTGCACGTAATGGTTTTACCCGTTGCTACCAATTAACTTGTGTTTTTGGTATCAAAATTAAGAGGAATACAAACATCTCTGAACAAGCACGCAAGAGATTGACCTCGGCCAACTCGAAGAACTGCCCTTTTATGATCCATGCTATTCTTCCAAAAAAGGGTAAGAAGTGGGTTGTAAAGGAGTGTGTTGCTATCCACACCCATGACATGCTTGTAGGTGGCGAGAGAATATGTTTGCTGAAGAACAGAAAGCTTAGGCCAGCTCAGAAACAAACAGCATTGGAGCATTTTACTGCAGGAACAAGAATACTAGCTATTGTTTCTGTAGTCAATCAAATGGATTATCCTTGTTGTATCGCAGATGTATTAAATCATAGAAACAAAAAAAATCCAATGTTAGATCTCAGTAGAAAGACTGGAGATCGTAATCATGGAAAGATTATCCTGATGTAGATTCTTCTCTAAAGGTTCATCCGATAATTTAAATTGATATAATCCAATCAATAATCTGTCATCGGCGACATCATCGGTTAAACCAAAGTAGGCATAAGCATCCCCAATATCCGATCTAGCAATCTTTCCTTGGCTACGTTCACAAGCAATCAATGTCTGTAAGAGGTCTGATTTGGTCGCTTGTGCTATGACCATTAAGGCATCTAAGGTATCATAGGGGTCTACTGCGTACTCCTCCATCATCTTGTGATAAGTCCATTTCACAAGCGTATCCGAAGCGCCTGATGTCAAACCTAATTTCTCATAGGCTCCGACAAGATACCCGTCGCTACTCTTGTATCGGTTTTCCAAGGTAGATATGATCCCTAATAACGTGGCCATATCCGCCGTCTCTAATTTAATCTCTGTGTCTGCTTTATTCACTGGAATCGAAGTGGCTCCCAATTCGGATCGAAACGCATCCATGACGAGCAAAATCTCTTGTTGAATCTGTTTTAAACGTTCCTCTTCTAAATCCAATCGTTTCCAATAACGCTTGACTATATTTTTATTTTAGTTAGTGGGGGAAAATCTTTTTTTTTTTTTTTTTTTTTTTTTTTTGGGTAGGACTCTTACCTTCCGTCACTTAATCCAATTCGGGCCAAAAAATGAGGATTATGCGTATTGCTATTTCTTGAAGCTCCACTTAATAAATCCTCAATGTACACAAGCACGGTTGTCAATGTACTCGCCATGGTGGGTGTATGTTCCTTGTCTTGCATTTGATCGGCAAACGTCCTCGCTTGGGCTCGCGTTGCGCTGAGTCGGTTCAATATCGTAATAGGCAAAACCGGATCACGTATCTCGGTTGCCAACGTATACGCACATCCACAGCAACCGTAAGTATCCAATCCTTGCACATGATAGTGATGACAAACGTAATCCGTTCCAGTACAGAAGGACGCTTCGGTTAAACTATGGCTGGCATAAAGCCAAGCATAACACGACTGACAAATGTATAGAGACAAAGTGGTGATATCATCCAACGGCATCGTTTCTAAATCTTGTTCATCGACGGTCTGGAGTACTTGTTTTTCCTGATCTTTGGTGGCATCCCCCCGAATACAACTTTTAAAGACGTGTTGATGATCAGTCGTAATTTCTAAACGGACAAGAAGTGCGAGAGGAGAAAGTGTATTGCTCTCGATAGAAGTGGGTGGGGGTGTGTGTCGATGCCATGGCACGAGGTGGTAAATTAGGAACTGACATTTGATTGTATTTTCTTTATAAAACCAAAAAAAAAAATAGACAACAAAAAAAAACCTTTTTGCTTTATAAATTCGGTGTGTTTCAAACACCGATTCTCATCGTCATAGCAAACGAGTAGAGATACCGTGGCCCGTAAAGCATGCAGAAATGGAGATGAGGCAAATTTGAAGCTAGCTTTTCTCACATATTTATATATTTATCATTAATAAGAAAGCACACTTCTTCAATAAAAATCTTGATGGAAAGATATCCAAACATTCTACATGACTCGGAGTCAAGAAACTTACGTATACGTGTGCTTTCTATTTGAAAAAGTTTATTTTTGCGGAATATTAGGCTAAACTAAAAAGGTTGTGCTTTTTTTTTAAAAAAAAAGACCGTGTGATAACAGAACGCAGATAGAACTTCTTCTTGCAATTTATTAAATTTTTGTTATCTTACAAAAAATGAACACAAACAATACGGGATCTTTACTTAATCTTTTGAAGAAGGCTCGTACTTCTAACACTAAATCTGTAATTTCTGAATTGAAATTTATCAAATTGACCGTAACTAAAGACGAATTCAAAAGCTGGATAACGCAACTAAAAGAGGATTTTCTTTGCACTTTTATTGACAGAACTTCATCTGCTGGTGACCGCCGCAAAGAAATAATAGCTCCATAAATAATCAAATGGTTTCGGAAATTACGGATGTCAAAAAAATAAGATTATACAAGCTTAAAGTACTCTTCAGCAGGCAAATAGATATATGGGTGTTTTAAAACGTAAACAGGTTTTATGCATATCAAAAATGGTTTTCACAGATTTTCAACTACAATCGTAGCCGCAAACAAAATACCTGATCAGTTCAAATTCAATTTTCTGAGGATGTCTGCGAATCTTCAGCATTTTTTTTAGCTGTAGCCTTTTTTTTTTTTTTAGCAAGGTATGATTTCTGTGGACTATCATTAATAAAATGTTGGACATTCACCTCGAAGCCTTCAAGATTTGCGCACTGGCCCTTCTAATAGAATCATATCCGATTTTGTTATGGAACAAGTTGAAAAAAACATATTTTGGTCTGACATCAAGGGTATACTCCAATTAGGTAAGACCGCCATGATGAAGATGCTGAATGAAAACAGCCATGAAAACCTCCCTATTTTAATGGGATCAAAGTATTCCTAAGTACACTATGCCATGAAGAAAACCATCAGGAAAAGAGCTATGTTGAGCCAGGACAACGCTAAAAGTATGGACCTTTGGTCCACCAAGATCACAACCAACGAAGGTACAGGGTTTTTTATTTATAAAACTTTGGATGTATACAAAAAGACATTATCATGGTTTCATTCATGTCAGAGTGGCAGCTGAAAGTAAGTATACCAAGTCATTGATTAAAATTTTTGTTTGAAAAAATCCCCTCTCTTTATTATTGATATTTTCAGCTTTTGGAGCGCGATGGTGATATGCTTTCCTTGGATTCAACCCACAACACATGTACCTGTCAAGATTTCAAGTACTGCTCGTTATACATGATTGTAGCCAGATGTAGTGACACTGGAAAAGGAAAACCGTTGGTATGGATTTTTACGAGAAGTTAAATCCAATACCCGATGATGCACTTGTTTAAATGGTTTAAGAATGAACATGGTTACTAACCCAACTGGTGAAGAGCGACATTAGAATAGATTTTAGATCAAAAATAGATATAAAAAAAAATCTGTCCAGTTCTCGTTGTAAATTTTTTATTTTTTTCTTAAAAAATGGGTTGAGCCAGTGAGTGATCCTACAACCCAAAATATTTTCAGCAATTTCTACTATTAATCTTGACGGGCGTAAGCTGCCAACCAATGGAGGCGATAATGCTGATAGGGTACCATACGAAATATAGTGTAGACCGTTAAATCTTCAATTAGTTGGACTTATTATACCACTTGTAAACAAAGTTTTACTCATAACCCATCAGATTGATGCCAGAAAGCATAGTGCCCAGTAAATGTGAGACTGTGGTGCAATGTAACTACAACTTTATTTTTTATTTGACCATCAAGTATTGAACTTTATTTTTTTGATTCAAAAAGCCTTCCAAATATGGATTTTTCTTAGTTGGTGTGTACATAAAAAATAATATCGCTCAGCATTCTCCCATCTCATATGTTGACGCCACCTTTCTGTACACACGGGTAAAACATGTAAATTGGCTGCGGAAAAATAAATGACCGATTCTGATTTAGTAATGAATTGGTGGCATTTTCTTGTAAATCTCTGGGTTATATACACGCACACCTGCTTCCCGGGCAAATTTTTTACCCACACAATTTATGTACACTTCCACTCGACCCTTCATTTCGCTTATGCTGAATTCTTCATCCCCCATTCGGTACTCAACATCCCCTTTAATTCTGACACTCATTCCAAGGGGATACATCTTTTTCGAAATGATCCAACTGCAATGTCCAGGCCCTTCCAAAATAGCCATGTAAGAATTCCGACCAGAGAAAAAGTTTTCGTACTTGCATTGCGCAGTACACACCGTCAGGGTAGGCGGACAACCATTCTTTTCAGCATACTCCACTGCTTTACCAACACAAAGCGGCACCTGTTGTCTCAATTCGTCCAACACACACCCTTTTAAATCAATATTTGTGATATAACTCACATCCAGACCTGTCTCGGTTTTTTGAATACGCCAGCCTGACACTAGCAAATCTGCTCGTACAGAGTCTGGCATGGGGATACGAGGGTCCTCCACTGAGCTCATGGCGATATAGCATACATCTTTCTTTATCTCTCGAACACAGACACAAGACAAGCGACGACGCGGTACGGTATTCAGATCCGCCACAAAGAGAGATTCGAATCGAGAGTGTTCATAGGGAAACACGTAACCATTATCAATGTATGGATCCCCTTTGAGTTTAAAATAAGAAAAATAGGCATCAAATGTATAGTAGACTTACAATGAGTTCTGGTACCCAGAAATGTAACAACAATAGCCATCTGTTCTGGTGTAAACGCATGACCCTCCAGCTTTGCATCACCACGAACAAAAAGCACTGAATCCGTTGTATTATCATACAATTTTACCTTGTCTTTTTCTTGAACAAAGTTCCAGTTATCCAAATCAGTAAGTTTCTTTAAAAGATCCATTAATTTTTATTATAATTAATTAATGTAAGAAGGTTTACAAAAAGGAAAGATATTTATTTATTTATATGAAAAAGAAAATTAAGCTTCACACCAACTAAGAAAAATCCATGTATGTATTCTTTTTTTGTATAATGTAAACAGAAATAAAAAAAAAAGTAAATGTTTGCAGTCGGCTGCTTAAAAACTGGCCTATTCTTAATTTAGAAGGTTTTCTGCACCAAACCTTAATCCATATTTGATTTTTTAAAATTCAGAAACATCAGTCGGTGTGTTATCATTTTTTAATGCAGATGTTGCGTGTACGTGAGGTGACACAAAATAGCTATTTCGAGTTTCTTCGCTAACTCACAAAATAATGCTTGTATATCACTACGGAATATTTGTGTATACAGCACTTGCCCTTGTCGGCCTTTTGTTTTTTTTTTAAAAAAAATCGAAACAAAAAAAAAAAAGAAAAATGTGAACGCACTGCAAAATTGATCCTTTTACTTCGCACTTGCTTTTTTTATCAATCGCATATTTAAACATACCAACTGTGTTACAGTGGTTCAATATTTGAAGTGAAAAAAAAAAGGTTGCATAACTAATTTATTTTTATTGATAATTTTAGCCACTTTACTGACACATGGCAGTTACAAAAATTAATACCTTTTGCCAAAGTGTAAAAATGCTGGTAATGTGGATTGTGCCAGATTTATTCTCAGGGACTTTATCTTCATTATTGTTAGTCATGAAAAGGACGTATAGTATTAATAATAGTAAAATTCATACAACAAGATACTATATGTATTGAGTATGCTTTTATAAAAAAAAGCTACATTGTGCAGAAAGTTAGTGATAAACGTAAATAACAAACATATAGTAGGGAAGTAAGTAGTAGACAAAACAGATTTTGTCTGACTGAGGCTATTCAAATTTTAAAAGTCATGCCAAGCCACCTGACTGGGTAAGCTGCATTCCACTCAAAGGGGACCAAAAACTGGAAGAAAACCCAGTCGCGCTATAAGCGACTCTCAAAAGAATAAAAAAAATCTGGGGACCGGGAAAAGGCTGGATTGCAATGAAAAGAAGGGCAGTAAGGAATGAAAAAAAATCTGAGGGGGGTGGGGGGCAGAAAAAGGCTGGGTTGCAATTACAAGAAGGGCAGTAAAGAGTAAAAGATCTGAATACAATCTTCAAGCGTGAAAAGGCTGGGTTGCGTAACTCATTTCTCCTAAATAAGCAAGGCTTTACTCGTTGAACAAATTTCTTGAGCTTGTTACCAATTTTATAACCACTTACTTTTTTTTTATATGCGTATACAAATGCGTTATTAGTATATAATGCTTTCAGTTAGATCACCAATAGCTTTTTTAGCATGTACTCAGACACTCTTTTCATGTCTAGCTGTATGAAGGTAAAGTGACCATTTCTCCCTTTAAAATAAGTTCATCATTTACATCAGGCCGTCCATCACAGACCCGAATTACTAAAAAGAAAAAATAAGGCACAATGATAGACGCAGGTACAGTGTCGTGATTGACGCTATTTACTTAATATATGACTCGATCCACACTTCTTAAATCTTCCATTTGATAATCCTAAATATATCTCTTATCGATACTTTACATTAAATACTGATCATTTGCTTTATGTACAGGCTGGATCTCATATCATCCTTTATACAAATATAAGGCATACCCATTTAAAAAATAACATTAATATGAAAATATGTGAAGGTTACATTAGCCACAATGAGGTGCCACAGCTACCTTTATTAAGAACTACAATTTCCCTTGAACAGTGTGCTACAAGATATACACAGTTTAAGGATGAATGTTATTGTTATTGTTATTGACATCTCATTATGGTCTTTCTTTACGGTATCATTACATCGATTTCCACATACAGCCACTTTTAAATTTCTGGGTCATTTAGGATAGGGTACCTTTTGGCTATCCCAAAGAGTTGGATTTTTTCAAGTGGCCCTGTTACACGCACTGGAAATATACCAAATATGAAATTCTTATATGCTACCTGTCGGATTGTGTCAGTCATTTATAGTTGAGATAAGTCTTTTAAACTATTTTATCGGACTCATAAAACCCCTCCCCAAAGTTTTGTTCTTTTGGGTTTTGTGATACCTTTAAATTCCTGCTCAATACCCTGTTACATAGTCAGACGCGACTTTTTTTTTGTTTCCATTACTGCTCAAAAGAATGTTTTCTGTACTAAGCTCGCAAACATTCATTCCCGATAAGTTGTGTATGAGAACCCCCCCCCCTTCCATTTTCGGCGGTTCTTACTCTAATATAATAAGGGCAATTGTATTTGGAATTGTCCTTTTGACGTTGACAATTAGTGTCCCAAACTTGTTTTCGAGGGGAAAGTTTTTAGTAAAATTGGTATTGATTTCTTTGGTGGTATTGGGTGTTAATGTTGGCAAAAGAGCAGACACTTTCAAAAGTTTCAATATTTATTTTGCTTTCTAGAGAAAAGAGTTTGTTTTATTTTTACAGAGTGTAAGGCAATTAAGGGACAGCCACTAAAGCATGTGATCTCTTAGGAACAGCCAATAGGTTTCCGATTCTAGGCTGTGACTACGCTCACTTTGGCTGTATCTAAGTGTAACTTCTGGCACAACATCTCCCCGGAGGGAGGGCGTAAAATAAGCTCACTGTTTACTTTGCGAAACATCTTTTTTTTTTACTCTTGCTAGAGGATAACAACATCAACTAAATATGACGTTTAAAGCAGACTTTTCCCAGCCGTTTTTAGAAGAGACTCAGTGTGTTCATCATAAAAAGTCTACGGAAAGATGCAAAACCTTGACCTTAACATTGGTTGGTCATTGACGGAGGGAAATTCTATAAAAAGAAAAGAAACCTACAGAATACGAAAACAATCACCATATCGTAAGGCCTTATGTAGGCGCTATTAAATGCTCTAACGTTTTTTACCAATATGCTTGCTGACCTCCTGTCAAAATTGCTTGTATTAAGAACAGCAACTGTCATAACATTACGTTATTAGAGCTTTTGTGCTTTCAATTGAAAGATCCCCCTCCCGCCTCAAGCACAGTTTAAGTTAAGCAAACAGAGAAAAGAAAAAAAACAAATTCTTCGTTCTTTATGTACCGATTTACATCTGTTACCATTTTTTTACAGTACACCCTGTGAGGAAACTTTTAACATAATTCACACTCTCGAGATTACACCCTTTTGGCCCATATCCCTTTTATATTCTCTCTCATCAATCTCCCAAACATTTTGAAATGTATTTACAGTAGCCAAATATCTTTGATTTTATTGGTACCCCCAAAATACTTTTTCAGCACCTTATTTTCTTATTTCTTGTTCTCCTCATATCATCAAGCCGAAACATACCTCTATTTTCTTGTATATTACACCCTTATCCACAAAGTATTCCTTATGCGTCGTGATCATCTCCCATCTCGCGTCATACTTCGCATGTTATGCTTGATCTCGTATCCACCTTCTGTTTTTCTTTTAGTGGATTTGCTGTATTTTTGATGTCACCAGCACTTTCTGATCTTGTCTCTCTGGCTCTCGTTTGTCCGATTACACCTATTGTACTTCTTGTTGCAAATAAAAACCTCGTAAAGTGAAGTTCAGCATTCAATTCTTTCATAATCCTCAACAACATTTTATCATTATCTTTATCGTCTATAAACACCCTACAGCAATTGCCTATAATTCCAAACTGTCGTTTGGCGTTCCTTTCCCAAAGATGATGGTATCTATCATGAAAATTTGTCGGCCGTCTGTTGCAGTTATAAGTTTCCTAATCTCGATTTCCAGTTGCTGATTTTATTATCACGTTGTTAATCCACTAGTCTAAATCAGCAGGCCAAACATTTATTAAAATGAAGGTCAAATACCTGATAAACGGTATAACATGTTTCAAACTGGAAAGCTAAAAGCAAAATTAAAACAAAAATAAAAGCGAGCCCTCATGCCTGTATAATTACCTGTTTAACCTGGTTTTAAAGGTGGCATAAAAATGGAAAGCTTCCTACACTTTTTCTTGCGAGATTGTGGGGAGAGAGGTGCGGTTTTTTTATGTTTTTTTTCAGCTGTTGAAAAATCTTTGTTATACCCAGAAATGTCTAAAGCAGAACGACTTTGCCGCGTTAAGACACCTGGCTGTCTATTATAGAAACGAAAACTGCAAACGTACACTAATGCTGTTCGTAAAAAGATCTGGTACGCCCTCTTGGGGTGATGGTCATTCCTAACCGTTTTTTGCGCAGTGTACAAAAATAGAAGGAAACGCAACGTTCAATTTCTAGCCTTAATATGCTGTAGCCGATAAATACGCATGTCCGACTTGATGACGTGAAACGGTTTCAGCTACATTTCAGGTTGGATATTCCACCTTTTTAGTATTTGGAGAAAAATCTAAGTGCTCATTTCTAGTCATCACCGCAAAATCCCAGAGACGGCCAATTTTTGGCAAATAGTTACCTGTCACGGATACGGCCAATTTTTCCAATTTTTCACCGTAACCGTGACGGACGCGGATTTTAAATTCACCATATCCGTGACGGATACGGCCAATTTTTCCAATTTTTCACCGTATCCGTGACGGTCACGGCCAATTTTTCTCATTTTTCACCGTGGCCGTGACGGATACGGCCAATTTTTCCCATTTTTCACCGTGGCCGTGACGGATACGGCCAATTGTTCCCATTTTTCACCATATCCGTGACGGATACTGCCATTATTTTATTATTTTCACCATATCCGTGACGGATACTGCCATTATTTTATTATTTTCACCGTATCCGTGACTGAAAGGGTCAATTTATTTCCGTTATTGACCGTGCATTTGACGGATTTTATGGAATTGTTCAGGGTTATATCCTATATTTTCCGGAATCTTTAAACACTCATTGCTATTGCAAAAATTAATACACCGTTGTACTGTTGGACAGTTATATTTAATAGTTATGTTTATAAAAAAAAATTATTTATTTATGTGAAGACAATTTGTATTGATAATAAAAGATATTACGATGTATT